GGGGGAAATTGTATTGTTGCTTCCTTCAGTAGACTATTGAGTAGAAGCTGTAGCTAATGTAGTATTCCTGTGTAAACAACATGTTGCGTCTACTATGGAGGACTAAAAGTGCCACAATTAAATAAATAAATACACCATTAAATAATTACTTAAATGTGTCATTAATTAATTAAAATTAGAATTAAATACATAAATGTGTTATTAAATGTGTCATTAATTAATTCAAATACCGATTCATTTTATGTAAAATACATATATAATAATTTCACTATTTACATTTACATTTCATGGTCCTGCGTTGTATGGAGGACTAAAAGTGCCACAATTAAATAAATAAATACACCATTAAATAATTACTTAAATGTGTCATTAATTAATTAAAATTAGAATTAAATACATAAATGTGTTATTAAATGTGTCATTAATTAATTCAAATACCGATTCATTTTATGTAAAATACATATATAATAATTTCACTATTTACATTTACATTTCATGGTCCTGCGTTGGAGTGCTTCCTGAATTACTTAAAACTGTCAAACTGACCCATCAAAAGTTGGTAGGCGGAACCTAACGCCTGATTGGTTACCCTCTGCATCAAGCCAAGACAAATCAATTCCGGATAATGTCAGCAGGTCCTGCTTCTACATCCTCTGCTAAGTTTAAAATGTCTCTAACCAACTCCCTGGAAAGTTCACGGAGATCCTCCATTGTCTCTATCCAGGTTGGCCTACTCTACTTCAGACCAAAGCAATGGATCAGACTAGATTCGCGTTAGCCCCGCCCACTGACTTTGATGGGTCAGTTTGACAGTTTGAAGTAATTCATGAATCACTGCAATGCAGGATCATGAAATGTAAATGTAAATAGTGAAATAATTATATATGTATTTTACATAAAATGAATCGGTATTTGAATTAATTAATGATACATTTAATTACACATTTATGTATTTAATTCTAATTTTAATTAATTAATGACACATTTAAGTAATTATTTAATGGTGTATTTATTTATTTAATTGTGGCACTTTTAGTCCTCCATAGTCTACCACCTGCACTAATGTTTTTAAATTATTTATAAATTGGCCATGTTGAATAAATGAATACATTACTACTTAATTTGGCTCAAGTAATGAAGGTTATTGTAAAAATGGGGTAATAACACATCAAACTGTGCCAATCACCTAACTTCCGTGACCAAATAAGGAGAGAAAGTAGTACCAGACACAGGCGCGTTGATATGTTCCAATCTGTTACTACACCGCTTTCACTGACATTTGTCTGCGCTGCATTTCTATTTTGGTGTGTCGCACTTGTATTACTCGTAGATTGGTTTAGAGATATAGACACCGTCTGTTACTTTCATACTCTGCTTTACTATGCCTGGGTTTTCCGATAGAGATCGTGGCAGAGACAGGGGGTAAGTAGGTAACGTTAATGTATGTTTAGCGAACTCGTTAGCTAGGTAGAGACGTTGCGAAGGTCAGTTTTAACGGTACTGTAGCTATCTAGGTAACGTTGTTTTGCTTATCCCTGCCATTGGCCTTGGCTAGATGCGCAATGTTAATACGACTTATTTGAACCCTAATAAATTATGTTAAAGTGCATTTGCCTGATATAATTGATGTAACAAGCAGGTCGGACAAATGTTTAACTAGCAGTTAACATTAGTTAGCTAGGTAACGCGTTAACAATGGGAGATTCTCAGAGACCTATGCTATATATAATAACCATATGCACCACGCTTGAGCATAAAATATAGCATGTGGTGTTGGTTAGGTAAAAACCACGGAATGTTTGGTCATTTTGCATGTGGCAAAAATAGTTTAGAATCAAAATGCCGGCCGGTTCCCTTCTTTGTTCATCTTCTACCGGCCGGAATTAAAATGGCAGCTTAACTGGTTTAAACGTGACGCAGAAACTAATGTCGCTAACGTTAGACCTATCACATCTTTGCATGTGTAAGCAAACGGGTCACTGCTGTCCAGCCCTTGAGCATGGCTCTCAGTTCCATTACACATAAGGAATTGGATGAAGGCGTCGTTCTATAGGGGGAGTGTTGTTAAGATAAGAGCCACGACGCTCGGTCTTAACATTAACACGCATCGCTTGCGGTACGGGTTTGGAAGCACACCTTTGATACAAACCTTTATTGGGTTAGGGTTTCCACACGGCCATATTGCCATGTTACAGCGCTTGTTTACGGAAGAGAGTGGACTACCTGCACTAATTAGCTATCTGTGTCTCTGAACACCTGTGTGTAAACGGAAGACAGACGCCACAAACGTGTTGTCAATTAAAAATACTGTCGGCTGCAACTGTTAGCGATCTACAATTAGTGTATTTTGCATTTGTGAAATAATTTTGATGTGATTTAGAGGGATTTGTTTCTATAACCAATTCACGTTTAGATGGAGTGTTTGGCTTCCAGAGCCAATTCGCCCATTAATAAACAGACCATGTAAGGTCTTTGGACTAAGGGGTAACGTTAGGCTCCTTTAGTCCAATATTTGGCTAACTTCTGTCATGCTAGCTGTTGTAGTACTCATCAAGCCATGCAAACTCGTGGGGGAATGTGGGGTATCAGTTCCTCAAATGTAGCTGGCATAACTATCGGACTTCAACACAGCATTCACTGTATGCTCAGTCATCTAATATTAGGTTGTTCCCCCTACTATTTGAGGTATGGAGGTGCACCTCGTTTTGGAGGCGGTGGTGGCAATAGGGGCGGACCCCCTCAGGGGAAATTTGGCAACCCAGGCGAAAGGCTGCGCAAAAAACACTGGAACATGGATGAGCTCCCAAAGTTTGAGAAGAACTTCTATCAGGAGCACCCGGATGTGATCCGCAGACCACCTGTAAGTGACCCGGGCAGTTCTTTCCATCTGATTTCAGTGGTCTTCACCTTTTTGATTAAAATGGTCTTTGCCAATGAACAACCTTTTATGTGTCTAATTGCAGCAAGAGGTAGAGAACTACCTGAGAAGTAAAGAAGTAACAGTGAAAGGCAGAGACTGCCCCAAGCCCATGATGAAGTTTCACGAGGCCAATTTTCCAAGTGAGTAAAGCCTCTTCTAACTTTGCTTAAGAACAAGCTGATTGTATAAGATGATGACATTGAATCTCATATGTAATCGAACTTTGTCTTTTTCAGATTATGTGATGGATGTCATTGCCAAACAAGGATGGGATGAGCCAACTCCTATCCAGGCTCAGGGCTGGCCTCTGGCCCTCAGTGGGAAAGACATGGTGGGCATCGCCCAGACAGGCTCTGGCAAAACCCTCGCTGTAAGTACATTGATTTAAAATGACTATTGGTAGCATCTTTCTGGTAATTCTTTGTGCAGGTGAACCGGTTGAGCTCAGTTTTTTTCTTCCCCGCACAGTATCTGCTGCCTGCAATCGTGCACATTCAACACCAGCCATTCTTGGAGCATGGAGACGGACCTATAGTAAGTACACCATAAGCCTCTAGACTAGAGAACATCCTTAGTAGTTTTTACAGGGTAAGTTCAGTTGAATAACACTTGTCTCTATCTTTGTCTTTCAGTGTTTGGTGCTGGCCCCGACCCGTGAGCTGGCCCAGCAGGTGCAGCAGGTTGCTGCCGAGTATGGCAGGGCCTCCCGCCTGAAGTCCGTCTGTGTCTATGGTGGAGCCCCCAAAGGACCCCAGATCCGGGACCTCGAGAGAGGTATCTATCCACCACTTTGTTTTTTGCTATTATTTGTTTGCTCAGTATGTTTGTTCTGTATTAAATAATTTTGGTGATAAGAGGCAGACAGCTGAGTGAGTGTTGTCTGTCCCCCCCCAGGTGTTGAGATCTGTATCGCCACCCCGGGGCGTCTCATTGACTTCCTGGAGGCTGGGAAGACCAACCTTCGCAGGTGTACCTACCTTGTGCTGGATGAGGCTGACCGTATGCTGGACATGGGCTTCGAGCCCCAAATCCGCAAAATCGTGGACCAAATTAGAGTATGTGGCTTTGACTCAACTCTATTCCTTTGGCTAGAATGCTTCAGTATAAAGGCTCATTCCCGCAGTGATTTGTAGACTTGCTCAATACTTGCTGATTTCAATTGGCAGAATTCCCATTGGACTTTGATTGACAAATCATTGCAGAGTCTGCATTTTCCTGTATGATCAGCCATTAGACTGCTTGAAGGATTTGAAGAAATACTAAGTCAACTATTTTCTCTGTTCTCCTCTCAGCCGGATCGTCAGACCCTCATGTGGAGTGCCACCTGGCCCAAGGAGGTGCGTCAGCTGGCTGAGGACTTCCTGAAGCAGTACGTCCAGATCAACGTGGGCGCTCTGCAGCTTAGCGCCAACCATAACATCCTGCAGATAGTGGACGTGTGCAACGACGGAGAGAAGGATGACAAGTGAGTGACTCATTTCTCCTCAGCAAAAGCCAAACGTCACATTTACACCGCTTCATAATTGAAGGAATTCAAGCAGAAGGACTCTTCAATTGGTCATTCATTTGTCTCATCCAGGATAAAGTGTGCGTCACGTCATCAATTTTAACCCGATCTCGTCTTTCCCCCTAAGACTGCTCCGGACTGCTAGAGGAGATCATGAGCGAGAAGGAGAACAAGACCATCATCTTTACCGAGACCAAGAGACGCTGTGATGAGCTCACCAGGAGGATGAGACGAGATGGGTAAGGGTCATCACACTAGTTCATTTAACTGGGAAATGATTATCCTTGTAATGAGTCATGCCTCTAATGTCCATGTTTGTCTGTTACAGCTGGCCAGCAATGGGTATCCACGGAGACAAGAGCCAGCAGGAGAGGGACTGGGTTCTCAATGGTATGCCTGAAATATTTTCTATCTTTTTTTGAGTTTGTCATGACAATGTTATGGACGTATAACTGAAGTCAATGATCTTTCCACAGAATTCAAATATGGCAAGGCCCCCATCCTCATCGCCACCGACGTGGCCTCCCGTGGTCTAGGTCAGTGTGGCTTTGGTTAAACCCTCTGGTTGTTTTCCTCAATATTTTCACTTTTTTAAAAGAAAGTGGTTTTGGCTTTCTTTAACTTCTCTATGCATTTTCTGAGTTTTTCTCACCTAAAGGTGCAGTCTTTGTGGCAGGGCCTAGGCATGACAAGTCCCAGGCCTCGAGGGGGAAGGAGGACATATTGGAAGTGAAGTTTCCCCACTGGCTGCCACCCAGTGGGCCTAGAAAGGTGAAAGCTCTGTGTGCCAGTAATCCTCAAGTCAAAAGGCAGTGTGGCTAAGCCTAGTTTCTGATATCTTTTTCTGTTTTTTTATACATGACATTATTTGTTCTGTCCATGGATTTTTACCTGACAAATGCCTATTCGTCGAGACGTTACCAACTCAAACGTTACACACAAACAAACGCTTGATGTGACCATTTGCCTTGCATGCGTTTTGTAGAGGGCACTGTATTGCAAGTCACTGTTTGAGATTTGGAGCGGTTCTGTTAGTTGCGGAGCTTGTCCCAAAAAAAAGCATGGGTGTTTAGCGAATGTCACAGCTTTTCATTGCTATATATTTTTCTCCCTCACTCAAAGCACTGGTTTTCTTGAAATGGAGAGAGCCGTTTTCAACTTACTGTTGTCGAATCGAAATTGATGAGAAACTGGCACATGTGTTTAAGGAGCTATGGGAACATCTAGAGAAAGTGAGAAATAGAAGAGCTTCAAAAACCAAAGTTCCTCCCTCGCCTGCTTTTTAAAGTCATGTCGAGACCTGCCAACGAGAGACATTTTCTCAAGTGAACGAACACTGGCTTCTGGGAAGATCTTGCCTAGACGAGACTGATGGGGGCGGGGTGCTCTATGCTCTCTGAGGGGCACCACAGGGGTCAATACTAGGGCCTTTTTCGCTTTTTTGGGGTCCCCCCTCAAATTAGTACTTGGTCTATTCGGTCTTGGCAAGACGTGCAGTGAGGCCTTTATTAGCAAGCTTCTTATGAGTGTGTACTGGGAAAAAGGACCTTCAGAACCCATACCAACTGAAAGGTCCTATATTGGCACACGAGGAGGCAACAGTGCACATAGCGGCCCTACTGCGTAGAAGCTCCTGGATGTCACTTGACAATTTGTGGGGGAGTTCGCTGCATTGGGAAAGGACTAGTGAATGCATACTCCTTAATGGTAAGACTTCAAATCCAGTTCTTTTCCTCCCCTGGTTAAAAACGGGAGGGGGAATGCCTTAGGATTTTTTGATATGGTAAGCAAACGGAGTGTGCATCTCGTTTTTCTCTTCCCACAGTAGTATTCCCATGGAGTAGAACGTTTTCCTTGGATTGTGTTAGTTAACCCCGTTCTTTGCAGCTCAGCTAAGTATCCAGTCTGGAACCTTTTTAGCTCTCCATTGTCTATGCTAACTTTGTCCTTTGGTCTGGCTGTTGTGGTGTGCAAAATCCTGTATGGCTACCTTTTTGCCACACTGCAACACTTTACAGATGTGGAGGATGTGAAATTTGTCATAAATTATGACTATCCTAACTCCTCTGAGGACTATATCCACCGCATTGGACGCACGGCCCGCAGTCAAAAAACGGGCACCGCCTACACCTTCTTCACCCCCAACAACATGAAACAGGCCAGCGACCTCATAGCTGTGCTCCGCGAAGCCAACCAGGCTATCAACCCCAAGCTCCTCCAGATGGCAGAGGCCAGAGGAGGTAATTCCTATGGCGGGTGAGATGTGAACAAGGCTGTGGTTACATCTGCAGACATTTAGATTTTATATAGATAAGAAATCTATTTGAAGAGGTTCTTAAAACGTTAAATATGAAGATGACCCACCTTGTTCTCACCATATTTGGCAACTATCATTTTAGTTTAAATGTCCTCACGCCACCCATCACTGCTACCAGTCTCATCACTGCCCTGTCTCTTGTTTTGTCTTGTTTTCCAGGTCGTGGAGGGGGGGGGAGAGGTGGCTATAGGGATGACCGACGAGATAGGTATTCTGGGGGGAGGAGTTACGGTGGTGGTGGTGGTGGTGGTGGTGGTAGTTACAGGGACAAGGATAGCGACAGGGGGTACGGTGGGGGACCAAAGAGTGCCTTCGGCGCAAAAACCCAAAACGGAGGAGGCTACGGGGGTAGCACCTATGACAAGGGCGCTAGCTCTGGCGGTAGCTATGGCAACAGCTACGGCAGCAACGGACAGGCTAGCTTCGGCGCCGCCAACCAGGTGGGTGCGTTCGGCGGCCAGAACTTCCAGGCCCCTCCACAGTTCGGAGCCGCACAGGCGCCCGCCCCAAACGGCATGGGTCGCCCGCCGTTCCCCTTTAACCCACAGGCACAGCAGCCCCAACAACCCCCACCCATGGTACCCTACTCTATGCCTCCACCTTTCCCACAGTAACTGACTAGGCCTAGACTGTGCGAATACACAACGAAAGCACCTTTTTCCCTCTTGTCTTTAAATCTTATGATGATGATTATTATCCTTTGTACTGTTTAACTTTTTTGCTTACAGCAGGGTTGGAATTCTTCAGTAACCCCAAGCATTGAAATGAGTCCCAAGGGGACTGTTGAAGTGCATCTTTAACTGGTGCACCTCTCCTTGACTGTTTTTATTTGTTACATTCCTCAGTAATTTATTTTTACTAGGTAATGCAGATTTTGAGTTTGTGGTATGTTTAAAGTGATATGTTAAGATCTTACCTGGGGGTCATGCATGGGCCTTCAAATAAAACAATTAAATCTTAGTTTTGTGGTGGTTCATTGTTCTATTTTGTTCATTCATCCAGCATTTAATCTTAGTGGATATTCAATTAAGTCGCTCTGGATAAGAGCGTCTGCTAAATGACTAAAATGTAAATGTAAATGTAAATTAAAACAATTACATCATGCCACCAAATAATATTATAGCAAACATTCCTAATTTCACAAGTATATACCATGAGGTAACAAGAACGTAAGGTTGAGGACTTTTGTTTCATTTTGATGTCTAAACGGAAGTGACGTGGCGTTGTAGCTTTACTTCCGGGTGCTCCCAGTTTACGCATTACACATGGGTGCAAGTATTTTTAGAAATAGAAGAGCATTTATATTACATTAAGTTGCCAGGCTTTGCCGAAACTACTCGTGGTTGTATTCGCAGGCAAGTGCATTCACGTTCAAATGTCCTTTTCTAACGTGATATCAGCCTAGGAATTACTTCTGAAATGTGAGACCGCACGCAATGTATTGCTAGGTTAATTGCAGCTTGACGCGTGCTTAACAACTTTTCAAGAACGAAATGAGTGACTACTAAACATGCTCACTTACTGTGTTAGACGACTCATCTGGAGATGTGAGAATATACCAAAAACCTCACTATGCTGCAGGATAGCTTTTCCGCTTCAGCACTGCAGGGACCGCTGTACTGCAACTTCTGCTAGGTCCGGCGCTGAGGACTCGGACCACACCAAAACACTCATGCAGCTATGCACTGACAGGTATTATATAGCTTCTGGCCAACTTCATAGAGATTCCTTTCAGCGTGGAAGCAACTGTGGATATGGACCACTTGGTATGGAACTCAGGAAGAACATTCTTGAACAATGGTGGAACTCTGTGATAGGGTCCAGGGCAGAGGTGTTTGGGATAAGCACCCTACACACTAGTAAGGACAGAACTACTGAGAGGGATGGACAATTGAGGGTTGTTGACACTGAGAACCTACGTCAAATACTTTCCCAGAGAGAGCTAAGCAAGGACCAACTTATTCAGAAGCTACAGACCCTTATCCAGAATGGTGCATCTGTTCGAACAAGTCTTTTCCAAGGTAACTATCATTGGTGTTGTATTGAACACTTCTGCTATTTTTACTTGTGCACATGCTTCAGGTGATAGAAATCTGAACGCATAGAGTTAAATGAAATTCAACGTTGGGTTTCCAGGCTAACATGGTCAATGCTCCTCCCTCCTGTCCAGGTGCTTTGGAGCAGTATGCGTCCTCTTTGGAACTAGTAAACAGAAAGCTGCCGTTCGGTCTGGCTGAGACCGGCTTGTGCTTCCAGCCATCAGGCGGACCTGGTTGGTGAGGCTTCCTCCTCGTCCCTCAAATCACATGAACCATTCAGCTGCACTGTCATCATTTACCATTGTGCTTATTCAAAGTGCAAATAGATTTAATTGAGCATAGATTTAACCTAAATCATATGTCCTTGTGTGTTGTTTGAGATGGCAGATAGCTATAATAACACCTGGGCATAGCAGACTATAGAGTAGTTGTGAACTTTAAAGGTAGACTCAGCGATATAATGTAAATTCAGAAAGTAAACAGCGTAGTGGGTCTATTCCTGCAACAACTAAGAGTGCCAAAGCGCGAGGTTCAACTTCTCTGCTGTTTTGATTCCATACCTAGGACGCTCTAACAGGATGACGCGAACCCGTGCGCATGCGCACATACTGTGTGAGCAAAGTCTTGCATCTCGCTTATCTCAATATCTGCGGTGCTGCTCGTGGCAACGTCATTTTGCTGAGTCTACCTTTAACCCTTAATCTGCGTGTCCATTCCTGGCAGCCCAGATGAAGTTACCCAGTCCTCTTTGGTGTGGTTCTGCTCGCCCCGCACCACTTCACAGTGGCTGGACTACTGGGCACGGCATCGGCTGCAGTGGTGGAGAAAGGTGCATCTTTTTATTATCCAAGTCATTGTGGTCAAGATCACTTTCTCTGTCTGCAAATTCATCTGGATCTTGAACATGAATCGGAATCTTGATTTGAAATCTATAGAAACAACATTGTTTCTATGTTGATATTTGTAATGCTGAAAGACAACTTGACTTAATGTGGATAGTAAAGTACATTTCTCTCATCTCTCTGTCCATCCAATCCTGTCCCTCCATCTATAATCCAGTTTGCCCTGGGCCCATCTGACTTCAGCTGTAGTGACATAACAGAAGAGGAGCTGGCAGGCCGGGCGTCTCGTGGTGTGAAAATTGTGTACAATTTCCCATGGGGCCCAGAGGCCCTGGAGACTCTGTTGAGCCGAGGTGACGCAGAGCTGCTACAGACACACAAGGGCGCTCGCAACAAACTACAGGTCAGTGTAATGCTGCCTTCTACTGCAGGGATAAAACTGCAGTTAATACCCTGTCCCACTTATGCTGTCACAATAAAACAATTTGGGAGTAGATCTTTATAATTTTTCACAATATGTCAGTTGCGCCGGAGGCTGCTGAGGGGAGGACGGCTCATAATATGGAAACCATATGTTAGATTAGTTTAATTCCATTCATTCTGTTCCAGCCATTACTTTGAGCCAGTCCTCCCCAATTAAGGTGCCATTGGAGCAGCTGGTCAGTTGTGTCAGTTGTGTTGCGGCAGGTAGCCTAGCGGTTAGAGCGTTATGCCAGTAACCGAAAGAGCTCTGGTTTGAATACCGAAGCCGACAAGGTGAAATATCTCGGTGCCCGTGAGCAAGGCACTTAACCCTAATTTGCTCCAGAGGCGCCGTACTACTATGGCTGACCCTGTAATACAACACATTTCACTGCACTTATCCGGTGTATGTGACAATAAAACATATTTTTGTTATTTTGCATTTTAGTCATTTAGCAGACACTCAAGGGCACATCGACAGATTTTTCACCTAGTTGGCTCGGGGATTAGAACCAGCGACCTTTCGGTTACTGGCACAACACTCTTAACCACTAAGCTACCTGCCGCCCCACGGCAGGTAGCTTATTGAAGTAAGATTTAATTAACCATATCAGCGCTCCATATTTTTTCTCTGTCATTCACAGTGCCGAGATGGGAGGAAGTCAGTAGTCCCCTATGCCATCTCCGTAACTGGAAACATAGAGCGAGGAGTGTTGGCATACCTGTACAACTCAATCCAGCAAGTGAAGAAAGTCGACAGCAAACAGAGGCTACAGCAGAGAAAGGTGAAACACCTAAGTCCTTTCATTTACATATTACATTTACGTCATTTAGCAGACGCTCTTATCCAGAGCGACATACAAATTGGTGCATTCACCTTATAGCCAGTGGGATAACCACTTTACAATGTTTTTTTTTTTTGGGGGGTGGGGTAAGTGGGGGGTAGAAGGATTACTTTATCCTATCCCAGGTATTCCTTAAAGAGGTGGGGTTTCAAATGTCTCCGGAAGGTGGTGAGTGACTCCGCTGTCCTGGCGTCGTGAGGGAGCTTGTTCCACCATTGGGGTGCCAGAGCAGCGAACAGTTTTGACTGGGCTGAGCGGGAACTGTGCTTCCGCAGAGGTAGGGGAGCCAGCATACCAGAGGTGGATGAACGCAATGCCCTCGTTTGGGTGTAGGGACTGATCAGAGCCTGAAGGTACGGAGGTGCCGTTCCCCTCACAGCTCCGTAGGCAAGCACCATGGTCTTGTAGCAGATGCGAGCTTCAACTGGAAGCCAGTGGAGTGTGCGGAGGAGCGGGGTGACGTGAGAGAACTTGGGAAGGTTGAACACCAGACGGGCTGCGGCATTCTGGATGAGTTATAGGGGTTTAATGGCACAGGCAGGGAGCCCAGCCAACAGCGAGTTGCAAAAATCCAGACGGGAGATGACAAGTGCCTGGATTAGGGCCTGTGCCGCTTTGATGTTAGCGGAGAACGACAGGGTGTTGTCCAGGGTCACGCCAAGGCTCTTCGCACTCTGGGAGGAGGACACAACGGAGTTGTCAACCGTGATGGCGAGATCATGGAACGGGCAGTCCTTCCCCGGGAGGAAGAGCAGCTCCGTCTTGCCAAGGTTCAGCTTGAGGTGGTGATCCGTCATCCATACTGATATGTCTGCCAGACATGCAGAGATGCGATTCGCCACCTGGTTATCAGAAGGGGGAAAGGAGAAGATTAGTTGTGTGCCGTCTGCGTAGCAATGATAGGAGAGGCCATGTGAGGATATGACAGAGCCAAGTGACTTGGTGTATAGCGAGAATAGGAGAGGGCCTAGAACTGAGCCCTGGGGGACACCAGTGGTGAGAGCACGTGGTGCGGAGACAGCTTCTCGCCACGCCACTTGGTAGGAGTGACCGGTCAGGTAGGACGCAATCCAAGAGTGAGCCGCGCCGGAGATGCCCAGCTCGGAGAGGGTGGAGAGGAGGATCTGATGATTCACAGTATCAAAGGCAGCAGACAGGTCTAGAAGGACAAGAGCAGAGGAGAGAGAGTTAGCTTTAGCAGTGCGGAGAGCCTCCGTGACACAGAGAAGAGCAGTCTCAGTTGAATGACCAGTCTTGAAACCTGACTGGTTTGGATCAAGAAGGTCATTCTGAGAGAGATAGCAAGAGAGTTGGCTAAAGACGGCACGCTCAATAGTTTTGGAGAGAAAAGAAAGAAGGGATACTGGTCTGTAGTTGTTGACATCAGAGGGATCGAGTGTTGGTTTTTTGAGAAGGGGTGCAACTCTCGCTCTCTTGAAGACGGAAGGGACATAGCCAGCGGTCAAGGATGAGTTGATCAGCGAGGTGAGGTAAGGGAGAAGGTCACCGGAGATGGTCTGGAGAAGAGCGGAGGGGATAGGAAAGAAGGAGGCAGAGAGAAATGAGTCAAAGGTAGACGTAGGGAGGTTGAAGTCCCCCAGAACTGTGAGGGGTGAGCCATCCTCAGGAAAGGAACTTATCAAGGCGTCAGGCTCATTGATGAACTCTCCAAGGGAACCTGGAGGGCGATAGATGACAAGGATGTTAAGCTTAAATGGGCTAGTGACTGTGACAGCATGGAATTCAAATGAGGAGATAGACAGATGGGTCAGGGGAAAAATAGAGAATGTCCACTTGGGAGAGATGAGGATTCCTGTGCCACCACCCCACTGACCAGATGCTCTCGGGGTATGCGAGAACACATGGTCAGACGAGGAGAGAGCAGTAGCAGTGAAGGTGATCTCGATAGAAGCAGTGTTTCCACATTAGCTTTAGGATGGTTACATCTCTGATGACATGGGTGAGAACTTGAGCATCCAACATCTTACTTGGAATTTTAATTTCTGTCTACTGTTTTTTGAACTGATGGCAATTATTAGAATGTGCTACACACACTGACACCTTGTTGCCCTGGTAGGTTTTGAAGCTCCATCCTATTTTGTCTCCAGTCAAAGTGGCCTTGGACATGGGAAGGGGAGCCACTGTGGAACTAAGACAGGTAGGAAACTATTGAGATATACACAAAGTTATTCAATAAGACTATGTTTGATTGTAGTTCTAAAAGTATATTCTACATTAGGTTTGTGAAGGCTTGCTGCAGGAGTTCTTGGAAGGGGAAGTCGCTGCATGGCCTGGATATCTTGAAACCATGCCAACCTCAATGGAGCAGCTGAACACAAAGTAAAACTTCTTCATACCATGATAGTATAGTTTCTTTATGTTGTGGTTTCTCATTTCATGTAACGGATTGCATGTGCTGTCCACTGTTGGATGCATTCTGAATACAATATAATTCTGATCTCAAAAGCCACACATATTTAGTGGCAATGCAATTTAGTGTATACGTAATTGTATAATATGTTGACATTTGACTTCACTGAAGGTGATCTCGATAGAAGCAGTACTGTTTCTCTGTGGGGACCTACTGTAAGTATTATGTATGTTTGCCTGTGTGTCCAGGTATGATGAGATGGGGGTGCTGTTCACTGTGGTGATCAGTGACAACACGCTTGAGAGTGGCTTACTGCAGGTGCGCAGCCGCGACACCACCATCAAGGAGACCATGCACATCTCCGAGGTCAAGAACTTTCTGGTCAGATACATATCTGCTGCAGAGAACATATGAGCCATAGAGGGCGTTATATTAATACCTCAGGTGAACCGGGTTAGCATGGATTACATTTGTTTTGGAATTCGTCTTAAAACAGAAGTGACGTAGATTAAGCACGTGGAATAATGAGTAGGATTCTGTGTTTTCACATGCGAAAGTGATTGCTGTTGATTAAAAGGTTTTATCTGCCTTCCCAATGAAAATTAGTTTGAAAATGTGATCATATATTTTATGGAAAGTTGATGTATGTTTCTGAACGATGCATCATGCTGCCTCGTTGACAACATGACATAGTGGCGCAGATTACTGTTCGATTTGTTTCGAATGGGCGCTCTTCCCTCTCCGCTTTGCCCATTCACGTCACATGCCATAGCCCAGTGCACTTAATTAAACTCCCTCATTGATTGAAAACTGTTCACCTGACATTTGGCAAAATGTCAAAGAATGGTGTAGTGGGCCCCCATGGGCAGTGGGAAAGCTGTCTGTTTGTGTTTTGGAGAACTATACCTCAAAGCCTATTTGACGATCTAGTATACTATATTAAAAGTTGTTCATAATTTTCACTTTGTGGTTGTCATTTTGTTGTCAGTGTCACTCAAATGCATTCATATCAATAGCAAATTCTCATACGGAACTTTTTCTACAGGTCAACAAAACATGACTCCAAATACAGTGAGGGAAAAAAGTATTTGATCCCCTGCTGATTTTGTAGGTTTGCCCACTGACAAAGAAATGATCAGTCTATAATTTTAATGGTAGGTTTATTTGAACAGTGAGAGACAGAATAACAACAAAAAAATCCATAAAAACGCATGTCAAAAATTTTATAAATTGATTTGCATTTTAATGAGGGAAATAAGTATTTGACCCAGCTGCCTTGAGATCATTGACAAGATCCTCCCGTGTAGTTCTGGGCTGATTCCTCACCGTTCTCATGATCATTGCAACTCCACGAGGTGAGATCTTGCATGCAGCCCCAGGCCGTGGGAGATTGACAGTTATTTTGTGTTTCTTCCATTTGCGAATAATCGCACCAACTGTTGTCACCTTCTCACCAAGCTGCTTGGCGATGGTCTTGTAGCCCATTCCAGCCTTGTGTAGGTCTACAATCTTGTCCCTGACATCCTTGGAGAGCTCTTTGGTCTTGGCCATGGTGGAGAGTTTGGAATCTAATTGATTGATTGCTTCTGTGGACAGGTGTCTTTTTATACAGGTAACAAACTGAGATTAGGAGCACTCCCTTTAAGAGTGTGCTCCTAATCTCAGCAAGTTACCTGTATAAAAGACACCTGGGAGCCAGAAATCTTTCTGATTGAGAGGGGGTCAAATACTTATTTCCCTCATTAAAATGCAAATCAATTTATAACATTTTTGACATGCGTTTTTCTGGATTTTTTTGTTGTTATTCTGTCTCTCACTGTTCAAATAAACCTACCATTAAAATTATAGACTGATCATTTCTTTGTCAGTGGGCAAACGTACAAAATCAGCAGGGGATCAAATACTTTTTTCCCTCACTGTATATATATATATAAATATGTGTGTGTGTGTACAAGTAAAAGTTTGGACACACCTACTCATTCAAGGGTTTTTCTTTATTTTTAAAATGTTCTACATTGTAGAATAATAGTGAAGACATCAAAACTATGAAATAACACATGGAATCATGTAGTAACCAAAAAAGTGTTAAACAAATGAAAATATATTATATATTTGAGATTCTTCAAAGTAGCCACCTTTGCCTTGATAACAGCTTTGCATTCTCGCAACCAGTTTCATGAGGTAGTCACCTGGAACGCATTTCAATTAACAGGTGTGCCTGGTTAAAAGTTCATTTGTGGAATTTCTTTCCTTACTGCATTTGAGCCAATCAGTTGTGTTGTGACAAGGTAGGGTTGGTATACGGAAGATAGCCCTATTTGGTAAAAGATTAAGGTCGTATTATGGCAAGAACAGCTCAAATAAGCAAAGAGAAACGAGAGTCCATCATTACTTTAAGACATGAAGGTCAGTCAATCTGGAAAATTGTGCAGTTGCAAAAACCATCAAGCACTATGATGAAACTGGCTCTCATGAGGACTGCCACATGAAGACCCAGAGTTACGTCTGCTGTAGAGGATAAGTTCATTAGAATAACTGCGCCTTAGATTTCAGCCCAAATAAATGCTTCACAGAGTTCAAGTAACAGACACATCTTAACATCAACTGTTCAGAGGAGACTGCATGAATCATGCCTTCATGGTCGAATTGCTGCAAAGAAACCTCTACTAAAGGACACCAATAATAAGAAGAGACTTGCTTGGGCCAAGAAACATGAGCAATGGACATTAGACTGGTGGAAATCTGTCCTTTGGTCCAAATTTGAGATTTTTGGTTCCAACCACTGTGTCTTTGTGAGACGCAGAATAGGTGAATGGATGATCTCTGCATGTGTGGTTCCCACCGAGAAGCATGGAGGAGGAGGTGTGATGGTGTGGGGGTGCTTTGCTGGTGACACTGTCAGTGATTTATTTAGAATTCAAGGCACACTTAACCAGCATGGCTACCACAGCATTCTGCAGCGATACGCAATCCCATCTGGTTTGCGCTTAGTGGGACTATAATTTGTTTTTGAACAGGACAATGACCCAAAACACACCTCCAGGCTGTGTAAGGGCTATTTGACCAAGAAGGAGAGTGATTAAGTGCTGCATCAGATGACCTGACCTTCACAATCACCCGACCTCAACCCAATTGAGGTGGTTTGGGACCGCAGAGTGAAGGAAAAGCAGCTAACAAGTGCTCAGCATATGTGGGAACTCCTTCAAGACTGTTGGAAAAGCATTCCTCATGAAGCTGGTTGAAAGAATGCCAAGAGTGTGCAAAGCAAAGGGTGGCTACTTTGAAGAATGTAAAATATTGTAAATATATTTTGATTTGTTTAACACTTTTTTGGTTACTACATGATTCCATATGTGTTATTTCATAGTTTTGATGTCTTCACTATTGTTCTACAATGCAGAAAATAGTAAAAAAATAAAGAAAAAACCCTTGAATGAGTAGGTGTCCAAATTGTGTCCAAATTTTGACTGGTACTGTATATGTGTATATACACTGGACAAAAATATTAACGCAACAATTTCAAAGATTTTACTGAAGTTCATATAAAGAAATCATTCAATTGAAATAAATTCATTAGGTCCTAATCTACGGATTTTACATGACTGGGAATACTAATAAAATAAATAATAATAATAAAATAAAGTAGGAGCGTGGATCAGAAAACCAGTCACTGTGTGACCTTCATTTGCCACATGACACATCTTCTTCGCATAGAGTTGATCAGGCTGTTGATTGTGGCCTGTGGAATGCTGTCCCACTCCTCTTCAATGGCTGTGCGAAGTTGCTGGATATTGGCAGGGACTGGAACACACTGTCGTACACGGATCCAGAGCATTCCAAACATGTTAAATGGGTGACATGTCTGGTGAGTATGCAGGCCATGGAAGAACTTGGATATTTTCAGCTTCCCTGAATTGTGTGCAGATCCTTGCGATATGGGGCTGTGCATTATTTACATTTTCATTTTTACATTTTCGTCATTTAGCAGACGCTCTTATCCAGAGCGACTTACAAATTGGTGCATTCACCTTATGATAGCCAGTGGGACAACCACTTTACAATATATCCCCAAAAAAATTGGTGGGGGAGGGTAGAAGGACTACTTTTATCCTATCCCAGGTATTCCTTAAAGAGGTGGGGTTTCAAGTGTCTCCAGAAGGTGGTGAGTGACTCCGTGTCCTGGCGTCGTGAGGGAGCTTGTTCCACCATTGGGGTGCCAGAGCAGCGAACAGTTTTGACTGGGCTGAGTGGGAACTGTGATTCCGCAGAGGTAGGGGGGCCAGCAGGCTAGAGGTGGATGAACGCAATGCCCTCGTTTGGGTGTAGGGACTGATCAGAGCCTGAAAGTATGGAGGTGCCGTTCCCCTCACAGCTCCGTAGGCAAGCACCATGGGCTTGTAGCTGATGTGGGCTTCAACTGGAAGCCAGTGGAGTGTGCGGAGGAGCGGGGTGACGTGAGAGAACTTGGGAAGGTTGAACACCAGACGGGCTGCAGCGTTCTGGATGAGTTGTAGGGGTTTAATGGCACAAGCAGGGAGCCCAGCCAACAGCGAGTTGCAGTAATCCAGATGGGAGATGACAAGTGCCTGGATTAGGACCTGTGCCACTCCCTGTGTAAGGTAGGGTCGTACTCTGCGAATGTTGTAGCGCATGAACCTACAGGATCGGGTCACCGCTTTGATGTTAGCGGAGAACGACAGAGTGTTGTCCAGGGTCACGCCAAGGTTCTTTGCACTCTGGGAGGAGGACACAACGGAGTTGTCAACCGTGATGGCGAGATCATGGAGCGGGCAGTCCTTCCCCGGGAGGAAGAGCAGCTCCGTCTTGCCGAGGTTCAGCTTGAGGTGGTGATCCATCATCCACACTGATATGTCTTCCAGACATGCAGAGATGCGATTCGCCACCTGGTTATCAGAAGGGGGAAAGGAGAAGATGAATTGTGTGTCGTCTGCGTAGCAATGATAGGAGAGACCATGTGAGGATATGACAGAGCCAAGTGACTTGGTGTATAGAGAGAATAGTTGAGGGCCTAGAACTGAGCCCTGGGGGACACCAGTGGTGAGAGCACGTGGTGCGGAGACAGATTCTCGCCACGCCACCTGGTAGGAGCGACCTGTGAGGTAGGACGCAATCCAAGAGTGAGCCGCGCCGGAGATGCCCAACTGGGAGAGGGTGGAGAGGAGGATCTGATGGTTCACAGTATCAAAGGCAGCAGACAGGTCTAGAAGGACAAGAGCAGAGGAGAGAGAGTTAGCTTTAGCAGTGCGGAGAGCCTCCGTGACACAGAGAAGAGCAGTCTCAGTTGAATGACCAGTCTTGAAACCTGACTGGTTTGGATCAAGAAGGTCATTCTGAGAGAGATAACAAGAGAGTTGGCTAAAGACGGCACGAGAACAGTCTACTAATTGACATCAATATTGTCAGATCTCTGGATTATAAATGTAACGTGTTGTGTTCACTGATAGTAAGTGCTGCGGCAGTAGGTGTAGAGATCCATCCAGTCCCACAATTGTCTAGGACTGTGTCATTGGCCCTGGCCTGGAGATGGCTGCCTTCTCCCTCACGCTCAGGGACAGGCACATCTTGGGCACTCTGCAGTCAGCAGCAGCTTGTGTGCCTGCGCATTCACAGTGGGACCAGCGAACCCCAGCCTAACCCCGCTGCCTCCGCCTGGTTCCCACACACACTATCAAAAGGGATCAGCCCAGAACTACACGGCAGGACCTGGTCAATGACCTGAACAGAGCTGGGACCACAGTCTCAAAGAAAACCATTAGTAACACACTACGCCGTCATGGATTAAAATCCTGCAGCGCACGCAAGGTCCCCCTGCTCAAGCCAGCGCATGTCCAGGCACGTCTGAAGTTTGCCAATTACCATCTGGATGATCCAGAGGAGGAATGGGAGAAGGTCATGTGGTCTGATGAGACAAAAATAGAGCTTTTTGGTCTAAACTCTACTCGCTGTGTTTGGAGGAAGAAGAAGGATGAGTACAACCCCAAGAACACCATCCCAACCGTGAAGCATGGAGGTGGAAACATCATTCTTTGGGGATGCTTTTCTGCAAAGGGGACAGGACGACTGCACCGTATTGAGGGGAGGATGGATGGGGCCATGTATCGCGAGATCTTGGCCAACAACCTCCTTCCCTCAGTAAGAGCATTGAAGATGGGTCGTGGCTGGGTTTTCCAGCATGACAACGACCCGAAACACACAGCCAGGGCAACTAAGGAGTGGCTCCGTAAGAAGCATCTCAAGGTCCTGGAGTGGCCTAGCCAGTCTCCAGACCTGAACCCAATAGAAAATCTTTGGAGGGAGCTGAAAGTCCGTATTGCCCAGCGACAGCCCCGAAACCTGAAGGATCTGGAGAAGGTCTGTATGGAGGAGTGGGCCAAAATCCCTGCTGCAGTGTGTGTAAACCTGGTCAAGACCTACAGGAAACGTATGATCTCTGTAATTGCAAACAAAGGTTTCTGTACCAAATATTAAGTTCTGCTTTTCTGATGTATCAAATACTTATGTCATGCAATAAAATGCAAATTAATTACTTAAAAATCATACAATGTGATATTCTGGATTTTTGTTTTAGATTCCGTCTCTCACAGTTGAAGTGTACCTGTGATAAAAATTACAGACCTCTACATGCTTTGTAAGTAGGAAAACCTGCAAAATCGTCAGTGTATCAAATACTTGTTCTCCCCACTGTATGTCTGCCAGACATGCAGAGATGCGATTCGCCACCTGGTTATCAGAAGGGGGAAAGGAGAAGATGAATTGTGTGTCGTCTACGTAGCAATGATAGGAGAAACCATGTGAGGATATGACAGAGCCAAGTGACTTGGTGTATAGAGAGAATAGGAGAGGGCCTAGAACTGAGCCCTGGGGGACACCAGTGGTGAGAGCACGTGGTGCGGAGACAGATTCTCGCCACGCCACCTGGTAGGAGCGACCTGTGAGGTAGGACGCAATCCAAGAGTGAGCCGCGCCGGAGATGCCCAGCTCGGAGAGGGTGGAGAGGAGGATCTGATGGTTCACAGTATCAAAGGCAGCAGATAGGTCTAGAAGGATGAGAGCAGAGGAGAGAGAGTTAGCTTTAGCAGTGCGGAGAGCCTCCGTGACACAGAGAAGAGCAGTCTCAGTTGAATGACCAGTCTTAAAACCTGACTGGTTTGGATCAAGAAGGTCATTCTGAGAGAGATAACAAGAGAGTTGGCTAAAGACGGCACGCTCAAGAGTTTTGGAGAGAAAAGAAAGAAGGGATACTGGTCTGTAGTTGTTGACATCGGAGGGATCGAGTGTAGGTTTTTTGAGAAGGGGTGCAACTCTCGCTCTCTTGAAGACGGAAGGGACATAGCCAGTGGTCAAGGATGAGTTGATGAGCGAGGTGAGGTAAGGGAGAAGGTCTCCGGAAATGGAGATACATGAGGTGATGGCGGTGGATGAATGGCATGACAATGGGCTTCAGGACCTCGTCACGGTATCTCTGTGCATTCAAATTGCCATTGATAAAATGCAATTGTATTTGTTGTCCGTAGCTTATGCCTGCCCATACCATATCCCACTGCCACCATGGGGCACTCTGTTCACAACGTTGACATCAACAAACCGCTCGCCCACACGACACAATACACACTGTCTGCCATCTGCCCGGTACAGTTGAAACTGGGATTAATCCTTGAAGAGTACACTTCTCCAGTGTGCCAAGTGGCCATCTTAGGTGAGCATTGGCCCACTGATGTTGGTTACAACGCCAAACTGCAGTCAGGTCAAGACCCTGGTGAGGACGATGAGCATGCAGATTAGCTTCCCTGGGACGGTTTCTGACAGTTTGTGCAGAAAGTCTTTGTTGTGCAAACCCAGTTTCATCAGCTGTAAGGGTGGCTGGTCTCAGACGATCCCGCAGGTGAATAAGTCGGATGTGGAGGTCCTGTGCTGGCGTGGTTACACGTGGTCTACGGCTGTAAAGCCGGTTGGACGTACTGCCAAAATCTCTAAAACGACGTTGGAGGCAGTTTATGGTAGAGAAATTAACATTTGGCCCACTATTTTTATTATTTTTAACAGCTCTGGTGGATATTCCTGCAGTCAGCATGCCAATTGCACACCCCCTCAAAACTAGAGACAGCTGTGGCGTTGTGTGACAAAACTGCACATTTTAGTGGCCTTTTATTGTCCCCAGCACAAGGTGCACCTGTGTAATGATCATGCTGTTTAATCAACTTCTTAATATGTCACACCAGTCAGGTGGAGGGATTTAAAGTGCAAACAGAGTGAGCCGGGCGCCAGACTGAGTTCTGGAGGTGAAATGGAAGTGAATGAGGGCGAGTTAAGTGAGGTGGAAGGTGTGGTGAAAAGCTCGGAATCCGAGCATGGCATCAATGGACATGATAAAGAAGAATCTGGTCCAGTAGTAGTGAACTTTTTGGGGAAAGTGGATCCTTGCCTTTTGGTGGATCCATTTGTTGTTTCAGGGTGGGTGAGAAAGGAGTTTGGTGCAGTTGAATCAGTTAACGTAACCTGTGGTGGACTTATTTGTTTGTGTTTCTTCTGACCAGAGGGAGTGGGTGCTACATGTTACGCAACTTGGGTCAAGATCTGTTTCTTGCTTTGCTCTTAGGAACAGGGCACCATTGAAAGGAGTGATTTCTGGGGAAGTGTTAAGTGTGGAGGTGGAGCAATTGAAGTTTAAGATTCCTGGTGTTTGTGATAACCGCCGTTTGGTGCGACGCAGACCCAGTGGTGAGCGTGGTGAAGTAGAGGAGTCACTGTCAGTCCTTTTGAATTTTGAGTCATGGTCTTTAGCCGACAAAGTCATGTTAGGATAAATCAGTTATCCTGTTAGAGCTTTTGAGCCGAATCCACTGCGCTGTTCTCGCTGTTTCAGGTGCAACGTTTATGGTCATGTTGCAGCAGTTTGTAGGAGGGAGATTCCAAGATTTGGGAACTGTGCAGGAGGGCATGTGATAGAGGATTGTGTAGTTTTGGTAGGTAACATTTTGTGTGTTAACTGTAGGGTGCCCATGTTGCTGGGGATCAGAAGTGTCCTGTGCGAGAGAGGCAGGTTGAGGTGGCTAGAGTCAGAGTAGTGCAGAAGGTGTTGTATGCTGAGGCAGTGAAGAAAGTAGATGAGGATGGTTCAAGGGTGAGGGATCCTGAGAGGATCCCTGTGAGTAGTAGATCTGTGTCAGCACAGAGGGATAGGCCAATAAGTGACATATGCTTCAGTAAGGCAGGTAGCTTAGTGGTTAAGAGCGTTGTGCCAGTAAACGAAAGGTCTCTGGTTCTAATCCCCGAGCCGACTAGGTGAAAAATCTGTCGATGTGCCCTTGAGCAAGGCACTTAACCCTAATTGCTCCTCTATGTCGCTCTGGATAAGAGCGTCTGCTAAATGACTGAAAAGTAAATGTAAGGTTGGCTTCTTAGCGTTCATAGCAATGGTTATCAACTGTACTGCAGAAATGGAATGTAAATCACAGAAAATAGATGTGGTGGCAGCTGCAGAGAAGTATTTGGGTATATGGGATTTGACGTCAGAATAGTTGTATTTATTTTTATTATATACTTCAGAAGAGTTACAGGGTGTGTTGAGTGGTAGTGTTCCGTCCTCCCAGGCCGTTGGCATAGTGCAGAAGTAGACAGGGTCAAAGTAGTGGAATGGGGTAGTGGGTTTTTAATGAGTGTAGGATTAGTTTGAAGGATGTTTTTTTATTTCATTTTGTATTACGAAGTATAATGGATTTATATTATAGTGCAGTTGGGGGCGGTAATGCAGCATATTGGATGCTACCCGCCGTTAAACTCAGAAGAAGAAGAAGAAGAAGTCATGTGCATTATCTTGGCAAAGGAGAAATGCACACTAACAGGGATGTAAACTAATGTGTGCGTATGGAACATTTCTGGAATCTTTTATTTGAGCTCATGAAACATGGGACTAACACTGTTACATGTTGCGTTTATATTTTTGTTCAATATTTGTATGTGTTATTGAACTGGTTTGAATTGTGTATTTCGCTATTGTTGCGTGTCATTTGTAAACATTGCAAGAATTGCATAAAAAGTTAAGCCCTTCCCTCAACGTTAACGCTTGAATCTACTTCCGGTGCATTTCTTCGGGTCAGTTTGGACGTGTGCTGCTAGCAGAAAAATGGCCTCAGACAAGCAAAATGAAGGAAAAATATTACCTTTGGACGAGAATAAAGAAAATACAACGGAAGATGGAATAGGACTGGAGAGTATCCTTTCTAAAGCTATAAAGCTGACCCGGGACAAATATGTAATTTAGCGACAGGAGGGCTTACCCAACTAACTAGTTAGCTAACGTAATGCCGGATGGCTAGCGCTACGTGTCATTAGAAAAGCGGTTTACAGATGTTGTTGTCATTAGAATATTGCTAAAATCATGTGTATTTAAGTAAATTAACATTGTCAACTTGCTACATCCATCACATAATGCAAATCCACTGCTAAAGTATATTTAATGTGAGCTTTTCTCAAATGCACCACTGTGTACGTAACTAGGTTCTTGTGTGAATGTAGTAGACTGGCCTTTAACGCAGACTTGCAGTTCTCCAGATCATCAAGGATTCCCAGCAACAACATGGTTTACGACACGGGGATTATCAAAGATACAGGTGAGATGGAGGACTGGACACTGACGCGATATGGCAGAGAATGGGAGTTTGACAACCATAGACCATACCTTATGGTTGGCTCGTAGTTTCACACTGTAAAATTCACCTGTCTTTCTCTCTGTCCTAGGGGATACTGCTCCCGGCGCTTGCGTCGTCTGCGCAAGACCCTGGGCTTCAAGTGCGGTAACAGGCACAAGTTCATTGGGAAGAAAGTGACTGTCGAAATGCTCTCTGACAACCGGTACTGTGACAACAGGTATTCCCTACCAATCCCATTCTTTCAACAGTATTAAAGTAGAACTGGATTTACAATCCAAATACTTAATGCATGATACCTGCCGGCAACCATCCTGCTTGTATCATGCAGTTCTAGAACTACAATCAAAATACTCATCATGCATGGTGCCCAGAGAGGCACCAAAATGGCGGCCAGCACTAAAGTTGGCCCAAGTCCCTTGAATATAACAAATTCCCTTCCCCTTTTAGGTATCTACTGCTGGTACTGATGGAGGCTGAGAGGGCGTGGAGCTATGCCATGCAGCTGAAGCAGGAGGCAAACACAGAGCCCCGCAAGCGCTTCCACCTGCTATCCCGCCTGCGGAAGGCCGCCAAACATGGAGAGAGGCTGGAGAAGCTCTGTGAGAGCCCCCGTGTGGATGCAAAGACCAAACTGGAAGCACAGGTAGGCTAATGCCCTGACCTGGAGAGTCAGTGACTTTCCCTATTGTTTTACCTTCATTTATTTCAACATGGTTCAAATGCTGTTGAAGTGAAGTAAGAATTTTCAACTGAAACTAATATTTGAGACAAATATCTATCAGGTGAGGAACCATCAGTATAGGCAGCTGGGCGTGTCCTGGAGGAAAGAGCGCTTCAGGGCCCTGTCTTTGACCTAGGCCGAAATAACTGCTGATGACCTCTGAATTAATAATAATAAATAATGAATGCAACTTGTCTGCAGGCCTACACCTCCTACCTGAGTGGCATGGTGCGCTTTGAGCTGCAGGAGTGGAAGGCTGCCATGGAGGCCTTCAACAAGTGCAAGTGAGTCTGACCCCACTACCTAAAGGCCTAAGTGTGGCACTTTTGATTGCTGAGCTTTTGATCTAGAGGAGTAAGATGATACTTTGACCTGGGGCAAATGAGGCCTCAAGAATATAGGCTACATTGTATGTTGACAGATGTCAAGTTGTCTAATGTTTAAAAGCGGTACCTAAGCGTATGCTTAGCATAGCCAAACACATTCAGCAAATAGCTGTATTCCCGGACCACCATCTCGCTGCTTGTGAACTATAGAAAATGCCATGTGACTGTATTGTAACATCTCTCAGGACCATCTATGAGAAGCTGGCCAGTGCCTTCACTGAGGAGCTGGCAGTGCTGTATCACCAGCGTGTGGAGGAGATCTCACCCAATATCCGCTACTGTGCTTACAACATCGGTAGGTGACACACACAGTCCATCGCTCAGATTGACAGTGAATTGCACTCTCATATGCATTCACACATGCACACCTCTCATATAGAGAAAATCCTACACACCTATTCATTCTCCCACTTCTCTCTTTCCCACACCCTCGCACCGAACAACACAACTCATTCCTGTTCAGTTGACTGGTACTGAACAACCCTACTTTCCTCTGACTCCAGGGGACCAGAACGCAATGAATGAGCTGATGCAGATGAGGCTGAGTGCAGGAGGAGGAGGAGGCATGATGGCTGAGAAACTAGAGGTCAGTGTGTGGTCCCTCTCACTGTAAAACACATACATAATAACTACTACTTTACTACTGGGAAGTATGGCCATAAATCTGTCCCTACATCTATATTTTACTCTTTAGTGCAGAAAAAATCACTATGTTCCAATGTCCATACTGTTATACCACTAAGAATGCATGCCCAATACATTGCTACCTTTTTTCGGTAGCAAGCTAGTGTGGATATTGGATCAGACCTGCCTTATGTAGCATACTGTTAAATGGTCATATTATGGTATTTTTCTAGGCCCTGATCACACAGACGAGAGCCAAGCAGGCAGCCACCATGAGCGAGGTGGAGTGGCGAGGCCGAACGGTGCCCGTCAAGATCGACAAGGCCCGCATCTTCCTGCTGGGCCTGGGAGACAACGAGGCCGCCATCGCCCAGGTCAGTGACCCTACCAGAGGACTAGTCACATATGCCATTTTCACACTACTGAGCCAAGCAGAACTTGACTGGGCTGGCCTGGTTTCACATCCACCACAGTTGCTAGAACTGTGCCAGAAAGGACAATGTGAAAATAAAATATCAGAGCCGGCACAGTACGGTTCAGGTCAGCACGGCTCGACATTAACGCTTGTCCTCTTGTCCGGGACAACCAACAACAAAAAGTCGGACAAGCAGAATATAGATTTAAGTGGTACGAATGGACAAATAAATAATTCACATCAAAATATCAAGCAATTACTCTGATTAGAATTGGATCTAAGTGTCTTCTGGATGTGCTGTCTTGCGCACTTTTTTCCCCAATCTCTGCAGAGCGCATCTGAATAGAATTATTGTATTGCATTGACAGGTACGAGCGATCTTTCAATCACCTGTGGTTGCAAGATGTGCTTTTGAGATCACCCTGTTCATGTTTGTTCATTCCTTGCTAGCTAGTGAGTTATTTGCCCAGTTATTTTTGGTCAGCAAACAGGGTTCATTCTTTGCATCTTACAACATGCTTATCGGTGACCTTTTTTGGCCTATGGTGTTACAGGTCTTTAATTGTTTGGGGGGGACAAGTAACTTGAGCTTTCAGACAAGTAAAGAATTTGTCAAGTGGCTAAAAAAAACCGTTAATGTCAGGCCCTGAAAAGGGTTTTGCTGTTCTGCTTGGACACCTCTGCTTCATTATGGGCTAGTGGGCTTAGGGAAGTAGCTACAGGGCTAGTAGTAAACTTATGGGGCTAGTGGGCTTAGGGAAGTAGCTACAGGGCTAGTAGTAAACTTATGGGGCTAGTGAACAAGGATGCCTAATGGAACTAGAGAAACTGTTGGTGAACTAGGGGGCCAGTGAACAGGGGTATCAAGCTGTTATCAACCAGTCTGTTGGTGAACTAGGGGGCCAGTGAACAGGGGTATCAAGCTGTTATCAACCAGTCTGTTGGTGAACTAGGGGGCCAGTGAACAGGGGTATCAAGCTGTTATCAACCAGTCTGTTGGTGAACTAGGGGGCCAGTGAACAGGGGTATCAAGCTGTTATCAACCAGTCTGTTGGTGAACTAGGGGGCCAGTGAACAGGGGTATCAAGCTGTTATCAACCAGTCTGTAGGGAGAGGTTATCCTAAAGGCAGGTAAGGAGAAAGGGTGGCTATCATCTCGTGTAGTTCACCTTGGGTTTCAGTAGGTGGCGTTCTCTCCACTACAGCTCACTGACAGGTGTCTATTGTCAGACTCTCCTTACCTTCCCTGTCGGTCTTGATGTAGGCCTACCTCTTCCTCCCTGTGGCCACACCCGTCACACCCACCTGCACTCACAGCTCTGGCATGCCGCCGCTCGTGCTGTCAAACTGCATTCTATGCATAGCAACCCACACACTCACACGGCTACACCCATCAGCCCTAGTCTCTATGGACAGACAAGCATCAGAGCTAAATGGTTATCAGTTTGGGAGTGGGACCATCATTTGTGTTAGATGTAGCATAGAATTACATGTAATTGTGCTTACACTTTTGAAGTAAGGCTACATTTGGGTATGGTCAGAAATTCCCCTCATACCTGTCCTGTCCACAACCAGTTCTATCCAAATGTGCTTTTCGAGTTGAAGGTTAACATTTTATGCACCTTAATCCTTAATTGATATATTGTGAGTCAATGATTCTGTTACATTTATGAAACAGTTGGACCATTATGGCTGCCTCTACTTCTACACTCCCCTTATCTACCTCTGTTGTCTAAAGTAATGTCCCATTTTATACAGAGAAATTGGCATAGTAGGCAATGTAACCAATCACAACCCTCCTTTTACTTGTTTCATTGCACATCCTGCAAATGACCAGCAGAGGGTGACCATTTTGAATCTATTTTCACATTCTCTCTGTTGGTAATGCTTACAAACTCTCTAAAAGTAGCAGAGATCCAACTCTGGAACTTTGATATGCCTGTAGAGTATATTATGTTCAACAATATAGAGAAAATCAAAACAATTCAATATTCATAAATGTATGAAAATAATTTAAATCAAAATACTACTCATATTACAGAGCAAGCGGTAAAGATTAATATGTCACCAATTTTTCCTTTGTAGCACACATATTAAACATTATGGAGTCTTAAAAGGAGGCCTGGGTAAGGCCAAAATGTCACATGCCAACTTGAATGATTTCTCATTTATGCTTTTAGATACAAATGTCAAATATATGTCGACAATCCTTCCTCCAAAGGACTATTCTGTAGATTACATTTAGTGAAAATCCCCCAAATCATGGCCATTTTTGTCTGGGTTTCGTGAGGAATCACTCAACCATTCCAACGGAACTGCCATTTAAGGCCATGCACAGGCCCTTGGGGATATACTGAAAAGATATCCGCCATCCCTCCCTCTGTTAAAGGCACAGAAGACACCAGACTGGTTCTCCCAGTCCTGTTAGGGGACTAGGCGTTGCCAGGGTGGTGGCAATAGTTTGTGTGGCACCACAAGACACCCCCCCTACATGCTGGATGGATAGGAGTGAATGTTACTTCAGTCTGTCCAATACGAATTTGTGTTAAAGGGCAACTCCACAACTCTTCATCCTCATTTTAATTATCTCCAGCACAATACAATTTTTTACGTTAAGAAGTTCTACCCGATGACATCATCAAAAGTTACAACATTTTTAAAAACTGATTTTCAAACACAGATTCGTGGTGATGTGGGGAGCTAGAAACTCTTAGTTTTTTTAAATGACTTTTTTTCCTTTAATCCTACTCTGTGATGTCACAAGATAGGTTTCCATCCAATTCCAAAATCTGCATAAAGAAAATATCAGCGTGTGGTGTGTTTCCACAAAAAGTACTTACAGCAGATGTAAAAAAAATCGGTGCCTGATGACTTATTGTACACAATGTACTTTTTCTCTTAAGTTTTCATATATATCGAATAACAATCGAAAGTTCAATGTGTTTCCATTGCATTTTCAACTCTACCAATAGTATCAAATTGTCTTTGTCACATTCGGCGAATACAACCGGTGTAGACCTTAAAGTGAAATGCTTACAATCCTTTAACCAACAATGCAGTTTTTAAGAAAAATAAGTGTTAAGTAAAAAATAGATAAGTCAAATAATTAAAGAGCAGCAGTAAAATAACTGTAGTGAGGCTATATACAGCGGGTACCGGTACAGAGTCAATGTGCGGGTGCACAGGTTAGTCGGGGGGGGGGACAGACAATGCAAATAGTTTGGGTAGCCATTTGATTAGTTGTTCAGGAGTCTTATGGCTTGGGGGTAGAAGCTGTTTAGAAGCCTTTTGGACCTAGACTTGGCGCTCCGGTACCGCTTGCCGTTTTGTCACAAATGGTTGCGCTAAATAGCAAATGTTCCTACTCTGGTCTTGGCACACGCGCTCTAGCCAACTGCTCGCAAATACAGTGCGTAGGGTTGGGCTATATCCAGATTTTCATACCGTTTCTGTACCATACACAGTATTTCCAGAAGTGCACACAAGGGGCGCTATACTTTTGAAAATTGTATTTTAAGTAGTCATTTTTCTCTCCCACAAAACAATTTGGGCAACAGGGATCTTGATCCAGGAAAGGATTGAATGTCTCTGCTGTAACCAAGAAGCTTGATCTTGACATCTAGCCACTTAGCTAGCAAACCAAATGCATAGCTGGAGCCCTTAAATTATTTGACACAACTTAGATTTATTTTAATTTAACAGTATTTAAAATTATACCGTCGGAATTTTGAAATACCCAGATATACGGTATAACCGGTATACCGCCCAAGCCTAACTGTGCGGGTAGGCTACTTTACATAATGAGATTATTAAGAGCGAGAATATATTTTTGTCAAACGGCAGTCAAGCATCGATCATCATGTCACCAGAATAAGACCGTCGATATTAATTGGAAAGGAGCATCAAGGTCACTGGCATTTTCACCACCCTGTGAAGTTCATTATAAGTTATTTAATATGTAGCCTAATAAACTGCATGGTTTCCTGAGTTGTAGTGGGAGGACCACACATCATATCATCTCATGACTCGAATATGATGATTATTATGTAAATATTTGTGCATTAAGGAGTCTCCACCTCCATTTCTCGCATAATTAATTTTACAGACACAAAAAGATCCCACCATGTCGAATGAACAAATTATCTTTCGGCATTTATAAAATTGTACTGAAACCATCAGTTTCCATCACAGCTGTCATAATACATTTTTTTAAATACGGTATGACTTTACTCGCATAAAAACTGGATGGAAATGTGGTTAATGGTAAACATTCTTTTAGGATATTTTTATATTTTAACCACAGATCATATAAATGTGCCTTTTCAAATATGTAGACAGTGGTATGGTGCTGGAAATAATGAGATGATGAATATGAGGTTGAAAAGTGGCAGAATTGTCCTTTTTAAGTGGAACGCTCCCAAAGCATTCCCCGCCATGTTTTAGCGCTTTATTGATTGCTTAAGTGTTTTTGTCAGCTAAAGAGAAGACACTGGCGACTCCTCTGAGAATTACTATGTCTCACAAGCATGTACACAGATTCGTCAGAGGATAAAATGCAGCCAAATAATTTAAGATTGGATGGATTCGTCAGCAGGGGAATATATAACAAACATATTTTATTAGCAATTTTTTATTTAATATGGGCGCTGCTAGGACGTTCTAACTAGGACATATTAGTCATTGACGATATTGTAATATTTAATCCTATAACATTTCTCTGATTCACACTCATCTTCTAAAATGACTGACATTTTCATAAACAATACAAACCACAACACTTGGCTGCCTCCTAACCTGCAAGCTAGCCTACTGTACCGTAACCCAGGCTTATTGCAAGCTAGCCTACTGTACCGTAACCCAGGCTTATTGCAAGCTAGCCTACTGTACCGTAACACAGGCTTATTGCAAGCTAGCCTACTGTACCGTAACACAGGCTTATTGCAAGCTAGCCTACTGTACCGTAACACAGGCTTATTGCAAGCTAGCCTACTGTACCGTAACACAGGCTTATTGCAAGCTAGCCTACTGTACCGTAACACAGGCTTATTGCAAGCTAGCCTACTGTACCGTAACACAGGCTTATTGCAAGTTAGCCTACTGTACCGTAACACAGGCTTATTGCAAGCTAGCCTACTGTACCGTAACACAGGCTTATTGCAAGCTAGCCTACTGTACCGTAACACAGGCTTATTGCAAGTTAGCCTACTGTACCGTAACACAGGCTTATTGCAAGCTAGCCTACTGTACCGTAACACAGGCTTATTGCAAGTTAGCCTACTGTACCGTAACACAGGCTTATTGCAAGCTAGCCTACTGTACCGTAACACAGGCTTATTGCAAGCTAGCCTACTGTACCGTAACACAGGCTTATTGTGTAAATCTTGGGGGGGATATGAAGAACACGGCTTCTCTTTCACATCGATCCTGAGCTACAGTAACGCTAGGGATTGACCAATTACAGCAATGTCTACAGCAACCTGCTCTGCTGCATACTTCTGTCTCTCTCCCAGTCACAGCCTCACCCAAGACCTACTTTAAGTTTTACACTAATATTTACATGTTTGTATGATTTCATCTGATTCGTACAGGAAGCAAGGCTCTACAGTGCAACCATTTCAAGTATGAGCACATGTGCGAGTAAAATGCTGCCGTAGCTATTTTCAAAGTATTTCAGCTGTTTTGTTTCATACTCTTGCTATCGCACAAAGAAATACGAATCCCATATCCCACCTCGCGCTGAAACAGTGCCTGGGGGCTGTGCACACTGTAAGTAATGTGCTAAGAGATACATTTTTAGAAGGCCACAGCACAGGCATAGGGAAGATCTCTATTGCCTATGCCTTGTGTCCTCTATCCTCATGTCCTTCTCAATACCCATTGGAGGAGAAGGTCAGTGGAGGGGAGGTATATATGAATGTATATTGTATGTCGTATTTAAACTGGCTCACCATTTGTCACCCACAGGCAGCCAATGAGGAGACCAAGGAACGTCTGTACGAGACCCTGCTAGCCGAGTGCAGAGACACCATCCAGGCTGTGAGAGAGGAGCTGAAGACTGAAGCGGTAAGGATGACTGACTGACAGAGATACAGACATGACCGTTTTGGGTTACGGAATGATACATTTGAAGTTACAGACATGGCAGTTTGGGTTACGATCTGACCGGGGTTCACATTGATACTTGGGGTTACGGACCTGACATAGTAAAGTTCAAAGGATAAACAGTAACGTGAGTAGAAGGGTCAAGGACTACACCATACCCTGTCACTATCTGTCTATATGTAAATGCCCCCTGACTTTTCAACTCTGCAGAAGCAGCGAGAGAGATCTGATGAAGCCAGTGGCAAGGTGTCCAACCTGCAGTTCCTGCACAGGTAAGAGAGGTCATTGTGTCTGTCTGTGACATTTGTCAAAGGATGCAAGATGCATGGTGACCCCTATCTCCTCACCGCGTCCTCAACCGTATTGGAGGAGAAGGTCCAAGGTCCCTCCCTCAGACCGTCTTCTCCAATGAGTTTTGAGAAGATGAGAAATACAAGCAAATATGAATTAAGAGCCTATCTGTACATGGAACCGGTCTTTGGACCTGTTTGTGTTCCCCCTTCCATAGCTACCTGACCTACATCAAGCTGTGGACGGTGGTGAAGAGGAATGAGAGCATGGCCCACATGCTGCAGGCCAAGCTGAAGGAGCCGCAGACGGACGAGAACAAAAGGGGCCCTCGCCCCCAGGACCTCATCCGCCTCTACGACATCATCCTCCAGGTACAAAAACACACATTTGGGTTGTATTCAGTAGCCACAAAAAGGGGGAAAATAGAGTAAAACAGGGCGGTACAACCTGAGGTTGTTAAAAATGTATTTGTATTTTTCTGTTAAAATGTTTTGCTGTTGTGTGCGCTTATGAGTACACTTCTGATAAAACAACAACACGCGTCGCTTGTCATCTCTGGCTCATTCCAAATGTCTATCTGTTTCCTTGTCGTCTGATAATGTTACAGTAATTGATAGTGAAACTGAATGGTTTGATATTTTCCTGCTTCATAACCACAAAACATCCAAACCACTCTTGGAGTTGGAGAAAGTTAAAATACCTCTATTTACTCAGCATACCCAGGATCAAGTCCAAAAACTATACTGAACAAAAATATAAACTCAACATGTAAAGCGTTGGTTTCATGATCTGAAATAAAATAAAACAAATGTTCCATACGCACAAAAAGCTTATTTATCTCAAATTTTGAGGACAAATTTGTTTACATCCCTGTTAGTGAGCATTTCTCGTTTGCCAAGATAATCCATCCACCCGACAGGTGTGGCATATCAAGAAGCTGATTAAACAACGTGATCGTTACACAGGTGCACCTTGTGCTGGGGACAATAAAAGGTCACTCTAAATTGAGCAGTTCTGTCACACAACACAATGCCACAGATGTCTCAAGTTGAGGGAGCGTGCAATTGACTGCAGGAATGTCCTCCAGAGCTGTCGCCAGAGAATTGAATGTTAATTTCTCTACCATAAGCCGCCTCCAACGTCACTTTAGAAAATTTGCCAGGATGTCCAACCGGCCTCACAACCACAGACCACGTGTAACCACGCCAGCCCAGGAACTCCACATCCGACTTCTTCACCTGCGTCTGCGGGGGTGCCCGCCATTCAAGCCTAATGTTAAGCCCATAGAAATATAATGATTATTTCTGGTTAAGCCTCTACCAGTGAGTCATCTTGTCCTTGTTGATGTTGCCTCATGACTGTTTCTACAGAGTCTGGCTGAGCTGTCCACCCTGCAGGGGCTGGAGGAAGATCACACGTTCCAGAAGGAGGTGGCCCTCAAGATGCTGGTCTACAAGGCCTACAGGTCAGAGCTCACACCACAGAGGACACACATCACACACACATACGCAGTACACACACACACCGTCCACAAACACTCCCACAGGTGTTTCTTCATAGCCTTGATGTACAAGCTAGTAAAGAAATGGAGCGAACAACATATACACACACACAGTTATTGGCATGACCCCTGCCATTCAGGTGTTTCTAATCCGCCTCTGCCAGAACAGAAGCATGCACACAGTCACTAACATCCCTCCTATTTCTCCCTCAGGTGTTTCTTCATAGCCCAGTCGTACGTGCTGGTAAAGAAGTGGAGTGAGGCTCTGGTCCTGTATGAGCGGGTCCTGAAGTACGCCATGGAGGTCCAGTCCAAGGCCAAGAGCCTCAACAACAGCCTCAAGGTAACAGGCACTGACCCCTGACCTTTGACCCCTGACTGTGGCCAGTGTGTAAACGCACATTTTAACATACAGGTAACTGCCAAAATAAAGGAAACGCAACATAAATTGTCTTAATAGGGTGTTGGGCCACCACGAGTCAGAACAGCTTCAATGCACCTTGAGGATGGATGCGACACCATTCTTCCACAAGAAATTCCATAATTTTGAGTTTTGTTGATGGTGGTGGAAAACGCTCTCTCAGGTGCCACTCCAGAATCTCCCATAAGTGTTCAATTGAGTTGATCTGGTGACTGAGACGGCCATGACACGTTTACATCATTTTCATGCTCATCAAACCATTCCATGACCACTCGTGCCCTGTGGATGGGGGTATTGTCATCCTATGGGGGCATAGCCATGGTAGCAAAAATAATGGCTACCCAGTATTTCTATACATGACCCTACGCATAATTAACTCAGCACACCTGTGTGGAAACACCTGCTTTCAATATACTTTGTATCCCTCATTTACTCAAGCGTTTCCATTATTTTGGTAGTTACCTGTATATATAACTCAGGGTGAACTGAAAAGCTTTGTCGTCTGTCAAATACTACTCATGATATAGAATCAATTGGCTCTGGAGTTCAAACCATGACAATATCCACAAAGTAGGTGTTGTATTATCTGTTGGGCATTTTTGGGGGAGGGGGCCTGTCATTGAAATTGATGCAGGTAGGTAAACACGTGTTATTCATGATACTCTACTATTGGACCGTCTACAATGTCTTAACTAATGTATCTGTCTCCCTTGCCTATAGGATCTGCCTGATGTGCAGGAGTTGATCACAGAGGTCAACGCTGAGAAATACTCGCTTCAGGCGGCAGCCATCTTAGGTGGGTACCTGACTTGCAATGGCAGCCATTTTGTTTCTATAGGGTAATGCCCTTACCTGGGTTAGGCAACTGTCTTTGTAGTGACTTTTCTGCTTGACTTGTCATTGTTGTGACCTGACCAGTGTGTTATTTTTTTAATTCTCTTCCAAGACTGAGGTCTCTGGTTTATTTTGCTTGTGTTATGAAGCTGAGGGTGTGTGTTTGTATTTTAGACACGGAGGATGCTCCTGAAGCTCCCTCTCAGCAGAAGGTGAAAGACAACACGGTAAGAATGAAGAAAATCAGCCTCCTGCAAAAAAACAGTCTCACAGTTAACCACCCCCAATGTGCTTGGCCCTAACACTAATCTCTTGTGGAAAGAATATTGGTGTAATTACGACGTTTGGGTTTTTCCGTCACTGGTTATTTGGACTAAACAAGATTTCGACCTAGCGTTAGCATCTTTCGGATTTCGGAAGGGGAGGGAACATTCGGCCGTAACTTGCAAAGAGAGAGGGTGGAGTTCCTCGTTCTAGCATTTCTTGATCTCTTCTCTTAACATGGACCCAGAATTGAATCGAGCAGCTGACCAATTCCGTGAGACTTTAGTTGTGGGTTAACTCTGACATCTCTGTACCTCCCAAGTTCCAGCCTTGCCATTTTCTGGGTGATTTTCAGGTAATGGTGGGATAAATGAAAACGGAGTGTAGTGAATACTACTGTATGTATGTCTCCTGTAAGTCGCTCTGGATAAGAGCGTCTGCTAAATGACTAAAATGTAAATGTAAATGTATGTATGTATGTACAGTGAGGGAAAAAAGTATTCGATCCCCTGCTGATTTTGTACGTTTGCCCACTGACAAAGAAATTATCAGTCTAAAATTTTAATGGTAGGTTTATTTGAACAGTGAGAGACAGAATAACAACAACAAAAATCCAGAAAAACGCATGTCAGAAATGTTATAAATTGATTTGCATTTTAATGAGGGAAATAAGTATTTCACCCCTCTGCAAAACATGACTTAGTACTTGGTGGCAAAACCCTTGTTGGCAATCACAGAGGTCAGACGTTTCTTGTAGTTGGTCACCAGGTTTGCACACATCTCAGGAGGGATTTTGTTCCACTCCTCTTTGCAGATCTTCTCCAAGTCATTAAGGTTTCAAGGCTGACGTTTGGCAACTCGAACCTTCAGCTCCCTCCACAGATTTTCTATGGGATTAAGGTCTGGAGACTGGCTAGGCCACTCCAGGACCTTAATGTGCTTCTTCTTGAGCCACTCCTTTGTTGCCTTGGCCGTGTGTTTTGAGTCATTGTCATGCTGGAATACCCATTAACGGCCAATTTTCAATGCCCTGGCTGAGGGAAGGAGGTTCTCACCCAAGATTTGACGGTACATGGCCCCGTCCATCGTCCCTTTGATGCGGTGAAGTTGTCCTGTCCCCTTAGCAGAAAAACCCCCCCAAAGCATAATGTTTCCACCTCCATGTTTGACGGTGGGGATGGTGTTCTTGGGGTCATAGGCAGCATTCCTCCTCCACCAAACACGGCGAGTTGAGTTGATGCCAAAGAGCTCGATTTTGGTCTCATCTGACCACAACACTTTCACCCAGTTCTCTTCTGAATCATTCAGATGTTCATTGGCAAACTTCAGACGGCCCTGTATATGTGCTTTCTTGAGCAGGGGGACCTTGCGGGCGCTGCAGGATTTCAGTCCTTCACGGCGTAGTGTGTTACCAATTGTTTTCTTGGTGACTATGGTCAGAGCTGCCTTGAGATCATTGACAAGATCCTCCCGTGTAGTTCTGGGCTGATTCCTCACTGTTCTCATGATCATTGCAACTCCACGAGGTGAGATCTTGCATGGAGCCCCAGGCCGAGGGAGATTGACAGTTATTTTGTGTTTCTTCCATTTGCGAATAATCGCACCAACTGTTGTCACCTTCTCACCAAGCTGCTTGGCGATGGTCTTGTAGCCCATTCCAGCCTTGTGTAGGTCTACAATCTTGTCCCTGACATCCTTGGAGAGCTCTTTGGTCTTGGCCATGGGAAAGAGTTTGGAATCTGATTGCTTCTGTGGACAGGTGTCTTTTATACAGGTAACAAACTGAGATTAGGAGCACTCCCTTTAAGTGTGTGCTCCTAATCTCAGCTCGTTACCTGTATAATAGACACCTGGGAGCCAGAAATCTTTCTGATTGAGAGGGGGTCAAATACTTATTTCCCTCATTAAAATGCAAATCAATTTATAACATTTTATAACGTTGGTCTGGATTTTTTTGTTGTTATTCTGTCTCTCACTGTTCAAATAAACCTACCATTAAAATTATAGACTGATAATTTCTTTGTCAATGGGCAAACGTACAAAATCAGCAGGGGATCAAATTCTTTTTTCCCTCACTGTATGTATGTTAGTTGTACAGTAGTGAGAGGAAGTAGTGTTGGGAATAGTAGTGTGCCTACCACAGATCATTGCTTTACATGTGCCAGCCTGTTGGAAATAATACTCCCAGACCTGCCTCAGTCAATACAGGACAGAGCTGGAATGCTGCCTAGCAGACTGACACGGAAAAACAACGTTTGGGTGATAGATGACCTATATCAGGAGGCCTCTGCCAGACATATACTGTATGTCATTGTGTAATCCCACACCGGATTGGGTTTCACTCTTAAATCCGTCATAGAAATGTCATGATGCTGCTGCCATGAGCGGTGTATGTCGACATGGCAGGTATTAGAGTTGTTCACTGCTGAACCTAGTGCTGGTTCATGAAAGATTACCTCTGCTTTGCTAACAGACCCAAACCTCATGACAGGTTCTAGTCATTTACTTTTACCAGTCCCTGCTCTCCCTCTAATTTGTCTATTCCCCCTGTCCGTCCGTCCATCCAGCCTCTGTGCGAGCGCCTGGAAACCTTCCACCTGGACCCCACCCTGGTGGGGAAGCAGCCCAACCTGGTCCAGTTCCCCCCCGACTTCCAGCCCATCCCGTGCAAGCCCCTCTTCTTCGACCTGGCACTCAACCACGTGGCCTTCCCGCCCCTCGACGACAAGGTGGAGCAGAAGGGCAAGGGCGGCCTGACCGGCTACATCAAGGGCATCTTCGGCTTCGGCAGCTAAATGGAGTCCCAGGCTTCGGCGAGGCCTTCAGGGTGGAAGCCACCATGGGCCCCAATGATATTGATAAACAAGCTGAGTGGGTTTCTAGAATACTGGCTCTGTCTCCACCTGAACTGTGGAAACAATGTCTGTGTCTGGAAATGGCAACCTGTTCCCTTATGTATTACACAACTTTGACCCTACGGGCCCTGGTCGAAAGTAGTACACTGCATAGGGAATAGGGTGCCATTTCCAAAGCTACCAGTCTGAGACTTCATGTTATAGAGGTTTCCAGGCCTTGTGTTTGTTCCCTTCAACAACCCCCAACACACTTTACATAGGGAATACAAGCCCAATTGACTTATCTTGAATTATTTTCATTTACCAACTCTTAAAAGCGCCTTCATGTACCCGGTCTTAATGTCAGTATACAGAAGGGAGAGGAAGTGTTATATTAATCACGATCATAAAGGACAAACTGTAATAAATGCAGGCACAGGGTAATTCCACGACCGAGCCGTGATGTCTCATAACACATTCATTTCTGATAGGATTTTGACAGTATCACCTCTGTATTGCCTCAACTTTCTTATGACTGTAATATCTAGATTGTGAGACAAGTTCTCATTTCAGAGAATAATCTATTCAATGTATCTGTCCTTGTCCTGCACGCCAATACATCTCTGCATGGATGACACTTAAAGTTAGACTAGACATTAGGATTGAAATGGTCCTGTTAATTTCCTTACACAACAATGTGGTTCAGTGGCCAATTACTTTATATTTGGTACAGGAAAGAACTCTATAACATGTATGTTTTATATTCTCTAATGATCTTACTTTTTAAAACATTTATGTAAGTTCTGTGTGTGACAAAAGACAGAATGACCTTTGAGGTCAAAGGTGACTGCTTAGATCCCTTTTCGCCTCACCCCCGAAAGTCTAGGAGGCAGCGTTCATGAACTTCTGTCCAAAACAACCCTAGTATGTCTAGAAATACTGTCTTTTAATACACACTACTTCGTCGTATCAGTTGGGTCGTATTCCAACATCTTTTTAAGGGGAGGGAGCAGGCACCCTTTTTGAGTGCTCAACACCTCTTCAGCTTTCCCTGTACCAAAGCCAGTTCTGTAATCAAGGTTCTTTAGCTATTCAATGGACCTCATATTTGCATTTGTCTATGATGACTAACCGTATTCTACACTACAGGTTGTCAATTTACCTTCTGTCCTCTCTTCAATCTGACTCTTTGTTTTCTCTTTAATTTGGGGTTATATAAGTCTTGTACTTAGTCATTTTACTTCTATGCATTTTTTTTAAATAAACAGGATTTGGGTTAGATGCGTTGGAATGGTTTCACGCATCATCACCCAAGATGGCCCAAAAATAATTGTTAACATGATTTGCAAACTAAGTGGAGTATTGAAAGAAAAAATTGTGAAATGGATGATGAAATAGTTTCCAGGCTTCTAATTAAAAAAGAGATACATTTGCGCCAAACATGACCAGAGTTTGACCTTTATTCACTCATCCCTAGCTTCGAACGTTTCAAGATGTGAAAACTTAGTTTTCACTCACTTTTTTTAGTTTTACTTTTTCTCTTAGGATTGAACATGTGACTGATAATGACTTTGTACTGTAGCATAGCTGCAATCGACAACCTCTATCACACAAACTTTAAGTCTGCTACTATAATTTCGCAATAAGGCCAGAGGGGCTGTGATATATGCCACGGCTAAGGGCTGTTCTTAGGCGCAACGTGTAGTGCCTGGCTACAGCCCTTAGCCGTGGTATGATGGCCATACGCCACAAACCCCCAAGGTGCCTTATTGCTATTATTAACTTGTTACCAACTTAATTAGAGCATTAAAAATAAATGTTTTGTCATACTCGTTGTATACAGTCTGATATACCACAGCTGTCAGCCAATCAGCATTCAGGGCTTGAACCTCCCAGTTTATAATAGTGCTTTTGGCACTCCCACAGAAGCTTATTAGTGTAGTTTTGTGATCATAGGCTCCTGTGTCAGGTGTGGGAGCAGCATGAGATGCCGGTGTTGGGTGTGTTTTTGTCCCAGGCAGGCATACAGGTGCTACATGTTAACAACTTTAAAAGCTAATCAGCCTCCCACCACCTAACGTTTTTCCTTGATCCCTTATTGGTTATCAACAGTTGGGCTCTCATCACAAGCCGATATGTGCATTCCACCACACACTTCAGACACCATAAAATGCGTTCTGACCTCGTGGTATGGGTAATTGTGTGTGTTTGATAACTGCCCATGATCAGGAGTCGTCATCAGTATGATGATGATTGATGTACTGTTTGTCTGGTGAATCCGTTTCATTCTACTGTATACATATCTATACAGGGTTATGTACTTCCGTATAAAATGGCTAATCACAATTCTACTTTATGTGTGCGCTAAATTAATGTGGCACACCCCTGTATTAGGCTACATGGATTACACCATCGCTGTATTACACCCCTGTATACACACAATCACACACCTATGTTTACTGTTTTCCCATGCACTCTTACTGCAAAAGTGTTGCCATAGGAACCTTGAGGCTGGCAGTTCCTCCAAGTTTTACCCATGTTCCTTGTACTCCACCCAAACACCTACACGGTATGGCAGCGTGACAACTGAGTTTTCCTAATGATTGTGACTTTAGGAAAAGTCAGATGTGGTATGGCTTCAATATAAGGAAATTGACAACCCTGTCCATTGATAAAAGCAGCCATATTTTCCCCCTCATGGCCATTCTTGAGGAAGACTAATGTTGAGGGCATTACCAAAACACCTCAGGTAACACCTGATTACACTCAAACCCCTCACAGAATTAGCAAAAACAGTAACTTATTATCAATCAATGGGCAAATAATATGCTTGTTAAACCAGACTGAACATGACATGACATCAAGTAAAACAATGGTGAGTTCAACCAGGCTATAGGCAAATAATCCCTTAATGGCCCCAATGGCTATTTATGACATGAGTAAGGTCATTTTATTTAGTTGTACATAAGTCCATACTTAACAAAAAAAAATGCAACATGTTTCGTGAGCTGAAATAAAAGATCCCAGAAATGTTCCATACTGACGAAAAGCTTATTTTTCTCAAATGATGTGCACAAATTTGTTTAAATCCCTGTTAGTGAACATTTCTCCTTTGCCAAGATATTCATCCACCTGACAGGTGTGGCATATCAAGAAGCTGATTAAACAGCATGATCATTACAAGCATGCACCTTGTGCTGGGGACAATAAAAGGCCACTCTAAAATGTGCAGTTTTGTATCACAACACAATGCCACAGATGTTTAAAGTTTGGAGGGAGTGTGTAATTGGCATGCTGATTGCAGGAATGTCCACCAGAGCTGTTGCCAGATAATGTAATGTTAATTTTTCTACCATAAGCCGCCTCCAACATTGTTTTTGCGAATTTGGCAGGATGTCCAACCGGCCTCACAACCACAGACCACGTGTAACCACGCCAGCCCAGGACCTCCACATCCAGCTTCTTTACCTGCCGGATCGTCTGAGACCAGCCATCCGGGCAGCTGATGAAATTGAGGATTATTTCTGTCTGTAGTAAAGCCCTTTTGAGGAAAACTCATTCTGATTGGCTGGGCCTGGCTCCCCAGTTAGTGGGCATGGCTCCCAAGTGGGTGGGCCTTAGCCCTCCCAGGCCCACCCATGGCTGCGCCCCTGCCCAGTCATGTGAAATCCATAGATTAGGGCCTATTGAATTGATTTCAATTGACTGATTTCCTTATATGAACTGTACCTCAATCAAATCGTTGAAATTGTTGCATGTTGCATTAATATTTTTTTCAGTAGAAAATGTCAAGCTATTTAAATAAAATCGAAGGAAAATCAAACATTCAATAAATCAAAAGCTCAGTAAATAATATGTAACTAAATCAAATAATCAAGGCAAACTAGGCAGATCAAATAAAAAATAGTAAACAAAAATCTAATGGCCATCAAAAGGAATGGAGGGAAATATCTATCAACAATAAAGAAATAAAAAAATCTATGTCCTTTCGCTGTATGGCATGAGTAAAGGAAAAAAGTCTGGCGTGCAAACCGATATTTAATTTCAGAATTGGTTAAAATTAGGATAAGGTCAGGGTTAAGGATTTGGTTGAGGTTGGGAATAAATTATGTTTCCAGTGATTTTTTTTTGTCGACATTTAGAAAGTTTGCATAGAGAATAGATGCGACAATTGCCTGCTAAGGTGCGTTTCCATTGAACTGTCTTGTGTCGATAAAAACAGCTGGATGTAATTATGTCACACCCCCAAAAAATGTAGAATAAAAATGAAGTGGTTGAAGTGTTTTCATTATCCATTTAGGCAATTGGGCATGAATAAATTGGTGACAGCCTGTATGCTCTCCCACCTAGCATTTATAATTACATCAGGTGCCCCGCGTACCTTCAAAATGATTCTGCAATTATCATTTATTCGAAAAACACAATTTCCATCACCATTTGTCGCAATAAAGAAAGAAAAATCCACCCCTGTCGAACAGATACACATTTTGTCGATCTTTAGAACATTTCTACTGTAGCTGCCGTTTCCATTACATTTTTTTTGCGACATTGCTTTTGTCAAATAAACCTGAGTCAATAGAAACCTGCCTACTTTTGGATTTTTTCTAGTCGGGCTGTCAATTGAAGCTTAGCAGACATCCTAGTCTTGAATGAATGTACAAGTCTTCCGTTTGGCAAACAAGGACACTATCAATGTATGAAATATTTGTATGATTAAATATTTTGCAGTGGGCCTACTAGTTGAGATTTCCCTTGTCTTAGATCACTCCCAATAACAGTAATTATAGGCCTCTATCCTGTTCCTTGTTGATTGCTTGTCAACCTATTGATTAGAGCATTCATCATTTTGATATCTGGTTTTATAAAGGTGCACAGCAGTCTCCTGTCTATACCTGGGTAATTGGGGATAATGTCAAACTTTATTGTAGATTTGTGACAGGCCATCGTTTGACGCTAGTTTCTACTTCACAGTAGGGCTGTTTTTGGTTGCAGAAATGGCTTCATGAAGATGTGAACTTTCATGTGTCTTAATTATAAACTTGTATGGGAATAATAAATATGAATACAAATGTTAAATTATGAGCCTAGTTTAGCCAAGGAGAAAGCACTGAGCTACAGTGGGGAGAACAAGTATTTGACACACTGCTGATTTTGCAGGTTTTCCTACTTACAAAGCATGTAGAGGTCTGTAATTGTTATAATAGGTACACTTCAACTGTGAGAGACGGAATCTAAAAGAAAAATCCAGAAAATCACATTGTATGATTTTTAAGTAATTCATTTGCATTTTATTGCATGACATAAGTATTTGATCACCTACCAACCAGTAAGAATTCCGGCTCTCACAGACCTGTTAGTTTTCTTTAAGAAGCCCTCCTGTTCTCCACTCATTACCTGTATTAACGGCACCTGTTTGAACTCGTTACCTGTATAAAAGACACCTGTCCACACACTCAATCAAACAGACTCCAACCTCTCCACAATGGCCAAGACCAGAGAGCTGTGTAAGGACATCAGGGATAAAATTGTAGACCTGCACAAGGCTGGGATGGGCCTACAGGACAATAGGCAAGCAGCTTGGTGAGAAGGCAACAAATGTTGGCACAATTATTAGAAAATGGAAGAAGTTCAAGATGACGGTCAATCACCCTCGGTCTGGGGCTCCATGCAAGATCTCACCTCGTGGGGCATCAATGATCATGAGGAAGGTGAGGGATCAGCCCAGAACTACACGGCAGGACCTGGTCAATGACCTGAAGAGAGCTGGGACCACAGTCTCAAAGAAAACCATTAGTAACACACTACGCCGTCATGGATTAAAATCCTGCAGCGCACGCAAGGTCCCCTGCTCAAGCCAGCGCATGTCCAGGCCCGTTTGAAGTTTGCCAATAACCATCTGGATGATCCAGAGGAGGAATGGGAGAAGGTCATGTGGTCTGATGAGACTAAAATGGAGCTTTTTGGTCTAAACTCCACTTGCCGTGTTTGGAGGAAGAAGAAGGATGAGTACAACCCCAAGAACACAATCCCAACCGTGAAGCATGGAGGTGGAAACATCATTCTTTGGGGATGGTTTTCTGCAAAGGGGACAGGATGACTGCACCGTATTGAGGGGAGGATGGATGGGGCCATGTATCGCGAGATCTTGGCCAACAACCTCCTTCCCTCAGTAAGAGCATTGAAGATGGGTCGTGGCTGGGTCTTCCAGCATGACAACGACCCGAAACACACAGCCAGGGCAACTAAGGAGTGGCTCCGTAAGAAGCATTTCAAGGTCCTGGAGTGGCCTAGCCAGTCTCCAGACCTGAACCCAATAGAAAATCTTTGGAGGGAGCTGAAAGTCTGTATTGCCCAGCGACAGCCCCGAAACCTGAAGGATCTGGAGAAGGTCTGTATGGAAGAGTGGGCCAAAATCCCTGCTGCAGTGTGTGCAAACCTGGTCAAGACCTACAGGAAACGTATGATCTCTGAAATTGCAAACAAAGGTTTCTGTACCAAATATTAAGTTCTGCTTTTCTGATGTATCAAATACTTATGTCATGCAATAAAATGCAAATTAATTACTTAAAAATCATACAATGTGATTTTCTGGATTTAAGTTTTAGAGTCCGTCTCTCACAGTTGAAGTGTACCTATGATAAAAATTACAGACCTCTACATGCTTTGTAAGTAGGAAAACCTGCAAAATCGGCAGTGTATCAAATACTTCTCCCCACTGTATATAGGGAGAAAGACAGGTTCCTTCATGGATAGCCATGATTGTCTGAGATAATGGGGGGCAGGTAGCTTAGTGGTTAAGAGCGTTGTGCCAGTAACCGAAAGGTCACTGGTTCTAATCCCCGAGCCGACTAGGTGAAAAATCTGTCGATGTGCCCTTGAGCAAGGCACTTAACCCTAATTGCTCCTGTAAGTCGCTCTGGATAAGAGCGTCTGCTAAATGACAAAAAATATAAAAAATATATAATGGTGGGGTTAACCATACTGACAGTTGGTCCTGCGTTTACATATGAATTCTTAAAGAGTTGGGTGGGGCTAAGGCTTAAGAGGGTGTGAACGATGTTGAATGGGCATTCACAAAGAAGAGCTCTCTAGAAAGTGTGAAAATAATTTTCTCCGAAATGGGATAGCAAGTTTCGCAAATTTCAAAGCAGCATGTTTACTCCAACAGTGTATGAAATACCATTTTGAAGCCGAGTTTGTATAAAATGTAAAAAACTAAAGCAAAATCACTTACATTTGACATAACCCCCCATAGAGAAATCTGGTCACATTTGTGAAAGCTTGGTTGAAGCCCACTGTAAGGAATATGTACTTGTATTGTATATAACAGACCCAATTTTCTTATGGTACAGTTGAAGTCGGAAGTTTACATACACCTTAGCCAACTACATTTAAACTTAGTTTTTCACAATTCCTGTCATTTAATCCTTGTAAAAATTCCCTGTCTTAGGTCAGTTAGGATCACCACTTTATTTTAAGAATGTGAAATGTCAGAATAATAGTAGAGAGAATTATTTATTTCAGCGTTTATTTCTTTCATCACATTCCCAGTGGGTCAGAAGTTTACATACACTCAATTAGTATTTGCTAGCATTGCCTTTCAATTGTTTAACTTGGGTCAAACGGTTCGGGTAGCCTTCCACAAGCTTCCCACAATAAGTTTGGTGAATTTTGGCCCATTCCTCCTGACAGAGCTGGTGTAACTGAGTCAGGTTTGTAGGCCTCCTTGCTCGCACCCGCTTTTTCAGTTCTGCCCACACATTTTCTATTGGATTGAGGTCAGGGCTTTGTGATGGCCACTCCAATACCTTGACTTTGTTGTCCTTAAGCCATTTTGTCCACAACTTTGGAAGTATGCTTGGGGTCATTGTCCATTTGGAAGACCCATTTGCAACCAAGCTTTAACTTCCTGACTGATGTCTTGAAATGTTGCTTCAATATATCCACATCATTTTCCTTCCTCATGATGCCATCTATTTTGTGAATTGCACCAGTCCCTCCTGCAGCAAAGCACCCCCACAGCATGATGCTGCCACCCCCAGTCCTTCACGGTTGGGATGGTGTTCTTCGGCTTGCAAGCAACCCCCTTTTGCTCCAAACATAACATTTTACATTTACATTTTAGTCATTTAGCAGACGCTCTTATCCAGAGCGACTTACATTACACTTTTATTTTTTTTTCATACTGGCCCCCCGTGGGAATCGAACCCACAACCCTGGCGTTGCAAACGCCATGCTCTACATCCCTGCCGGCCATTCCCTCCCCTACCCTGGACGACGCTGGGCCAATTGTGCGCCGCCCCATGGGTCTCCTGGTCATGGCCGGCTACGACAGAGCCTGGATTTGAACCAGGATCTCTAGTGGCACAGCTAGCACTGCGATGCAGTGCCTTAGACCACTGCGCCACTCGATGGTCATTATGGCCAAACAGTTCTATTTTTGTTTCATCAGACCAGAGGACATTTCTCAAAAAAGTACGATCTTTGTCCTCATATGCAGTTGCAAACCGTAGTCTGGCTTTTTTATGGCGGTTTTGGAGCAGTGGCTTCTTCCATGCTGAGCGGCCTTTCAGGTTATGTCGATATAGGACTCGTTTTACTGTGGATATAGATACTTTTGTACCTGTTTCCTCCAGCATCTTCACAAGGTCCTTTGCTGTTGTTTTGGGATTGATTTGTTATTATTATTATTATTATTATTATTATGATTTGCACTTTTTGCACCAAAGTACGTTAATCTCTAGGAGACAGAACGCGTCTCCTTCCTGAGTGGTATGACGGCTGCGTGGTCCCATGATGTTTATACTTGCGTACTATTGTTTGTACAGATAAACGTGGTACCTTCAGGTGTTTGGAAATTGCTCCCAAGGATGAACCAGACTTGTGGAGGTCTACACATTTTTTTCTGAGGTCTTGGCTGATTTCTTTTGATTTTCCCATGATGTCAAGCAAAGAGGCACTGAGTTTGAAGGTAGGCCTTGAAATACATCCACAGGTACACCTCCAATTGACTCAAATGATGTCAATTAGCCTATCAGAAGCTTCTAAAGCCATGAAATCATTTTCTGGAATTTTCCAAGCTGTTTAAAGGCACAGTCAACTTAGTGTATGTAAACTTCTGACCCACTGGAATTGTGATACAGTGAATTATAAGTGAAATAATCTGTCTGTAAACAATTGTTGGAAAAATGACTTGTGTCATGCACAAAGTAGGTGTCCTAACCGACTTGCCAAAACTTTAGTTTGTTAACAAGAAATTTGTGGAGTGGTTGAAAAACGAGTTTTAATGACTCCAACCTAAGTGTATGAAAACTTCTGACTTCAACTGTATGTGTAAAATATAGTTTCTCTGTTGGATATATTCTAACATTCAGAACTTTTTAAAATCAATGTAATACTTGGAAATGTATTGTTTTACAACAGGGATCATCACACAGTAAACCATCTATCTGCCACTTCTATTTGTTTATGCCCCCCCCCCCACCCACACACACCCACCCACCCACACACACACACACACACACACACTATAGGAACAGAGTACACAGGCATCCACTGTGTTCATTAAGATAGGATTGTACTTCATCTTGCCTTGCTTAAGGTTTACATTACCTCCACTACCTAGTATCTAATTACCCACAAGCCCATATGTTATTCTACACTGATCCTTATAGAAACGGAATGTTTCTCCAGACTAATACTCCCTAGCAAAATAGTAACAGTGACTTTAGAAAACCTGACAGTGAACTAATGAATGGGGAGGGTTGAACTAGAGAGGTGACTGAAGGAGGGCAGGAGTGAGGAGAAGGGGGAGTGTGTAGAACAGGTTGGCCCGGTCCTGTGGAACTAAATAGATGTCTGGGTGTTGAGTCGACACACTTGTTAACAGGGAGGGGCACAGGTACACTTTCAGTCAGCTTAATCACAGTGCTGACACCAACAGGGACACATACTAAAATACGCACAGGGAGTGTGTGTCTTTTCTGTGAGAGCGAGAGCGGAACAGAGAGTGTAAGGGGACCAGAGAGACTTGAGTTCTGTCCGTGGAGTGGAACTTCCACTCACCAAAAGATCCAGGATGTTCAAGAAGAAGGATAGTAATACCGTGAAGGTGTCCAGCAAGACCAGCAAGTGAGTCTTTAAGGAACGATAGCAAACTCGGTCCACCCTACCTCCTTCCTCCTTTCCTCTCCTTCTTCCTAAACTTGGATATGTTTCATTTTTTTTTTGCTGTGTTGCCCTCTTTCTCATAGAATCCTCAGGAATCTCCTTTGTTTGTTTCATTCCTAACTCCTGGATAATGGTGTTGTAGTCAAGAAGACAAACTTTGTTCTATGTAAATTTCACCCTATAGAAAAATATGAGTCACTTGAGCTTCCCTAAGGTTGATAATCAACCTTTACCTTTTGTTTTGTCTTGCACTGGGCATAGACAGCTTGGCACCAGGATGGTTGGTGTTTATGTTGAGGCAATGGAGACTGACGTTAATGGAGATGTAACCTATAAGTCTATGGGTGTTACACTGCTGAAAAGACTCCCACGAGAAAGAGATGGGAATGAAAATGCTTGAAGCGTGAATTCATGGAAAGTGTGTTAGTTGATCATTGTGATACTCAAATAGCAGGATGATCGTCTTCTAGTATCCATGCACTATTCCTGGACTACATTCAAAAACTTGTCATCGGTTTCCCTTTGCTCTTTCCTTTAAGAACACTGATTTAGTGAAAGGACTTAGCATGTCTCTACTTGGAAAGCTTTTAATGGAGTCAAGGAAAGTTAACAATTTAGGATTATTGGTACACAGCTCTCTACAGTTTGACAGTTCAAATGGGTCTTATCCACTGTGTCCTGAGCAAGAGGGAGGGAGAGAAGAAAGAGAGAGATGGAAGGGTTAGAGACCGAGATGAAAGATAGAGGTGATGACAATTCGGAGAGCGAGAGTGAGAAGAGTGCCACTGGTTTCACCCTGCCTCAGGGTCACTGTGTGTTTGATGGCCCTGCTGATCAGGGCAGGGCAGATAAGGCTTCTGTCTGTGCTGTTCAGCTGGTTTCTCCATGGCCTATAGGTGTTGACTCACCCTTTCGCCACGGTGGTGCAAATGGGATATTTAAAGGGAATGTCCTTGTCTGGTTGATAGACTGCACTGTGAAGAGTACTACAGTACAACTGTTGATGAAGCATTTAATCACAGTGAAAATACTTTAGTATAGTAGGCCTATCTTAGTTATGGAGGAGGGCATTGGTGTAAAATGTATTTAATGTGTTTAAGGCGCTTAAATAGTTCACCCAGTCCGTCGCCTGTAGAAGTTGTCATTGGAGGGATAGTGGTGTTTGAAGGGGAGGTTTGTGAGTCATGTAGTGCTGGTATTTAAAGGTTAGTGACTTATCACATCAGTGCTGGTATGGGTCCATAGGGGCAGGTTGACATGAAAACACGGATCTACGGATCACTGAATCTGTCATCTTATGCTGCTGGTACAAGCATATGTCATCTCATTACATCACAATACATGTTTTACTGTTGATAACAACACTTTAAATTCAAAATGGCTCCTTAGGTTAAAAGGAACATGGACAACAAGATTGGGGTCATCAATTGTAGTCAGTTCAGCAAATTCATCTTCACAGTCAAAATAGTGGACTATTTTCGACACATGAACTGAATATCACCTGAATTGGTAAAATGAATTGATCCCAACTCAGATGAACAGTTGTATTTTACAGCTTATCAGGCAATCTGAATAGCCTGGATTCAAAGCTGTGGAGAAGTATTCAGCACACTTCTAACACTCTCTGGAGATCAATGCTCTACCTTGAGTACCCACTAGGTACCCCTGTAGCTCAGTTGGTAGAGCATGGCGCTTGCAACGCCAGGGTTGTGGGTTCGTTTCCCACGGGGGGCCAGTATGAAAAATGTATGCACTCACTAACTGTAAGTCGCTTTGGATAAGAGCGTCTGCTAAATGACAAAAATGTAAAATGTAGGTCAGCCGAGAGAGAGAGCAATACAGACAGTCACAAAGAGGGAGTGACAGAGAGACAAACAAATAGTTGTTATGGAGTGTTCAGCGTTTTGGGAATTCTCAGGTGGGGCAGTGGAAGTGATTCACCCTCCCGTTGATCCCAGGTCAACGGGAGGGTGGCATACTATTCCCTACATATTACACTACTTTTGACCAGAGACATGGCCAAAAGTACTGCACTATGAAGGGAATAGGGTGCCTTTCGGGACTCCTGCTTGGTCTCATTTCAAGAGTGTTGTCTTATGTAGGGCCAGGAGTTTTTCCTGAAAATGAAGAACTCAGTGCCCTAGTTATAGGTTCCAGAGTTCTTCTGGTCCTAGTCGTACAGCTTCACACACATCTACTCTGTCTGTGTCACTATCTATTCTTAGCCTGTGGTTTTATATCTAATGATTTTGCATGTTAGGTTTTGTAACTGAATAGCTTACACAAGGATAATGGCCTCAGTATCCATCTTAAATGTTTAGCACCTCAACCTTGACCTTCATTGGTCACTTAAATCAAGGACAACAACTGCAGTGCTCGTAAATGGTCCAAAACTAAAAAATGATTGATAGGATTCAGACAGAGTTTCCATTTCCACATTCCTCTCTCTGCCTCATTCCTTTTTGTATTTTGTATCTTCTTTGCTATTGATCTAAATCTTTATTCTTTAACCTTTGCCCTCTTAACAGGCCCACAACCAACGACTTGGCCTTGGTGATTGCGCGCATGCAAAGTAATTCCGACCAGGTGGAGAAAGATATCCTCCGGGCCGAAGAGCTACTTGCTGTGGTGAGAACACACACTCACAGTCTCTCTCTTTCTTTCTCTAGAAATAATAGTGTGTCCATGGACTCAATTCTGGCCACTAACCGTTCTCGTCTCACCTACTGTCTTCATCCCCATTGCCATGTAGGACGCAGAGAGTGAGAAGAAGAACCTGCCCCTCCAGCACCAGAAAGTGGTGGCAAACAACCTGTCTGAGGCTGAGGGCCTGCTGAATGACCTCTTCCTGGATGTGGACAAGGCCAAGAAGTACAAACACCCCCAAGGCAGCGAGATAGAGAGCGAGTAAGTGACCTTTTATAGGCCCAACCCACTGTGCACAGACGTCAATTCAACGTCTATTCCACGTTGGCCACAGCATTTCAATGAAATGACGTGGAAACAACGTTGATTCAACCAGTGTGTTCCCAGTGGGATATCCCCAAGCCATAAGACTCCTAACAGCTAATCAAATGGCTACCCGGACTATTTGTATTGTCCCACCCCCTCTTTTACGCTGCTGCTACTCTCTGTTTATTATCTATGCATAGTCACTTTAACTCCACCTACATGTACATATTACCTCAATTACCTCGACTAACCTGTGCCCCCGCACATTGACTCTGTACCGGTACCCCCTGTATATAGCCTCGCTACTGTTATTTTACTGCTGCTCTTTAATTATTTAATATTTTTTACTTATCTATTTTTTACTCAACACAAAATTTTCTTAAAACTGCATTGTTGGTTAAGGGCTTGTAAGTAAGCATTTCACCTGTTGTATTCGGCGCATGTGACAAAAAAAAGGATTTGATATATCTTATGAACACTGATATCATTTGGGCTCTTCAGCTGCTTCAAAAAGATGAGTCTTTACCATAAATCCATCTTTCCCTTTAAGACATTTGATCATTGGGGGATACAGTAAAGGTCCAGCTGCATTTATTGACTAAAACGTGCCAGTTCCCTTTGTTATCATGCTCATGCTGAACATACTAAACGTCTTTTCCCCTCCCTCCCTCAACCTTTGGGTCATTCCAGTGTCAAACACCTCCATGACCGTTGGCTGAAAGACTGTGCCTTCTACCGGGACATCTATGAGCCTGTCAACGATGTGGAGCTAATGCCCAGAATCGACTGGGCTTCAGTGCTCAATCAGAAACAGGTAAATTAAGTGTCCTCTTCTTCTTTGGCAACTAACTTAAGACCAAGCCTCCCTATTGTAAACATCCTTATAAAATAATGGTTCTCATCCCCTTGACAAACTGTTCTGTTGACCAATCCAAGCTGAAATGTGCATGCAATCCACCTTCCTTCAGTTGTACTATATATTGACTGACTTGGTTAAAACAACAGTACACAACACAACAACTAACACAACAGTACACAACGTTCAGTTCATCATTATCCTAAAATACCCCATAAGAATGCATACTACCACAAAGCCTCTTTAGTTTTCTTCTGAGTGTAATTGTGTCCGTGACTGACCATACCCTTCTGTGTGTCTGTCTCTCAGAGGGAGGTGAACACAGAAGAGTATGGGCCCACCATGGCTGACCTGAAGAAGCAGATCGCTGCCCACAACATCCTGCACAAGGAGATCGAGGCCTACAGCTCCCAGCTCAGCACCAGCTCCACCAGCACCAAGGTAACCCCTTCAACTCTCTCATCTCCGTGACGACTAATTCAAGGGTTCATGGATTGAATGGATGTATTTGAAAATGTCTTGTAGCTAGTGAACATGACAACAATTCATTTGTGTTTCAGGAGGAGTATGCTGCCATCAAGAAACAATACAACAACCTTTTGGTAAGTCATAGTTGTCATATGGTTACTATGAGATACAGAGGAGGCTGGTGGGAGGAGGTATAGGAGGACAAGCTCATTGTAATGTCTGGAATGGAATAAATGGAACAGAGTCAAACGTGGTTTCCATATGTTTGATGTGTTTGATACTGTTCCATTTATTCCATTACAGCCATTACAATGAGCCCGTCCTCCTACAGCTCCTCGCACCAGCCTCCTCTTATGAGATCGGTGGGATTTCACTTTCAATCTTAAAAGTAATTGTAACATATGTTCTCTTTTTGGTGTGACTCTTTACAGTTGTTATATAATATTGTTATATCCCCACAGGACAATTCAAAATGGCGGCACCACTACCTGAGCAGTCTGTATGACTACATGCAGGGCTGTAACAAGGAGCTGGCCTATCTAGGAGACGAACAGGACAAGATCCTGAAACAGGACTGGAGCGACCACATGTTGGATCCTCCGGATGTCCGCAGACAGTATGAGGTGAGAGACCATCTTAGGGGTCAAATAGAGTGTCATTCGATGTCAATGGACTTAATATAACAACAAAGTATGAAAATGTTGCTTGAGGAGGTGCTTCATACGTTTCTGGCATGGATGTACATTTCGTTTTCCATTACTGAATGAGCCGTGTTCAGTGACATCATATTACATTTTTTATCTCAATCAGAACTTCAAGAACAACAGCCTGCTGTCCCATGAAAGCGAAGTGAACAAACTCCAGGATGACGGAGATCGACTCATTGAACTAAAGCACCCGGCCAGCACCACAATACAGGTACATGCCAATAACCAATAAAAACTTGTCTTCAATCAAGAATCAATCACTCTTCCATAGATTAGACTTCTACATTTAGGTCCACCAAGTTTAGAATGTTCCTGAAAGATATAGAGATTTTCCTTTACGTGATGGCTTCATCTTTATACTTGTTTCAGGCTCAGAGAGATGCTTTGCGGAATGAATGGCAGAAGTTCCTTAACCTGTGCATCTGCCAAGAGACCCATCTGGATTACGTTGAGGATTTCAAGAAGGTAAATGTCACTCAGAATACATTTACAAGGCTTCTTAGTATCTACATCAGTTTAGAATAATATTCAGACTTCTGTCTTTCTGGTCAGAATGGAAAGGGTATCTTCTGTTTGGTTTTGAACCAGAAATGTCCCTAACCACATTACTATAGACATTCATACTGCAGCATGATCAGAAACCTGGATAGGTCAAAGATACTGTATGTGAAAAAGATGCCATGTTCTGATGTTTTGTCTGTCTGTGTCCCTGTTCAGTACCAACTAGATGTGGAGACACTATCGGAGTCTCTGAGTGAACTCAACTCTAGCCTGAAGAAAGTGGAAGGTATAACTGGGAGGAGCGGCTCAGCGATGACTCTGCAACTGGAGGTAAGATAAGATATCGTTTATTAGTCCATACTAGATGGACATTTGTCTTCTACTGTTTTCCCAACCCCGCCGATACACACACACACACATACACAAATATAGGTAATGCCAGGATTTTAACACTGATAATCTATTGTACATCTGGATGCAATTCCAGTCTCATTGACGCTTCGGTGTTAACTTGCGCAGTAAACTTTCAACACACCCATGAATCATAAAGATGCTACATTGCATTTCATATTGTAAAAAATTAAATAAAACTCATGCTTTTACCTCTGCATATTTATTATCAATAAAAAATAAAATAAAACATTTTCAAGACCATAATTTTTTCTAAAATGTCAATTTTGGGGCTTTAACAATAGATAAATAAATGGTAGTCTGTGTGTTAACACTTCACTTCTAAAGACATTATATTTCTTTCACACATTATCCAACGTTATCATGACATTACCCTACTACATTATGTAAATAATGTGAAGAAAAATTGTTATGCCGAAATGCAACGCAGGTGGTCCTAATTCCCCAATTTCACCCCCCCGCCCCTCTCTGTCACTCTCTCTTTCTCTTTCTTTCTCCATCTCTCTCTCTCAGGCAGAGGAGAGCACGGTGCAACGTAACGAGCAGCTCCTGGCTGACCTGAGGAAGAGGAGCACCACCATCGCCCCCCTCAAGCTGCGCCGCTACCCGCCCACCAGGTCCACCACCGTGGAGTCCCTCTGTGACTGGAAGACTGAGAAGGTATGACCAGCTGCTCTGACCTCTCACCTTTTAACTTTGACCCTGTCCTGGAGCCTCCACCACAGGTTACGGTATAAAGTCAAAGCGGGTTCGAAACCTCTGTAGAATCTTTGATGAAGTTACTGAGCAAGGACGTGACTGCTAGAATAGAATAGAATGCTCTACCACTGCACTGAGAGGTGTGTCAAGGCATGTAACGTAATGTAGGCCCATGTAAACATCACAAAACCAAACATTACTTTGACTAGGGAACTCACTAAATTAAATTAAAGTTCCTAGATACCTCAGTATTGGGCATTGTGTTTGAAAGATGGAAAGGAATATTTACATGTGATCCATTCTGAGGAAAGTTCTCTCTTTGTGTTCTTTTAGGCTGAACTCACTCGAGGGGACAAGTTCACCCTCAAGTCGAATTCAGACGTTGAGAACTGGGACGTATTGAACAGCAGTGGGGCAACCAAAAGCTTTCCAGGGGTCTGCTTCCTGATCCCACCACCTGACCCAGAGGCCATTGCCACCGTAGACCTGTAAGCAACAGGAGAATATGTCATTTATGTCAATTATATGACATGCATATGGACAACAATATGTCAATTTTGTGGTTTTTGTGCATGTGTGTATGTGCGCACAGACATGGTGATGTGCTTGACGACATCAAGAAGAGGAGGGCTGTTTATTTAGGCACAATGAAGGACAAGATCCGTTGTGTCGAAGAGAGACCTGTATACACAGGTGAGAAAAATGTGCTCTATTAATCCCAATACCCTCAAAACAAAGCCTTCCAAATAACTCTGAAACTGCTACTGTTACTGTTATGATCATTAACTGTAAATAAGGAGAAATGGCTTCTCTAACTTTTGATTCAATTCATCACATCATGTAAACCCCAAGCCAAAGTGTATTTATGGGACATTAACTAAGGCTGCAGCTAAAATGGCACCCTATTCCCTACATAGTGCACTACTTTTGACCAGAACCAAAAAGGCACCCTATTCCATATACTGTATAACGCATTACTTTTGATTAGGCCAGATTATCATTGCCCTGTGCTCCCCACATAGCCCCTCCGTCCAACCCTAAAGCTAAAGCCGTGGCTGGTCAGCTGGATAAGCTGGATGAGGACCTGGTCAAAGCCAAGCAGGACATGCTGAGCCGTCTGAGGGCCCCGCTGGACCGCAGTGACCCCACCACCGACCTGGCCAAGAGGCTGAAGGAGCAAGAGGTGAGAGAGAAAGTCTTGTTTTTAACTTTATTGAGACAGATACAAGTGGAAACGAGCAGGGAGAAAGAGAATAGCGGTGGAGCCGGGATTCGTACCCACGCTGGGGGGTGATATGTGTTGCAGGCCACATTACCCACTAGACCAGCCTCAGGCACAGTCTAAGGGGACATCCGAAATGGCACCCTATTCCACTACTTTTGATAGATAGAACGCATGTCTACCAGCCATTGTAACTGTACAATATATCTTCATGCTGGTAAACTAGCTAAATCTGAATAATTTTAGATTGACATTGATGGATTCGCGCCTCCTAAAGATGATGAGGACAACGATGATGAGTCTAATGACTATGGCGATGATGATGATGGTTATGATATTGTTGGTGAGGATGGTACTGATCCTAATGATACAGTGGTTGTATCTCTTTTAGAAAGCCGCAGATGCTCTGGCGGCTATGGAGCAGCCAAAGTTGGAGAAGGACGCCTCCAAGGCCTTGCAGCCAAACTTCAAGCTACCAAGGACAAGCAAGATGGCATCGCAGCCCTGGCCGACCTATTTAACAAGAAGTACGACCATTTTACAAACATACATTATCACCGATCACCTGTCTTAGCGATATGATATTATCAGAAAATAGAACAAACAACAAATCTTGCTGTTTAAAAAAAATAAATGTTTATGACATTTCTTCTATAGGGCTAATGCATCTCTGAACCTGGAGAAGCAGATCAAGAAAGTGGACGGCATCGTCTCTGGCTTTGAGGAAAAGCTGAATAAGGATGGCCCTATCCCAGATGCCCCCGATGCTATTCAGGCCCGCACCCAGGAGATCCAGGTTGGTGGGACATTACCAGTGCACCCTATTCCCTATATAGTGAAATACTTTTGACCAGGGCCCATTGCCTACACTGCCTTGGATTAGCCATTGGACACACCTCAACTTTCTTAAGAGAACCAAATAGATTCTACAGTATCCTTGAACAAATTGGACCAGAGAATACCCTAGTAGTTGACTTAAAGTAATAAAGGACTATGTCATTTGACTGCACATTTCAGTCATCCCTTGTAATTTAGCTAAATGCACACCACCAGGACACATATTCATCATATCTGTTCTCTACAGAGTCTGCGTAAGGACGTGGCAGGCTCTCAGGATGAACTGAAGAAGCTGGGCCAGGAACCTGGAGACCAGCCAGCAGCTGTGTAGTTCCCTGCAGCAGGGCTACCAGGAGTACTGCCCAGACATCCATCGGCCAGGGGACCCAGGTCAAACAACTACAGAACCGCTACTCTAATGTCAACAACCAGCTGAAGGAGAGGTGAGCCCAGGGCCACTTTGTCTGTTAGCTAATGTTGACTACACACACCATGTCTGCAAATATATGGTATCAAAATAGTCCATTAGTTTGCTCGAACGTCAGATGAACAGAATACTTGTTTTCAGTTTGTCGTCATGAAAGTGTTTTTCATTGCGTTTTTCTATCGTCTCAGAGAGGGCCTCTTGCAAGAGGCTGCAGGCAAGAACCAGGAATTCCAGAACACAAGCAAATCTCTGAACTACTTCCTGAAAAATCTGCCCGACAACAAGATCAGCCCCAGCGATGACCTATCACAGGTCAACTCCAAGCAGACCTCCCAGAAGGTCAGTTTGTTTGTGTGTCAAGAAGCTCTGAAATTGTTGGCGATATTCTTTAAATATCATTGTAAGACACATATTTAGCAATCAAGTTTAATTTTGTAATTGTTTATTCCCCCCCAACCTACCTACACCTTTATTGCAGAGGGTGGTGGATGACATCAAGAGGAAGGGAGACGACCTGGACAGAGTGGTTGACCTTTCCCAAGATTTGCAGAATATCCTCAATGTAAGACTCTGATTAAGTTACATTATCCTACTGCATCATGATAAACCTTTTATTTGTGTAACAGATATTTTTAAATATTTGGATATTGAATAATAACATCTTAATTTCAACTGCTTGTGCAGGAATATGAGGTCAACACTGACAAATACAGCAGCACCCTTGATAATGTGGGAGCCAAAGATGCCAAAAAACCTCACACCTCCACCCTTGCTGATACTGTGCAGAACCAGGTAATGCATAAAGAATGGAAGTCAGTAGACACAAATTACATTAATGTTCATCCACTTCTATGCAGACCAATGTAGGGCGCATCATGTTTTCCTGCATGTTTTCTTGAGCACTGTGAGCTGAAGGCTTCTTTGTGTATTACAGGAAAAGGCTTTGGTGAACCACTATGCTAAAACGTCAGCTGAGAATGACCAGCTGCTCAGTCAGATGGGCTTTGCTAAGAACCTCATCGCTCAGGTGAGTTGGAAAATCTAGCTGCACATAACTTATTTCCCGCTGCCAAGTTTGATCAATTGAATGTGTTTAGGATACAGACAAAAAAATGATGAAAAGGTTTAAGTATTTTCCCTGAAATTGCTTTTAAAACCTATGCTTTTTTGTTTACTTTTTGCAGAAACATGAGAAACAATCCATAGAACCAACCATAAAACCAACCATAAACATAAAGAGCCTGCAGCAAGAGTTGAGTGCGGAACACGATAGACGCAGCCGTGCTGAGACTGACGTGGAAACATTCAAGACCAGGATGCTATCTCTGAAGAGCCGTAAAGGGATGTATCGAGTTGAGGAGAAGGAGGTGCTCGAGTACTACCGCGACCCTAAACTGGAAACCGACCTAAAAGATCTGGAGGACCAAATCCACAAAGAGGCCTTGAAGCGCAGCCGTACCCAGGGTGAGATCGAGGGTGTGAAAAGCAAAATCGCCACTGTTGGGGGCGACCTTAAGTGCATCAAGCCCAAACTGGTGACTAGAGAGGTGACTGAGTTTGAGAGAGATCCTCAGTTGGATGTAGAAGCCTCCAAGTTAAAAGATGAGATCGGCAAGATAAAGGATGAGGTTCGAGTAAAAGAGGGAGAAGTAATTCAACAGAAGACAGAGGTCACCATTCTGAATGCTACAAGACCCAACATCAGGGAGAAGGTTATGAAAAAGGAGGTGATTCGATTGGAGAAGGATCCAGAGATGCTAAAGGCTGTTAAAACGTTTGAGAAGGAAATCGCAGATGAAGGCAACAAGAGCAAGACTCTGAATGACGAGATCTTCCAAACGAGGAGCCAGATCAATGCATTGGAGAGGATCATTCCCACCATTCAGCCCAAGGTGGTCACCAGGGAGGTGAAGAAAGTCGAACAGGACCCTGAGCTCATCAATGAATCCAAGAGGCTTCGATCAGGCCTAGAGGAAGAGAAAATTGAGACAGACTCTCTGGTCAGGGAGGTCTCTCAGCTCAAAAGTCGCTATAGCGAGGTGGGGCAGTGGAAGTCCAAGGTCGAGCTCAAGGAAATCGTCAATGAGATCTACCGCATAGATCCACAAACAGAGTTGGAGATAATGCGTCTGAAGAAAGATGTTCAAGACTTGAACAAGCAGCGTTCTGACTTACAGGATCAGATCACTCTGGTCATGGTCGATCTGGAAGCCCTGCGTTCCAAGAAGCCAAAGGTGGAGCTGAAGGAAGTCATCCAAGACGTGGTGAAAGAGGAGAGGAGCCCTGAGAACGAAAGAGAGATACAGAGGCTCAATGATCAGGTGAACCATCTGCACCGTACTTACAATAATGTAGAGGACCAGATTAACCTCCTGAGAAAAGAGAGGGACGAGTGGAAAGCAGAAAAATCCAAGGTGGAGACAAAGCTTATGACCAAAGATGTCTTCAAGTATGAGGATGATCCGCTCTTGGAGAAGGAGGCAGATCGGCTGAGGAAGGAGGTACGCGAAGAGCAACAGCGTCGCCGTACCACTGAGGAGATGGTGTTCGACCTGCAAAACAAGTACATCCTGCTGGAGAGACAAAAGCCAGAGGAGAAAGTGGTGGTGCAGGAGGTGGTGCGTCTACAGAAGGACCCCAAGCAGATAGTTGAGCATGATAAGCTTGGCAGGAGCCTGGATGAGGAGGTTAAGTCTCGCCGGCAGCTAGAGCTTGAGATGCAAAAACTTAAAACCTTAGTGGAGGAGAAGGAGAGCATCCTAAAGCAGAGTGATGAACATCAGAAGAAGATTAAAGTGGAGTCTGAACTGAAACAGATCAAACTGCGCATCAAAGAGCTGGAGAATGCCCCACCGCCCGTCGAGGAGAGTATCGTTGTCGAGGAAGTCCTGAAAGTTGAGAGAGACCCCAAACTGGAGAGGATGACCAACAGTCTTCGCTCAGACATGGACAAGGAAACCAATGATGTCCTGCATATTCAGAGAAACATCAGGAACACCAAATGTCAAGCTTGAGCTCCTTCAGCGAGAGAAGGCCATAGAGAAGACAGTGTACAAAGAGGTGATCCGGGTGGAGAAAGACCAGGCTGTAGAAGCAGAGAGATACCGCCTGAAGAGCCTGGTGTCTCAGGAGAAACATGCCAGGCAGGACCTGGAGGAAAAAATCGAACAACTCTCTGACAAACTCAACCGACTGAATGGCACTCAGTCGAGCACTTCTCGGGAAGAGACAAGTCTCATTCTGGCCAGGGACACCTTGCAGAGGGAGAAAGACAACCTCACCCGGGAGCTGAAGAAGTTGGAGTCTGAAAGGCAGGACATCAGCTTATCGTTCCAGCAGCAAACCAAGCTGATGAGCGAGAGAAGCCAGATCAACAGGCAAAAGAGCGTCAAGATGGAGTCTGACGTGCAGCGCCTGGAAAGGGAGATACTGGACGAGAAAGACACCATCCACCAGAAAGACAACACCATCAGGGAACTCCAGAGGGACAAGGAGAAGGAAGACCATACAGAGACCCGGAAAAAGGGAGACCAACGTCTCCACTAAAATCACCATCTTGGACCCTGATACCGGCAAAGAACTATCGCCATATGAAGCCTACCTGCAGGGACTGATCGACCGTACCCAGTACATGCATCTGCAAGAGTTGGAGTGCGATTGGGAGGAAATTAACTTCCATGGGACCTGATGGGGAGACCTCTGTGCTGCAGGATCGCAAGAGTGGCAAGCAGTACTCCATCAAAAATGCCTTGAGAGATGGCAAACTGACCCAGTATGATCTGCAAAAATACAAGGATGGGAAAATGCCCATTTCAGAGTTTGCCCTGCTTGTCGCAGGTGAAAAAGAAAAACAGCCCAAGTTCAACTCAATCACATCAAAGACAGCATCCTCGCTAAAGTCGTCCCCTACTAGCAGCGCCCCTGTTCCTGCCCTTGCCCCTAAGGAAATATATCCTATCGCTGGTGTAATTGACACAAACACAGACACATGCTTCTCCATACGCAGTGCAGTGGCCCGCAAGATGATCGAAAGTGGCACGGCACAAAAGCTGTTGGAAGCACAGGCTGCTACTGGGGGCATCGTTGACATCAGCAACAAGGAGAGATACTCAGTCCACAATGCAGCCGAGAGGGGCCTCATCGATTCGAGCCAACTGCAGAGGCTACTCAACGCCCAGAAAGCCTACACTGGCGTGGAGGACCCCATGACCAGAGAACGCCTGTCGGTGGGAGAGGCCGTCCTGAAAGGTTGGATGCCCAAAGAAACTGCCCTGCGTTACATGGAGGTGCAGCACCTGACAGGAGGGCTAGTCAATCCCAACAACACGGACCGTGTTGGCATACAGGAGGCCATTGGAGCCAAGATGATTGACAGCACCATGATGAGAGAGCTTCTGGCCGAGTACAACTACGCCAAGGAAATCGTCGACCCCACAACAAACGATAAAATCAACTACAAGCAAGCGATGGCCCGCTGCAAGACAGATCCTCTGTCTGGCCTGCTGATGCTACCTGCTTCCTCCAAAGTGTCTGACAGCAGCTACACCCCTACATACAATTCTCATCGATTCTCTTCTAGATAATAAACCTGTTAACAGTGTGCTTGGAGGGTATTCTTGTCTCTAGGGTGATTTATATGAAGTCAAATTATATTGTATAAACTTAAATATCAATACTACCCAGAATGTATAATTTCATTTTGTCTGAAAATACTGCGTAGCTCACTGTAAGGTCATAATTGTTGCTGCTGAGTTGCTTTTGTTTACCAAATTAGTTTGAAGTGGGCAGAATCTACTTTAAAAAAGGAACGTTTTATGTTATTTGTTTATCCTTGATATTATTGTTTTACTAGAGATGATGGGACTTGGTGCAATGTTATTTACTAAGTTTTGCTTGTTTATTTCTTATTATTCTCATGTCTTATTATTTCCCTGACACTGATCCTTTTAAATGCAACCTTGATACTGTATCAAGAAAATAATTATTCATTAAAGATTATATTGTCAACATGTGTTTGCTTCTTCAATTCCAACACAATAGAAGAATTAACGACAAAAAAATAAAGCAACACGATAACACACCTCGTCCACAAATACATCTAATATTAAATCAAGAATAATTTATTTATGTTTCTCACAAAGATACATTTCCAAGCTACATATCAGTTTTCATTCACAAATGTAACCATTGCATAAATGGCCACATCAAACATTCTCTCTGATCTTAGATTAGCTACAATAATAATGTAAGTATGCATTTTCTTGACCTACTTTATACACCTGACCCAACAGTGAACCTGCCAAACACTGTCAGGAGGAAGAGGGTGTCTTCCAGAACTGATATCGTATGACAAATAATGGCAGGACTTTACAGTGCACCAGAACAAGCAGCTTTTATGTATCAATCAGGACTTCCTCAGAAGTCTTTTTATAGCACAATCCATTCTAAATTAGCTAGAGGCACAGTCTCATAATCCTTGACATCCCCATGTAATTAGCTATTTGGGCAAATATCCCAACCATAATAAAATCTGACCTTTTGACACAATCCATCTGAGGTATAAATGAGGTCATATAAACATTACAACATTCAATTCAACCTGGTTCATAACTTTCCACCAGTAGCACTGTATCAGTGCACGGTTGTGACTGATTAATTCTTATTGGGGTCCAGGTCAGGGAGGAGCATCTCCCTTGCTCTCCATCCTCTCTCTGAAGTAGCTCCTCTGTTCATTGACAGCTCTCTGTAGCAGGGCTAGGTTCAGCCCATCCACACAGTTCAGCACACGGGCACGGACCATCACACCATCACCTCCTGTGAAGAGATAGATAAGTGGGACAGTGGGTTTTGGGAGTTGCAAAGCATATAACCAAATAAAAACCTAATCTTACCCTCTGAATTTTCAATCTCCCCCACAACTAGGTACTGGGCTCCAATGATGGGTTCAAAGGGCTCCACAAATGTAGTCTGAACAACAACTTGGTGCTGTGTTGCTGCATTCTGGGCAGATAGTGTAGCCTTCGATTCCTCTGGTTGGTAACTCACCAATCAAAAAAATTAACTTGTCTGTTAGCCATGCAATCCAAAAGGGATAACAAATAATTTTTAAAAAACTATTATTGACTATTATTAGGTATATTGTGTTAAAGACAGTACCAAGGGAGGCTGCTGAGGGGAGAACGGCTCATAATAATGGCCGTAATGGAGCAAATGGAATGGCATCGAACACCTGGAAACCATGCGTTTGATGTATTTCATACCATTCCACTGATTCTCTTCTGTCATTAACACGAGCCAGTTCTCCCCAATTATGGTGCCACCAACCTCCTGTGGTAGACACACTCCTCACCTTCCAAATGTTCTCACTGAGCCTCCCTCCTTGACTGCACCAGAGTTGACTTCCCAAGGGAAATGAAAGACTGCAGGTGCTGGAAGCATCTTCTCAAGAAGTTATCAAACGGTAAAATAGGCCAAATACTATAAAGATCCCAGTTGTGTGTTTTGTCAGTTCATGTCGGTAGTATTTCACAACGTCACATAACGTGATTTCTTTTTTATCCGCCCCCTCTTGTAGCGTTCAGGAAGTTGTCAATAATTGGTCAGGCTCCCAGTTATTGCAGTGCTGAACTTGGTTCCTATAGGCCCAAGGTTATACAACTCACATTTTTATTGCAACAAGCAACGTGGTCTTTTGCAAGGGAAAATACATTTATTTCGCCATGAATCCTGACATAACTAGAGAGCGTGAGAACGCTACATTTAACGTGGAGAAACTCACACATATTCTGGACGGTGGCATCGAGAAGACCAAAAGAAGAAGAGAAATTGGTAAGGTTGGAATGTCTTGTAGTGTCTCGTGTGTGTAGCCTCTTTGGTTGCAAGGTAAAGCATCATGAAACAAGTGTAAACAAAACATTGAACTAGCAGCTAGCTAGCTAACAAAACAAGTTGATAGCTAGCTAGCTATCCAACATTAGTTAAGGTTGGTTATACATAGCCTGGGCAGCCGATAGTGGTCGCTAGATCTGCACGGCCACTATCGGCTGCCTGGGCTAGGTTAACAAGTTAGTTATCTATCTGTTGTAACAGTAGTTATAACCAGTCAGCTGTTGTTTATAATTGTGAGCCAATGACAAGATGAAGACCAATTTTCGCATTCATTGTAACTGTGCATGCTGTTTATGAAATGCATGCTGTTTGTGTAAAAACAAGGCTCTGATTTGCATTGTCAGATAACAGCCAGCTAGCAGCAACCTTGCTAACTAGAAAGTTAGATTATAGCGACAGTCGTTGGTTGACCCACTGGCTATTAGTATAGTAAAGGTTGACCCCATGCAGGGTTCATTATGGCATCATATAAAAATAAATAAGACAGATGATATGGGGTGCATTATGTTGTAGATAGAAATGTAGCTAAGGATATTAGACACAATTATTTATCCAATGGTAATACTGCACAATCTGCACATAATGTTCGACCTAGTCTCGCATTGCCACCCTTCCAAAATCCCGTCTTGTGTGAGAAGCCTGGGTTTCCGAGGCTATGCTCCACCCTGATGTCTTAATCCCCCAATTTTCTCTATCCCCCACAGAGTCACTGGTGATCAGTGACCCAGACTTCCAGAGTGAGGACCTCAACTTCCTGTCCAGGAGCGAGCGATACGATGCCGCCGTGAAGAAGAGTGCCCAGATGATCCTGAAGCTCAGAGAGTATGGCATCTCAGACCCTGAGGAAATCTACTGCTACAAGAGGTAAGGTTGGGGCACAGACCCAGGCCAGCTACTTGCTATGGGCGGCAGGTAGCCTAGCGGTTAAGAGTGTTGGGCCAGTAACCAAAAGGTTGCTGGTTTGAATCCCGAAATCAGCCGATATACCCTTGAGCAAGGCACTTAACCCTAATTGCTCCTGTAAATTGCTCTGGATAAGAGCGTCTGTTAAATTACATCAGTGTAAATGCTATGGACCTGCACATCACATCTAGAAATGGAAAAATAGGTATAGGGTTTTGTCCATAGAGTTGTCTTACTATCAGCTAACCTGTTAGGTGTAATGACCGATGCAGGTGAAAGTAATGAAAGGTGAGGAAATAAAGATCATTTGGGCTAGTTTCATTGTTTACAAGCAGGATTTGGTTTCAATGGACTGTATGAATTCTGTAAGGGTTTGGGATGATCAAAGCAAATGTCATATTTCCCGTTATTCTCCTCTCATCACTCCTTCACACATTTCATGGATGTGGTTTTTTCTGGACATTTCACATAAAGTTCTAATAGTAAACACAGTGTGACAAACATCAATGAGTTTTTTGCAGATAGCTGTATTGATGCTGCTTTGGACGCACTGAAGAAAAACGCAGCATTCGCTGAAATTACACAAACAGTCTAAGCCTTTCACCTATATGCTAAAGTATTCTCAATATCCCATGCTAATGTATTGCCTGCTATTACCCCCACGAGTAATTGCGTTGTCATGCTATGAGGAGTTTGTTGGTGTCTTCCTGATCAAAGGCTGTATTATCTTTGGTGAAGCAATAGGAATGTTACTGTACTGTAGTTTGCACCGTTATAATGTTGCCTATGGGGCAAGACCCTGGCACTCTGCCATGTGGCTACAAAGGTTTGTGTGTGTTAGGGATGTGCATGCTTTTTTAAATATTAGAATATCCGAATGGACGTTAGTATTCGAATACTTGTGAGTCACATTTTTTGTGACATGCACAAGTACAGTGAAATGCTTAACTTCAGAGCTCTACCCAACAGTGCAGTAATAGAACCAAAATAAACGCAACATGTAAAGTATTGGTCCCATGTTTCATGAGGTGAAATAAAAGATCCCAGAATTTGTCCATACGCCAAAAAGCTTATTTCTCTCAAATTTTGTGAACAAATTTCTTTACATCCCTGTTAGTGAGCATTTCTCCTTTGCCAAGATAATCCATCCACCTGACAGGTGTGGCATATCAAGAAGCTGATGAAACAGCATGATCATTACACAGGTGCAACTTGTGCTGGGGACAATAAAAGACCACATGTATGGCGTCGTGTGGGCGAGCGGTTTGCTGATGTCAACGTTGTGAACAGAGTGCCCCATGGTGGCGGTGGGGTTACGGTATGGGCAGGCATAAGCTACGGACAACAAACATAATTGCATATGGATGGAAAATTGAATTCACAGAGATACCGTGACGAGGTCCTGAGGCCCATTGTGGTGCTATTCATCTGCTGCCATCACATGTTTCAGCATGATAATGCACGGCCCCATGTTGCAAGGATCTGTACACAAATGTCCCAGTTCTTCCATGGCCTGCATACTCACCAGACATGTCACCAATTCAGCATGTTTGGGATACTCTGGGTCGATGTGTACGACAGTGTGTTCCAGTTCCTGCCAATATCCAGCAACTTCGCACAGCCATTGAAAATGAGTGGGACAACATTCCACAGGCCACAATCAACAGCCTGATCAACTCTATGCAAAGGAGAAGTGGCGCGCTGCTTGAGGCAAATGGTGGTCACACCAGATACTGACTGGTTTTGTCATCCATTCCCCTATTATTATTATTATTATTATTATTATTATTATTATTATTATTTATTTTTGACCAACAGATGCATATCTGTATGCCCAGTCATGTGAAATCCATAGATTAGGGCCTAATGAATTTATTTAAATTGACTGATTTCTTTATATGAACTGTAACTCAGTAAAGTCTTTGAAAATGTTGCATTTTATGTTTTTGTTCAGTATAGTTTCAAGTTACAACGTGCACAGGATAAAACGGGTGTAAAACAGGACAGTGAAATTCTTTGAGAGCTCTTTCCCAACAATGCAGTGATAATAATAGAAAATAGAATAAAAAATAAAAGTATGAATAAAAACCACACAAGAACTATGATGAGAGTTAAAGAACACGAGAATGCAATTATACAATATACAGTGCCGGTACCTTATTCAATTTGCAGGGGTACTGGAGTGGTTGAGGTGGGTTTATACATAAAAAGTGACTGGTAGTAAGATACTACTGAGTGTACAAAGCATTAGGAACATTAGGAACACCTTCCTAATATTGAGTTGCAACCCCTTTTGACCTCAGAATAGCCTTAATTCGTCGAGGCATGGACTCTACAAGGTGTCAAGTGTTCCACAGGGATGCTGGCCCATGTTGACTCCAATGTTGTGTCAAGTTGGCTGGCTGTCCTTTGGGTGGTGGACCATTCTTGATAAACATGGGAAACTGTTGAGTGTGAAAAACCCAGCAGCGTTGCAGTTCTTAACACACACAAACCGGTGCGCCTGGCACCTACGTCCATACCCCGTTCAAAGGCACTTTAATCTTTTGTCATGCCCATTCACCCTCTGAATGGCACACATACACAATCCATGTCTCAAGGCTTAACAATCCTTATTTAACCTGTCTCCTCCCCTTCATCTACACTGAATTGAAGTGTATTTAACTAGTGACCTCAATAAGGGATCATAGCTTTCACCTGGTCAGTCTATGTCATGGAAAGAGCAGGTGTTCCTAATGTTTTGTACACTCAGTGTACACATACACATTGCTGAAAAGTGACTGGTAGCAGGAATATATAAATACTTGTAATGGTAATATACTAATGGTACAGTGCCCTCTGTAATTATTGGGACAGTGAATAATTTTTTCTTCTTTTAGCTCTATACTCCAAAAGTTTGGATCTGAGATCAGACAATGACTGAGGTTAAAGTGCGGACTGTCAGCTTTAATTTTAGGGTATTTATTTATTTTACTTTTACCTTACTTTTTTTCTCCCCAATTTTCGTGATATCCAATTGGTTGTTACAGTTTAGTCCCATCACTGCAACTCCCCTACGGACTCGCGAGAGGCGAAGGTCGAGAGCCATGCGTCCTCCGAAGCACGACTCTGCCAAGCCGCACTGCTTCTTGACACACTGCTTGCTTAACCCAGAAGCCAGCCGCACCAATGTGTTGGAGGAAACACCGTCCAGCTGGCGACCAAAGTCAGCTTGGAGGCTTTTTGCTACTTTAATACGCATAAGTGAATTTGTCACAATACATTTGCTCCCCTAAAATTGGGGGGGACTATGCACAATTAGTGCTGTAATTTCTAAACGGTTTACCCGAATTGGTAGAAAATACCTTCAAATTAAACCTCAAAGTCATTGTTTGATTTCAAATCCAAACTTAAGAGGAAAAAATGCTTCACTATCCCAATAAATACGGAGGTCACTGTACATGTAAACAGGAGTATTAGTGACCAGTAGTGGGATAAATATACTGAACAAAATATAAATGCAAGAATTTCAAAGATTTTACTGAGTTACAGTTAATTTAAAGGAATAGGTCAATTGAAATACATTCATTAGGCCCTAATCGATGGATTTCACATGACTGGGAATACAGGTAAGCATCTGTTGGTCAAATATACCTTAAAAAAAAAAAAGGTAGGGGCGTGGATCAGAAAACCAGTCAGTATCTGGTGTGACCACTATTTGCCTCATGCAGTGCGACACATCTCCTTCGCATAGAGTTGATCAGGCTGTTGATTGTGGCCTGTGGAATGTTGTCCCACTCATTTTCAATGGTTGTGCGAAGTTGCTGGATGTTGGCAGGAACTAGAACACGTGGTCGGACAAGTAGATCCAGAGCATCCCAAACATGCTCAATGGGTGACATGTCTGGTGAGTATGAATTGTGTACAGATCCTTGCGACATGGGGCCTTGCATTATAATGCTGAAACATGAGGTGATGACTGCGGCTGAATGGCACGACAATGGGCCTCAGGATCTCGTCACTGTATCTCTGTGCATTTAAATTGCCATTGATAAAATGCAATTGTGTTCGTTGTCCATAGCTTATGTCTGACCATACAATAACCCCACCGCCACCATGGGGCGCACTGTTCACAATGTTGACACATCAGCAAACCGCTCACCCACACGACACTATACACGTGGTCTGTTGGACGTACTGCCAAATTCTCTAAAACAACGTTGGAGGCGGCTTATGGTAGAGAAATTAACATTCAATTCTATGGCAACAGCTCGGTGGACATTCCTGCAGTCAGCATGCCAATTGCACGCTTCCTCAAACCTTCTGTGGCATTGTGTTGGGTGACAATATTGCACATTTTAATCCATGCACCTGTGTAATGATCATGCTGTTTAATCAGCTTCTTCATATGCCACACCTGTCAGGTGGATGGATTATCTTGGCAAAGGAGAAATGCTCACTTTTTATTTTTTTTATTTTTTTTATTTCACCTTTATTTAACCAGGTAAACCAGTTGAGAACAAGTTCTCATTTACAACTGCGACCTGGCCAAGATAAAGCAAAGCAGTGCGATAAAAACAACAACACAGAGTTACATATGGGGTAAAACAAAACAAAGTCAAAAATACAACAGAAATACATATAATATACAGTGTGTGCAAATTTAGCAAGTTATGGAGGTAAGGCAATAAAATAGGCTATAGTGCAAAATAATTACAATTAGTATTAACACTGGAATGATAGATGTGCAAGAGATGATGTGCAAATAGAGATACTGGGGTACAAATGAGCAAAATAAATAACAATATAGGGATGAGGTAGTTGGGCGGGCTAATTTCAGATGGGCTGTGTACAGGTGCAGTGATCGGTAAGGTGCTCTGACAACTGATGCTTAAAGTTAGTGAGGGAGATAAGTGTCTCCAGCTTCAGAGATTTTTGCAATTTGTTCCAGTCATTGGCAGCAGAGAACTGGAAGGAATTGCGGCCAAAGGAGGTGTTGGCTTTGGGGATGACCAGTGAGATATACCCGCTGGAGCGCAGACTACGGGTGGGTGTTGCTATGGTGACCAATGAGCTAAGATAAGGCGGGGATTTGCCTAGCAGTGATTTATAGATGGCCTGGAGCCAGTGGGTTTGGCGACGAATATGTAGTGAGGACCAGCCAACAAGAGCGTACAGGTCACAGTGGTGGGTATTATATGGGGCTTTGGAGACAAAACATTTACATTTACATTTACATTTTAGTCATTTAGCAGACGCTCTTATCCAGAGCGACTTACAGTTAGTGAATACATCTTTTTTTTTTATACTGGCCCCCCGTGGGAATCAAACCCACAACCCTGGCGTTGCAAACGCCATGCTCTATCAACTGAGCTACATCCCTGCCGGCCATTCCCTCCCCTACCCTGGACGACGCTGGGCCAATTGTGCGCCGCCCATGAGTCTCCCGGTCGCGGCCGGCTGCGACAGAGCCTGGATTCGAACCAGGATCTCTAGTGGCACAGTTAACACTGCGATGCAGTGCCTTAGACCACTGCGCCACTCAGGAGACAACGGATGGCACTGTGATAGACAACATCCAATTTGCTGAGTAGAGTGTTGGAGGCTATTTTGTAAATGACATCGCCGAAGTCAAGGATCGGTAGGATAGTCAGTTTTACGAGGGCATGTTTGGCAGCATGAGTGAAGGAGGCTTTGTTGCGAAATAGGAAGCCGATTTTAGATTTAACTTTGGATTGGAGATTCTTAATGTGAGTCTGGAAGGAGAGTTTACAGTCTAACCAGACACCTAGATATTTGTAGTTGTCCACATACTCTAGGTCAGACCCGTCGAGAGTAGTGATTCTAGTCGGGTGGGCGGGTGCAAGCAGCGTTCGGTTGAAGAGCATGCATTTAGTTTTACTAGTGTTTAAGAGCAGTTGGAGGCTACTGAAGGAGTGTTGTATGGAATTGAAGCTCGTTTGGAGGTTTGTTAACACAGTGTCCAATGAAGGGCCAGATGTATACAAAATGGTGTCGTCTGCGTAGAGGTGGATCTGAGAGTCACCAGCAGCAAGAGCGACGTCATTGATATACACAGAGAAAAGAGTCGGCCCAAGAATTGAACCCTGTGGCACCCCCATAGAGACTGCCATAGGTCCAGACAACAGGCCCTCCGATTTGACACATTGAACTCTATCTGAGAAGTAGTTGGTGAACCAGGCGAGGCAGTCATTTGAGAAACCAAGGCTATTTAGTCTGCCAATAAGAATGCGGTGGTTGACAGAGTCGAAAGCCTTGGCCAGGTCAATGAAAACGGCTGCACAGTACTGTCTATTATCGATCGCGGTTATAATATCGTTTAGGACCTTGAGCGTGGCTGAAGTGCACCCATGACCAGCTCGGAAACCGGATTGCATAGCGGAGAAGGTACGGTGGGATTCGAAATGGTCGGTGATCTGTTTGTTGACTTGGCTTTCAAAAACTTTTGAAAGGCAGGGCAGGATGGATATGGGTCTGTAACAGTTTGGATCTAGAGTGTCACCCCCTTTGAAGAGGGGGATGACCGCGGCAGCTTTCCAATCTCTGGGGATCTCAGACGTTACGAAAGAGAGGTTGAACAGGCTAGTAATAGGGGTTGCGACAATTTCGGCGGCTAGTTTTAGAAAGAAAGGGTCCAGATTGTCTAGCCCAGATGATTTGTAGGGGTCCAGATTTTGCAGCTCTTTTAGAACATCAGCTGTCTGGATTTGTGTGAAGGAGAAGCGGGGGGGGGCATGGGCAAGTTGCAGCGGAGGGTGCAGAGCTGGTGGCCGGGGTAGTGGTAGCCAGGTGGAAAGCATGGCCAGCCGTAGCAAAATGCTTGTTGAAATTCTCGATTATTGTAGATTTATCGGTGGTGATAGTGTTTCCTAGCCTCAGTGCAGTGGGCAGCTGGGAGGAAGTGCTCTTATTTTCCATGGACTTTACAGTGTCCCAAAACTTTTTGGAGTTAGTGCTACAGGATGCAAATTTCTGTTTGAAAAAGTTAGCCTTTGCTTTCCTAACTGCTTGTGTATATTGGTTCCTAACTTCCCTGAAAAGTTGCATATCGCTGGGGCTATTTGATGCTAATGCAGTACGCCACAGGATGTTTTTGTGCTGGTCAAGGGCAGTCAAGTCTGAGGAGAACCAGGGGCTATATCTGTTCTTAGTTCTATATTTTTTGAATGGGGCATGTCTATTTAAGATTGAGAGGAAATTACTTTTAAAGAACAACCAGGCATCCTCTACTGACGGAATGAGATCTATATCCATCCAGGATACCTGGGCCAGGTCAATTAGGAAGGCCTGCTCGCTGAAGTGTTTTTGGGAGCGTTTGACAGTGATGAGGGGTGGTCGTTTGACCGCGGACCCGTTACGGACGCAGGCAATAAGGCAGTGATCGCTGAGATCCTGGTTGAAGACAGCGGAGGTGTATTTAGAGGGTAAGTTAGTCAGGATGATATCTATGAGGGTACCCATGTTTACGGATTTAGGGTTGTACCTGGTAGGTTCGTTGATAATTTGTGTGAGATTGAGGGCATCTAGTTTAGATTGTAGGATGGCCGGGGTGTTAAGCATATCCCAATTTAGGTCACCAAGCAGTACGAACTCTGAGGATAGATGGGGGGCAATCAATTCACATATGGTGTCCAGGGCACAGCTGGGGGCTGAGGGGGGTCTGTAGCAAGCGGCAACAGTGAGAGACTTATTTCTGGAAAGGTGGATTTTTAGAAGTAGGAGCTCAAACTGTTTGGGCACAGACCTGGATAGTATGATAGAGCTCTGCAGGCTATCTCTACAGTAGATTGCAACTCCACCCCCTTTGGCAGTTCTATCTAGACGGAAAATGTCACTAACAGGGATGTAAACAAATGTATGCACAAAATTTGAGAAATAAGCTTTTTGTGCGTGTGGAACATTTTGTGATCTTTTATTTCAGCTCATGAAACATGGGACCAACAGTTTAGATGTTGCGTTTTATATTTTTGTTCAGTATAGATAAATACTAATGGTAATGGCAATCAATAATCAATGGACAGCAGCGTAATGGAGTAATCTGATCAATAATAATTTTTGCAGCAGCGTAAGTTGTCTGAGTGGTTAGGGACCTGTGGATGGTTATAGTCTGTTTGTCGGAGCCTTGATGCACCGGTACAGCCTATTGGACGGGAGCATGGAGAACAGTCCATGTCTCGGGTGACTGGAGTCTCTGACAATTTTTCGGCCCTTTCTCAGACACCGCCTGGCATGTACATCGTGGATGGCTGGGAGCTCGTCCCCAGGTTTGTGCTGGGCAATCCGCACCACCCTCTGCAGGGCCTTCCGGTCACGAGCGGTGCAGTTGCCATACCAAACGGTGATACAACCAGTCAGGATGCCCTCAATGGTGCAGCTGTAAAAGTTTGTGAAGATCTGAGGGGCCATGCCAAATCGTTTCAGCCTCCTGAGTGAGAAGAAGCGTTGCCATGACTTCCTCACGACTGTTCTGGTGTTAGGGGCCCATGTTAAGTCCTCAGTGACGAGGACACAGAGGAACTTGACGCTCTTGACCCGCTCCACTACGGCCCCTTCGATGTGGATGGGGGTGTGCACCTGCCCCTGTTTCCTGAAGTCCAAGATCAGCTCCTTTGTCTTGCTGACGTTGAGGGAGAGGTTGTTGTCCCCACACTGCCAGGTCTCTGACCTCCTCCCTGCAGGCTGTCTCATCGCCGTTGGTGATCAGGCCGACCACAGTCGTGTTGTCAGCAAACTTAATGATTGAGTTTGAGACGTGCGTGGGTCACACAGTCGGGGATGAACAGGTAGTACAGGAGGGGGCTAAGCACATACCCCTGGGGGCCCCTGTGTTGAGGGTCAGCGTGGCGGAGGTGTTGTTGCCTGCTTTTACCACTTGGGGTCGACCCGCCTGGAAATTTTAACACTGAAAAGTATTTTTTCTAAATTAAATTCTAATATGTGACATTGTTACATACAAGGATATACCATGACATTTCAAATTATTCATTTAATTAAAAAAACTTTTCAGTGTAGTTTTAATGACGTGTGACATATAAAAAGATTAGTAGCCTTCACGTGTGTAGCTTGTTGTTTTATGTTGGCCAATCAAAGCGGCAAAGAGGCTGGATCTGTAGCAAGTGGAGAGAGAACTCACTAATGCAATGCAAGATGGAATAAAATAATGGAATTAAAAGTGAGCAAAATGAGAAGTCGTAGGCTATAATGAGCAAACAACAGGTAGGCTGTTTTTATCTGTTTTATATTTTATTGTATAATAAAGCCTATCACCCAGCTGGAAAAGATTAACGGTCTGACTAGGCAATATTTTTATCAGCCATCTTCCTCTGTCTGCTCCATTCTGATCACACACACAAGGCCCCTCCGCAGCTGCAGCAATAGAACGCCAGCCTCTCTCCCTCGCGCAGCAGTGCTCAGCTTTAAAAACCGAACGTAAAAAAACCACATGTATTTCGGATATGTACTATTCGAATAATGAAATTATTTCAAAACTCCATCCTTAGTGTGTGTGTGAGTCTCTCTAGGCAGAGCAAAGTTCACAAAAAGATTACAACTGTCACAGGCTACGCTATGTCCTACCTTTTCACTTGTTCAAACTGCCAATTTGCCTTGTCAAATATGTTTTGCCTTAAATAGCCCAAGTCAACTATAAAATATATTTTATATTTGAGATTCTTCAAATAGCCACCCTTTGCCTTGATGACAGCTTTTCACACTCTTGGCATTCTCTCAACCAGCTTCATGAGGTAGTCACCTGGAATGCATTTCAATTAACAGGTGTGCCTTGTTAAAAGTTAATTTGTGGAATTTCTTTCCTTTTTAATGCATTTGAACCAATCAGTTGTGTTGTGACAAGGTATACAGAAGATAGCCCTATTTGGTAAAAGTCCATATAATGGCAAAAACAGCTCAAATAAGCAAAGAGAAACGACAGTCCATCATTATTTTAAGACATGAAGGTCAGTCAATCCGGAAAATTTCAAGAACGTTGAAAGTTTCTTCAAGTGCAGTCGCAAAAACTATCAAGCGCTATGATGAAACTGGCTCTCATGAGGACCGCCACAGGAATGGAAGACCCAGAGTTACCTCTGCTGCAGAGGATAAGTTCATTAGAGTTACCAGCCTCAGAAATTGCAGCCCAAATAAATGCTTCACAGAATTCAAGTAACAGACACATCTCAACATCAACTGTTCAGATGGGACTGTGTGAATCAGGCCTTCATGGTCGAATTGCTGCAAAGAAACCACTACTAAAGGACACCAATAAGAAAAAGAGACTTGCTTGGGCCAAGAAACACGAGCAATGGAAATGTGTCCTTTGGTCTGGAGTCCAAATTGTAGATTTTTGATTCCAACTGCTGTGTCTTTGTGAGATGCGGTGTGGGTGAACGGGTGATCTCAGCATGTGTATTTCCCACCGTAAAGCATGGAGGTGTTATGGTGTGGGTGTGCTTTGCTGGTGACACTGTCTGTGATGTATTTAGAATTCAAGGCACACTTAACCAGCATGGCTACCACACCATCTGGTTTGAGCTTAGTGGGACTATCATTTGTTTTTCAACAGGACAATGACCCAACACACCACCAGGCTATGTAAGGGCTATTTTACCAAGAAGGAGAGTGATGGAGTGCTGCATCAGATGACCTGGCCTTCACAATCACCCGACCTCAACCCAATTGAGATGGTTTGGGATGAGTCGGACCGCAGCATGAAGGAAAAGAAGCCTACAAGTGCTCAGCATATGTGTGAACTCCTTCAAGACTGTTGGAAAAGCATTCCAGGTGAAGCTGGTTGAGAGAATGCCAAGAGTGTGCAAAGCTGTCATCAAGGCAAAGGGTTGCTTTTTGAAGAATCTTAAATATAAAATATATTTTGATTTGTTTAACACTTTTTTTTTGGTTACTACATGATTCCAGATGTGTTATTTCATAGTTTTGATGTCTTCACTATTATTCTACTATGTAGAAAATAGTACAAATAAAGAATAACCCTGGAATGAGTAGGTGTGTCCAAACTTTTGACTGGTACTGTATGTGCACCACGTCATTGCTCTCGCTCAATCTACTGTGTGTGCGCGCGTCTTGCTAGCTGTCACTCAAATGGTGAGGAGCTGAAGCTCATTGGCTAGAACTCTAATTGCTAGGGGACTGGCCCATGTGGGAAAAAATGTAGGTAGAGTGGCGCTGCACAGCTTCATGTAAACAGTTGCTTTCAAACTAGGGATTTCGTTGCTAATTGAGGTAAGACAGTCATTCTGCTCTATGCATGTATGAACTACACATTGACACATCTAGCCCAAAAGGGGAGATTAAAAAAATACTTACTAGACGCCAAAGGTCCAGAGCATGTCTTTAAAGGGATACCGTTTTCTACTTACCCAGAGTCAGAAACTCGTGGGTACCATTTTTATGTCTCTGTGTGCAGAATGAAGGACATTAGAGAGCTTCAAGTTCCTTGGTGTCCACATCACCAACGAACTATCATGGTCCAAACACACCAAGACAGTCGTGAAGAGGGCACGACAAAGCCTATTCCCCTTCAGGAGACTGAAAAGATTTGGCATGGGTCCGCAGATCCTCCAAAAATTCTACAGCTGCAACATCGAGAGCATCCTGACTGGTTGCATCACCGCCTGGTATGGCAACTGCTCGGCCTCCGACCGCAAGGCACTACAGAGGGTAGTGCGTACGGCCCAGTACATCACTGGAGCCAAGCTTCCTGCCATCCAGGACCTCTATACCAGGCGGTGTCAGAGGAAGGCCCTCAAAATTGTCAGACTCCAGCCACCCTAGTCATAGACTGTTCTCTCTGCTACCGCACGGCAAGCGGTACCGGAGTGCCAAGTCTAGGTCCAAAAGACTTCTCAACAGCTTCTACCCCCAAGCCATAAGACTTCTGAACAGCTAATCATGGCTACCCAGACTATTTGCACTGCCCCCCACCCCATCTTTTTACGCTGCTGCTACTCTGTTAATTATTTATGCATAGTCACTTTAACTCTACCCACATGTACATATTACTTCAACTACCTCAACTAGCCGGTGCCCCCGCACATTGACTCTGCACCGGTACCCCCCTGTATATAGCCTCCCTACTGTTGTTTTATTTTACTTCTGCTCTTTTTTTCTCAACACTTTTTTGTTGTTTTATTTTACTTTTTTATTTAAAATAAATGCACTGTTGGTTAAGGGCTGTAAGTAACCATTTCACTGTAATGTCTGCACCTGTTGTATTCGGCGCATGTGGCCAATAAAATTTGATTTGATTTAGAGGTAGTTTTGCGAGCCAACGCTAACTACCGTTAGCGCAAGACTAGAAGTCTATAGGTACAGTAGCGTATACTAGCGTACCTGTAGACTTCCATGCTTAATTACCAGAATCTTGCAGAATCCCTTTAACAAATAAAAAGCCTTGCTTTTAAGGGAAGGTCATGTTGACACTAGTGTCAACCCTAAACCTGGGTTATTTTAAGTAGGCAAGAAACACTTTGAAATGGAAAACTAAAATGCACATTCTTATTGGACAAGTTTAGGTAGAACCTCCCCTTTTTTAAACCGAGTATGACCACGAACCTGCTGAGTGGTCCCGTCCAGTCTGTCCATCCGTCAACCTGTGAGTCTGTCCCCCTCTCTCAGCGTGTTTCGGGGCCACCATCACGAGGCTCTGGGGACCCACTTCGTCATGTTCCTCCCCACCCTGTACACCCAGTGTAACAAGGAGCAGTTCAAGAAGTGGGTCCCCCTGGCAGAGTCCTTCAAGGCCCTGGGCACCTACAGCCAGACAGAGATGGGGCACGGTCAGTTCCATACAGATAATTTATAATAATGATAATGTAATAGCACTATTTATACAACATAAAGTGCTTGTGCAATTTTTTTAACTAGCTAGCTAAGTAAGTTATATGTTTGAATTATGGAAAGGATCATAGGGAGGCTTAGGGATGGACAGTTGTCGATCCTTGATGTAGGATTTTCTTTTAATGTTGTTTACAAATCATGGGGTGGACATTTTGATTGAAAGTGATTCCTTGTAGGTGTTTGACAGATCACTGTAGTTGTTTGTGTAGACAAAATGTGCCCAAACAGTAGGCATAACGCAATAGTTATTAGCTAAACTGAATAGCCAAAACTAATATGCTGGATTCAAAATGTCATGATTGCCTGTCTGTTTTCCGAGTCCTCATAACCTGCCCAATACCTTGGAAAAGGTGGCAAAATAAACAATAGAAGGACAAAAAAAATCCGTAACATTGCGCTTAGAAACAATACAAAACAATCCTGTCCGTAAGAACCTAAATGACTCCCATCTAGTTTTTAGTTTCATTCCATTCCTCCTCAAACCCCTTTATTTCCTCTCCTTCTGCTAGTAGTGGCCTATTAGCCTAATGAGTCTTTCCAAGCTTTTGTCAGTTAATTCTGATTGCTATTAAGTCTTGATTTTCTCCTTACAAATGATTAACCCTAACACTGTAGAATTTTGACGTTTTAAGCAAATGACCTAACATTCTGAATTGTGCATTTGAGTGAGTTAAAATTCCTATGTGGGTGGTTGGATGGTTGTAGGCCTAATTGTTTGGCTGTTCGTGAATTAATGGCTTGGATGAATGAATATAGGCCTCAACTATTGTTCTTGTCTGTCGAAGTCTCAACTCATAGGGAAGACTCATGGTGTCCTGCCAAAAAACATGCATATGGGTTGATTTTCGGAACCCTGAATATCCCATTGATAATCTGTAAGCAGAACAATCTGTGCGATGTAAAACAATTTTGGTCAAGCCAGATGTCTCTTGTTGCCAATGTTTCACTTCTATGACGCTGCGAAGTGGACATTATTCACGATCACGTAACCGTGGCATTTCCATGACAATGTTGTACTCTAGGGAGAGTCCAGGACTGGCTGTTCAGAATTTTCTGTGGGGATCCAAGGCCTCCTTTTTCAGAGTTCTGTTCTGGTTCACTTCTTCTTAGCAACTCACTAGCTAGGTTTCCATTAACTTGTCAAGTGATTTTTGTGTCAACATTTAAAAAGTTTGCATAGAAAATAGATACAATTGCCTGCTGTGGTACGTTTCTATTTTAATTAGCTTGTGTCAATAAAAACAGCTGGATGTAATGACCTCGCACCTAAAAAGTACTTTTTTGGAAAAACCTAAAATGTCGAATGAAAATGTAGTGGTCGAAGTGTTTCCATTACCCATTAAGGCAAATTGCGCTTTAATTAATTGGCAACAGCGCTTATGCCCTCCCACCTATCTGTCTCATGTCTCAGGGAGCCCGCTAAAGCCAGCATGGATAGAATGCAATAATTTACTAATATTTGCCATATTCTAATAATTCGCATGTGCCAACGTATTGCCACTGTCCGTGCCATGGTGAAACTTGCACTCCTGTAGATCGGAAATAATTGGATGGTGAAACTTGCCCGCCAACCAGTAAAAGCAAGGTGTAAGTAATTCAGGCACTCTTGAAAGTCAGGATAATCCTTGTCCTGCAAATAAATATTATTTTGATAGTTACGTGACGACGTCACATGCCCGTGTACCTTCAAATGTATGTGGCAATCAGCATTTATTCGAAAAACACTGGTTCCATCATTTGTCGCAATGAAAGTTCGACAAAATAAATATCCAGCCCTGTCGAACTTTGCCGATCTTTAAAAAATGTATCCTATATCTATTAGTAATAATTAGGTGGGTACTTACATTTGTCCTATTTTGCACATGTAAAAGTGTACGTATGTGTGAATTGGAAATTATTATTTTTTGAAATGATTGTTTACGGCCAGGGATCAGCCATTATTGACAGCGACTATGGCGCAAAAGTGCCTTGCTCAAGGGCACAGTGGCATATTTTTTTCACCTAGACGGCTTGGGAATTCGAACCAGCGACCTTTCGGTTATTGGCCCAACACTCTTCACCACTAGGCTACCTGCAGTTTCCGTTACACGTATCGCACAGATGTTTTTTGCAGACATTGCTTTTGTCGAATAATCCTGGGTCAATGGAAAACTGCCTATTGTCTTAACCTTAAATGCCCTTACAGCTTCTTCACCCTTCCTTATAAACCTAAAGCAGGGGTAGGCAACCCTGATCCTGGAGTTTTCAGGCACTTCATGTTTTTGATTTAACCGACCTGGAAGACCAGTTGTGTTGAATTTAGGCAATCACTGAACTGGTCAATTAGCTCAATTGGTCAGGTGTGGTGCATAGTTGGAACAAAATCCTGCAGTACATGTGGCCCTCCAGGAACAGGGTTGCCTACCCCTGGACTAAAGAGTCTGCTTTAAAACTGCAAGTTGCACTGCACTAGTTGGTGGCATTAGCATAGAATATAATGTTGACTCAGGGTTGTGTTCATTAGGGCATGCAATGAAAAAACGTTTTACAATGGAAAACTAAATTAGCCATTTCTTAATGGACCAAGTCCAGTTAGTCCCTTCTTGCGTCAGTTTTCTTCCGTTGGGTGCCTAATGAACATGGCCCAGAGTTTGCCTCACAATTAAATTGGAATTTGAAATAGGTTTTCAGTGAAATGAGAGTACAGGTTACACTGCTTTTGGAGATTAACATGTCAGGCAAATAAATGAAAGGTTGCAACAATCATGCCTGAGAAGGTTATTTTGTATGAAATAATTAAATTAATACATATTTTCTTGAGTCAAGCCCAGTCTAAATGCAGATGATTCTAATCCGTTCTCCGCAGTCAATTTGCATGACTAGCTCAGTTTTTATTTTTTATATTAATAATTGCACTTTCCCCTCCATCCCTTCATCCATCTATTCATCCATCCTCTACCCCCAAAATATGATTTACTAACACTTCCAATCTCCCATCTTTTCCAACCATGGCTCCATTGTCATGTCCTATTAAATGGTCTATTCTATGCCTAAAAACATAATATTTTCCTTGGCTATACCTTATTTTGCATGCCCCTCCCATCCTCCCTTTACCCTCTTCCCCCTTCAAACTACCCTCCTATCTCCTACCCCCTCCTCTTGCCCCCCCCCCCTTGCCGCTACCCCAGCTGTGTGCACCGTGGGCGGTCAGAGCCGCTGGACCTCCACCTGGGAATGTTCCTGCCCACCCTGCTGAACCAGGCCAGTCCTGAGCAGGTGGAGACATTCTTCATACCCGCCTGGAACCTGGAGATCATCGGCACCTACGCACAGACAGAGATGGGCCACGGTAAAATGCTGAACAAACCGTACCTGATCACCAGCCTCCGGTCACCCCCATGCTCTGTGGAGTGGACGAGATGCATGCCCACCCTCTTTGACATTTGAGTCGAGCCACCAGAAAACTCTCACATACTCGTTAGGGAATTTTGCGTAAAAACGTCTCCCCAGATAAAACGTTTGTGTTGTTAAAGGTCCAATGCAGCCGTTTTTATCTCAATATCAAATTGTTTCTGGGTAACAATTAAGTACCTTACTGTGATTGTTTTCAATTAAAATGGTCAAAAAATAGCTTCTTAGCAAAGAGACATTTCTCAAGCAAGCACTGTCTGGGAGTGGTCTGAGTATGGAGGGGAATACTCAAAAGTAGCTGTTATTGACAGAGAGGTTTGGAACTTATTTACCGCCTGATGATGTCACCAGGCATTCCAAAACTCCATCCCACCAAAACAGGCTGACATTTTAGGCGGTCTTTTCAAACAGCTCACTAAAAGGGCATTATCAATAATTTTCACAATTTCACAGTATTATTCCAACCTCATAGTGTGGAAATATATATAAAACACAGGAATCATATTTGTGACTGCACTGGGCCTTTTTTAAAATGATATAAATAACAAAAAGGGCATTTCACTCTGGCCTTTTACTCTAACAACTTAAAACCACTAATACTGGCTGGCTTGGAGAGTGCGTGTTGTGGGCCGTACAGCTTCGCATGGCTTCCCTTTGGAATGTGCTCTGCCCCTGGATCTCACACAGTCTTGTTGCCAGCCACGGTGAACGTGCATGCCCACTTGTAAAGCACCCTAAGTGACTTCCTTTCCAAAACGGGTACCCTCCACCGCCTCTGTCCCTTTTGTCCCCCTTTACTGTGTTTGGAAGTACATTGAGTTTAAAGATAGACAACCTACGTCCTTCGTCACATGTATCTGTCAAACCGATTTAAAATAATGAATCGAGTTAGTGGCGTTAGTTATAGGCATACTATGTTTTCATTGTAAAGGAAAGAAACAATCTATCAGAATGTTTCACCATAACACAAAAGTCACTGTAACATACAGCTGGCTATTAATGGTCCCAATGTTTAAGTAGGCCTACTCCCTCTTATCATTGTTCTTGAAGTTTAACACTTGCCCACAAACACACTCAAGTACTTCTTTCATTCCAATTTCTAATTGGAGGGATGACTATAGGGGAGGAAAAAGAACTGGCTCTATGGATACAAATAACATTTTGAACCTGTTCAACAATGTTATGAGTTCCACAGAAGACTAACAACAGCTCAGCCAGGTCTGAGTTGATGTAAAATATAATACAGCTATTAGATCTACCCTAGGCTACTGATCCATGTTCTTCATCAACTAGTCACAAGCTGCTGCTACTAGAACTGGGATCATTTGCTTATATCTTTTGACCTGATAACTAAAACGGTAGCAAAATTAACAGCATAAAAAATGTCAGGGGTTAACTTTGACAGCCATAAACCGTACACATATTAGTTATGCGGATTGTAAGAAATATATTATTTTCTTTGGTTTTGATTATTTTGTTTTGGTCTGTCAAACACCTACAAGAGTTTTTCCACTATAGAATATAATAACTTTTTGTTTTCAGATGAGGGAACTGGTTAAAAAACAAAAATGACATAAACAAAGTAGGCTACAAAGTATACCCACTAGACCCAACAAAGTATATTTACTGCTGTAAGAAAAAGCTACGTTTGAAGTTGCAGTATTATTTGAGATTCGATGGCTAGTCTTGTGTCAGTTTTGCACTGCATAATATTTGAAAACATCAATGTACTCCTGCCATAACTTAGTGATAACTCTCTTTCTTTGGTTTTATGTGTTGTGTGTTTGGGGGCCTTGGTTTCTTTCTCATTGTCTAGGCACCCACCTCAGGGGGCTTGAAACCACGGCAACGTATGACCCGGCCACCCAGGAGTTTGTCATGAACAGCCCGACCATCACCTCCATCAAGTGGTGGCCTGGTGGATGTGAGTACACTCACGCACTTTAGCTTCAGGGCATGGTCCATACACATACAATCAAACCAATCCCCAGTTAAGTCTGTGGACTTTGCTTCTGAAGAAAACACATCCCACAACATTGCTGAACAAGATCAGACCATTTACTGCTGATTCTCATTGTAGTGTGGACTAGAGACTTAAATGACTTTCAATAGAATTAGTTGAATAGTGAGAACTGACATACAGTGGGGGAAAAAAGTATTTAGTCAGCCACCAATTGTGCAAGTTCTCCCACTTAAAAAGATGAGAGAGGCCTGTAATTTTCATCATAGGTACACGTCAACTATGACAGACAAAATGAGAATTTTTTTTCCAGAAAATCACTTTGTAGGATTTTTAATGAATTTATTTGCAAATTATGGTGGAAAATAAGTATTTGGTCAATAACAAAAGTTTCTCAATACTTTGTTATATACCCTTTGTTGGCAATGACACAGGTCAAACGTTTTCTGTAAGTCTTCACAAGGTTTTCACACACTGTTGCTGGTATTTTGGCCCATTCCTCCATGCAGATCTCCTCTAGAGCAGTGATGTTTTGGGGCTGTCGCTGGGCAACACAGACTTTCAACTCCCTCCAAAGATTTTCTATGGGGTTGAGATCTGGAGACTGGCTAGGCCACTCCAGGACCTTGAAATGCTTCTTACGAAGCCACTCCTTCGTTGCCCGGGCGGTGTGTTTGGGATCATTGTCATGCTGAAAGACCCAGCCACGTTTCATCTTCAATGCCCTTGCTGATGGAAGGAGGTTTTCACTCAAAATCTCACGATACATGGCCCCATTCATTCTTTCCTTTACACGGATCAGTCGTCCTGGTCCCTTTGCAGAAAAACTGCCCCAAAGCATGATGTTTCCACCCCCATGCTTCACAGTAGGTATGGTGTTCTTTGGATGCAACTCAGCATTCTTTGTCCTCCAAACACGACGAGTTGAGTTTTTACCAAAAAGTTCTATTTTGGTTTCATCTGACCATATGACATTCTCCCAATCCTCTTCTGGATCATCCAAATGCACTCTAGCAAACTTCAGACGGGCCTGGACATGTACTGGCTTAAGCAGGGGGACACGTCTGGCACGGCAGGATTTTAGTCCCTGGCGGCGTAGTGTGTTACTGATGGTAGGCTTTGTTACTTTGGTCCCAGCTCTCTGCAGGTCATTCACTAGGTCCCCCCGTGTGGTTCTGGGATTTTTGCTCACCGTTCTTGTGATCATTTTGACCCCACGGGGTGAGATCTTACGTGGAGCCCCAGATCGAGGGAGATTATCAGTGTCTTGTATGTCTTCCATTTCCTAATAATTGCTCCCACAGTTGATTTCTTCAAACCAAGCTGCTTACCTATTGCAGATTCAGTCTTCCCAGCCTGGTGCAGGTCTACAATTTTGTTTCTGGTGTCCTTTGACAGCTCTTTGGTCTTGGCCATAGTGGAGTTTGGAGTGTGACTGTTTGAGGTTGTGGACAGGTGTCTTTTATACTGATAACAAGTTCAAACAGGTGCCATTAATACAGGTAACGAGTGGAGGACAGAGGAGCCTCTTAAAGAAGAAGTTACAGGTCTGTGAGAGCCAGAAATCTTGCTTGTTTGTAGGTGACCAAATACTTATTTTCCACCATAATTTGCAAATAAATTCATTAAAAATCCTACAATGTGATTTTCTGGATTTTTTTTCTCAATTTGTCTGTCATAGTTGACGTGTACCTATGATGAAAATTACAGGCCTCTCTCATCTTCTTAAGTGGGAGAACTTGCACAATTGGTGGCTGACTAAATACTTTTTTTCCCCACTGTAGCTAATGTTATGAATCCATAGAAGTGTAACGGACTCGCTTTCCCTGTCCATCTTGCTCTCTTCTCCTCTCTCTCTCTCCAGTGGGTAAGACGTCTAACCACGCCATAGTTCTGGCCCAGCTCCACACCCAGGGGAAGTGTCACGGCCTGCACGCATTCATCGTACCTCTCCGCAGTATGAACACCCACATACCACTGCCAGGTACTGTACACACTGCTGTGCGTGTGTCAAAAAGAGTGTGTTTGTGTCTGTTTTCCAGTGTCTGTCTGTGTCTCCTAGATGTAGCTTTGGTGGTAGCCTACTGTCTAGTGAACTCACTCTCTTTCTCTCTCAGGTGTGGTGGTAGGGGACATAGGACCCAAGTTTGGCTTTGATGAGGTTGACAATGGTTACCTGAAATTGGAGAACGTACGAATTCCTCGCGACAACATGCTGATGAAATATGCAAAGGTGAGTGACTGGGCAGTTAAGCACATTTCAAGGAGACACTGTTCTTTTATTCTGTTGGTTAGGATAGATTCTAATGCTGTCACAGCATAGATGTTAAGGTATATTGTATGCATATTCGGAGGGGAGTCTGTGTGTCTGTATGTGATGACACGCAATACTTTCCATTACACACTTAACTTCTTTGAGTTGAGCTACTTGATTGTTTGACCATACAGTGTATACTTACTAACTGATTGTCCTAGAACTGTATACCACAGACCAGTGGTGGTCGGTGCCGTTTAAGATGAGGAAGGACGATTTTCTTTTATGAGCCTTATTTCTATTACAGCATATTGGATGACTGTCATTCATATTCCATTCACCCAGCTCAATGTAACATCAATAGGTTTAGGCTACTACATGATACTCCACCTTTCCCTATACCCATCATGAGGTTGCTACAACCTAGCCTATGAATGAAAGTTTACAACGTAGGTGCACACATGTCGAGAGAGAATTTTGTAATCAAGGTGACAGACAGTGACACATTCAATACCGCCTTGCACACTGTTGCCTGCATCTAGCTGATCTAAGGTGTAATCATTAGATCAACAGTGGCAAACGAGAGTTTCTATTGGACAAATTCAGGTATGTTTATCCCCGTTCCTTTTGCTTCCGTTTAAGAAATTTTTTTCAACAGAATCGGTGGAATGAATATACCACTGATCACACACAAACAGTTCACTTTCATAGCAGCCACATACAAAAAGCATGATCACTTTGCTTATTGTATTCCTTCTCACATATTAGTCTACATAGCTACTAGAACTAACGCTTTAGTAAACTCACTACAATCATGCAGTAAGTACAGTGTGCAGTCAGCAAGCAGTTTAACAGTTACACCGGCAGGCCCCAGTGGCAATAAATTAACTTGACTTGGAAGAGTTCCAGTGTTGGATAGCCAGAGCCAGCTAGCGAACATACAGTGAGGGAAAAAAGTATTTGATCCCCTGCTGATTTTGTATGTTTGCCCACTGACAAAGACATGATCAGTCTATAATTTTAATGGTAGGTTTATTTGAACAGTGAGAGACAGAATAACAACAAAAAAATCCAGAAAAACGCATGTCAAATATGTTATAAATTGATTTGCATTTTAATGAGGGAAATAAGTATTTGACCCCTCTGCAAAACATGACTTAGTACTTGGTGGCAAAACCCTTGTTGGCAATCAGAGGTCAAACGTTTCTTGTAGTTGGCCACCAGGTTTGCACACATCTCAGGAGGGATTTTGTCCAACTCCTCTTTGCAGATCTTCTCCAAGTCATTAAGGTTTCGAGGCTGACGTTTGGCAACTTGAGTTGATGCCAAAGAGCTCGATTTTGGTCTCATCTGACCACAACACTTTCACCCAGTTCTCCTCTGAATCATTCAGATGTTCATTGGCAAACTTCAGACGGCCCTGTATATGTGCTTTCTTGAGCAGGGGGACCTTGCGGGCGCTGCAGGATTTCAGTCCTTCACGGTATAGTGTGTTACCAATTGTTTTCTTGGTGACTATGGTCCCAGCTGCCTTGACATCATTGACAAGATCCTCCCGTGTAGTTCTGGGCTGATTCCTCACCGTTCTCATGATCATTGCAATTCCACGAGAGATCTTGCATGGAGCCCCAGGCCGAGGGAGATTGACAGTTCTTTTGTGTTTCTTCCATTTGCGAATAATCGCACCAACTGTTGTCACCTTCTCACCAAGCTGCTTGGCGATGGTCTTGTAGCCCATTCCAGCCTTGTGTAGGTCTACAATCTTGTCCCTGACATCGTTGGAGAGCTCTTTGGTCTTGGCCATGGTGGAGAGTTTGGAATCTGATTGATTGATTGCTTCTGTGGACAGGTGTCTTTTATACAGGTAACAAGCTGAGATTAGGAGCACTCCCTTTAAGAGTGTGCTCCTAATCTCAGCTCGTTACCTGTATAAATACACCTGGGAGCCAGAAATCTTTCTGATTTAGAGGGGGTCAAATACTTATTTCCCTCATTAAAATGCAAATCAACTTATAACATTTTTGACATGCGTTTTTCAGGATTTTGTTGTTGTTATTCTGTCTCTCACTGTTCAAATAAACCTACCATTAAAATTATAGACTGATCATTTCTTTGTCAGTTGGCAAACGTACAAAATTAGCAGGGGTAGAATCCGTTTCTGTTTGAGCCAGGTGTTTGAGTAGGCTAAACTAGCTAGCTGCATTCGCTAGCTAAGTGAAAGAAATACAATGACAAATAGCTAGCTCCCTCTCTCTCTCTCCACCTTCATTAAAAAAAAAATAATGTTTGTTCAAAGCTGTTCAGCTATTGTCTTTTCTCTTTATTTGAGTCAACTACTCACCACATTTTATGCAGTGCTAGCTAGCTGTAGCTTATGCTTCAAGCACTGCCACAAACAGTATATATTCTCCCCACCAGGTGGAGGCAGACGGTACATACGTGAAGCCTCCCAGTGCCAAGCTGACCTACGGCACCATGGTGTTCATCAGGTCCATGATCGTAGGGGAAGCGGCCCAGGCCCTCGCCAAGTCCTGCACCATTGCCATCCGCTACAGCTCCGTACGGCACCAGTCTGAGATACGCCCAGGGTAAGTCGTAGCTCTGGACACACCAGGGTGGTGTCGATTAGGTCACACTGTAGCAAAACGTTTTGAGACGGAAATCGAAAATTAGTGATTCTTATTGTACAGATACTACTTTCCTGTGTTTATGTTTAGGTGAGTTTTCATCTGTTTGGTGCCTAATGAACATGAGCCTGGAAATACACATTTACTAAAACATACATAAATAGTCAAAGGAATACAAAAATACTCTTACGTATACTTACACACATCCATACACAAGTAACACACTCAGACACAAACAAGAATAGGAAGCAAAGTACTATAACCTTTACCATTAACTAAATCTATACTCTACTACTAATATTCTAATTGTTCTGAGAGCTGATGTAGAAAGACGTTATATAGAGTTTGGGTAGATATTAGGAAGCGTTACTCATATAATATCTGTATCTCAATGTTCTTCAAAGACTAACACATGATAGCAAGCGAACCATTAACCTTATATCTAAGTCTATATTCTTATTGTGTGGTTCCTCCAGAGAGCCGGAGCCCCAGATCATGGACTACCAGACCCAGCAGTACAAGCTGTTCCCCCTGCTGGCAACAGCCTATGCCTACAAGTTTGTGGGTCAGTACATGAACCAGGTCTACCACCGCATCACTGGAGACATCAGCCAGGGAGACTTCAGTGAACTACCAGAGGTACATACAGTAAATACTAGCCTGAAATCCAGAACATGTTTTGCTAACATTCCACACCTTGTGTGTCATGCTAAACAAGGAGTGACAAGGAGTGGAATGATAGCTAAACAGACTGGTACCCAGGCTAAGTAAATACCTCCTCTTGATATAGTACATGGTACATGACGCAAGAAGGCTGGCTATGGCCCAGAGTTTTTCCTAACCACGTGACCTGACCAGGAAAAAGGGGAAAACACTGCACTCACTGAAAATAGTCTTGAAATGTTTCATCCAATTTAAGCGGCAGAAGTCTAATAGAGGTGTTTTGACAACAGGCTTCGTCTGTGTTAATTCTTTAGTCTAAGACATAGGGGGAGGAGGGAGGTGCTAAGCTGACATATGGAATTGTTTTAAGATGGTCATACTATGGATCATTTAGCTATTTTATTTGGAATTTTAAACAATTTATTTGATAAAATATTGAATTTGGTCTTTACTACTGAAGCCCATAGAAACACATTGAATAACATTCATAAATGGCAAAAAGGAAAGTTAAAAAAAGAAACAAGGTTTTGAAGTGTCTGTCCTAAATCTTTTTTTTTTTTACACATATTTAACCCCTTTTTTGGGGTAGGCATAAAACTACCTTCATACTTCCATTTGTTTATTAAAACCGTTACCGGTTACCTTAAGACGAGTTTGTAGCCCAAACGGTTCGGACGCTACCGAACAGAAGTTCACACATCAACGGTACAGACTTCAGACGTGTCTCCTGACACTTGTAGGGGTTGTAGAGCAAAATGGAGAACGTGTTCGTGAGAGTCTCCCCTTTCCATAGAGTGGTTCGGACGCTACAGACGTTTTCGTGAGAAGACCGATTTTTGTGATGTCTCATGGTCTGACAAACACTGTTCTAGTTAAGATGGAAACGGACTTTAGGGAACTTAAAAAGGAGAACAACCTTCTGAGAAAAGCCTTACTAGACATCCAAACTAGATCAATGAGAGAAAATCTAGTACTTACGGGTATTCAGGAAAAAGAGGGAGACGTAACTGAGAATATTGTGAAGGACTTCTTTCTTACAGCGCTGCAGATTCCACTCGAGGCTGTCGATAAAATCCAACTCGAACGTGTACACCGTTTCGGACAAAGAGGACAGAAATACGAGCATCCAATCGTTGCCAAATTTGCTTTTTTTAAGGATAAAGCAATGGTTTAAAGCCTAGGTAAAATACTTGCTGGCACGAAAATAGGCATGAATTATCAGTTTCCGAGGGAGATTGCAGAAAGGCTGTGTCAATATAACTATACCCTGTGCCCATCCTCTGACCTGTGCCCAGCTCCATGCCCTGTCCGCGGGCCTGAAGGCCTTCACCACATGGACGGCCAGCGCGGGCATCGAGGTGTGTCGCATGGCGTGTGGCGGGCACGGCTACTCCCGCTGCAGCGCCCTCCCAGACATCTATGTTAACTTTGTGGCCACGTGCACCTACGAGGGAGAGAACACCGTCATGATGCTGCAGACCGCCAGGTAGGTACACACATGCAGGCGCAAACACACACACACACACACACACACACACACACACACACACACACACACACACACACACACAAATATAAGACACAGATGTGACACACACACATAGACACACACCCTGAAATGACACATTCTTTCCTCGCTGAATCAAAAACATCAATTAGTCACATTATACAGCTCACACAAACACACATTACAATGTATTCCAATACTTGCAAATCAGGGCGAATACAATACCAGTCAAAAGTTTGGACACACCTACTCATTCCAGGATTTTTCTTTATTTTTACTATTTTGTACATTGTAGAATAAAATATATTTTAAATTTGAGATTCTTCAAATAGCCACCCTTTGCCTTGATGACAGCTTTGCACACTCTTGGCATTCTCTCAACCAGCTTCACCTAGAATGCTTTTCCAACAGTCTTGAAGGAGTTCCCACATATGCTGAGCACTTGTTGGCTGCTTTTCCTTCACTCTGCCGTCCGACTCATCCCAAACCATCTCAATTGGATTGTGGAGGCCAGGTCATCTGATGCAGCACTCCATCACTCTCCTTCTTGGTATAATAGCCCTTAGGTGTGTTGGGTCATTGTGCTGTTGAAAAACAAATGATAGTCCCACAAAGCCCAAACCAGATGGGATGGCGTATCGCTGCAGAATGCTGTGGTAGCCATGCTGGTTAAGTGTGCCTTGAATTCTAAATAAACCACAGACAGTGTCACCAGCAAAGCACACCCACATCATAACAACTCCATGCTTTACGGTGGGAAATACACCTGCTGAGATAATCCGTTCACCCACACCGCGTCTCACAAAGACACGGCGGTTGGAACCAAAAATCTCCAATTTGGACTCCAGACCAAAGGACACATTTCCATTGCTCGTGTTTCTTGGCCCAAGCAAGTCTCTTCTTCTTATTGGTGTCCTTTAGTAGTGGTTTCTTTGCAGCAATTCGACCATGAAGGCCTGATTCACACAATCCCATCAGAACAGTTGATGTTGAGATGTCTGTGACTTGAACTCTGTGAAGCATTTATTTGAGCTGCAATTTCTGAGGCTGGTAACTCTAATGAACTTGTCCTCTGCAGCAGAGGTAACTCTGGGTCTTCCTTTCCTGTGGTGGTTTTATCATAGCGCTTGATGGTTTTTGCGACTGAACTTGAAGAAACTTTCAAAGTTCTTGAAATGTTCCGTATTGACTGACCTTGATGGACTGTCATTTCTCTTTGCTTATTTAAGCTGTTCTTGCCATAATATGGACTTGGTATTTTACCAAACAGGGCTATCTTCTGTATACCCCCATACCTTGTCACAACACAACTGATTGGCTCAAACGCATTAAAAAGGAATGAAATTCCACAAATTAACTTTTAAGAAGGCACACCTGTTAATTGAAATGCATTCCAGGTGACTACCTCATGAAGCTGGTTGAGAGAATGCCAAGAGTGTGCAAAGCTGCCATCTAGGCAAAGGGTGGCTATTTGAAGAATCTCAAATATAAAATATATTTTGATTTGTTTAACACTTTTGTTTACTACATGATTCAATATGTGTTATTTCACAGTTTTGATGTCTTCACTATTATTCTACAATGTAAAAATAAAGAAAAACCCTTGAATGAGTAGGTGTGTCCAAACTTTTGACTGGTAGTGTAGGTCTAGTATTAAAAAGCTATTGTGTGATATTGTGCCCTGCACATCAAAGGTAGTAATTATCAACAAAGCATCGATCTAACTGTCTACTGGTTTTTGGGAGTGTGTTCAGTTAAGCACTGCCAAGTGTGAGGTGTACAATGGAAAGTAATTGAATGGGAGTGAGTGAGACTAGGACCAAATTAATAGGTGTGTATGAGTTTTTGTGTCCTTAGCGCTAGAGCTGGGTGTTCAACCGCATTTTACTATATACCTGTAATGATGCACGGACTGGTTTGGATTTGTACCTTACATAATTGTATTTCAATGTTTGGTTAAATGTAATATAAATGTAATAACTGAGTGATGAAACTTGAAAAATGATTGCAATCATCCGTTCTTACCGCCAGTAAGAGCATGCTTACAGTTGAGAACTGATCATTTTCTAGGAAGAGCTTTGGGTGCGCACATGTAATTTTGTGCAGTGACGGTGCCAAAAGCGCCTTAGAAATTGGCACAATGCCCCTTGTGGCTAAAGTAAGAACTGCCATGGAATCCATTGAAAATACATGGTCAGAGAATAATTATTTTCATTAAGGAAAAGTGACTTTTTCACAATAGAGGCATACAAAGACAAAACTGATATTTTACCGTGTGAAAATGATAACAAATGAGTGAAGGAAATTGATGAAAAGGCTGAAAATTATTTTGGGTTTCATTATATAAAACAATCAGAAGAGAGAAAGCCCCATTTAAAACCACGTAGAATGTATTTGTTGCCACCCTAGGGTCATGCATTACTCATGAAGCATATTTAGAAGTTTTTATTATTCCAAAACACAAAATACCGTCAATTACCATGAGAAAGATATTGTGATATAATATGTTGGCCCTATCGCCCAGCTCTACTTTGTGTTCTTGTCTGTGTGTGACCTTTGACCCTATCCACTGTCTTCCTCACTTGTTTGCATCCCCCTCTCCCCAGGTTCTTGATAAAGAGCTACCGGCAGGCGTCGGCAGGCCACCAGCTGAGTGGCATCGTGTCCTACCTGAACGAGTCAGAGCGTAGGCTGCAGCCCCAGACTGTGTCCTCCCGACCCACTGTAGTCAACATCAATGACCTGGCCAGCCTTGTGGAGGCTTACAAACTACGAGCTGCCAAGTAAGTGGGCCTACAAACTCACCAAAATGTAATAGTAATAGATTGCATTTAGATATTTGGTCTTCACTAAATATCAAAGGCCTGTACATTATATGGCAGAGACTTTCAATCAGAGCAATGTATTAGTTGGTGCCAGGCAATGCAATGGGTTGCGCTAAAACGTTCCACCAGTCCAGCAAACCAGCACACAGCTAAATGTACTTGTACTCTATGGACAGTCATGCATCAGTTTCTGTTTAACGGTGTCCTATGTCAATGCCCTCTGTGTGTCTTTAGGCTGGTTGAGTTGGCAGCTAAGAGTATTCAGCAGGAGCTACAGAAGAGGGTCAGTCAGGAGGATGCCTGGAACAACAGCGCTATAGACCTGGTCAGAGCCTCTGATGTAAGTCACCTTACCAACCTGGGATATGGAATGTGTTGTTTTTTGGGAGGGAGCCACCCACAGTAAGGAAAAAAATAAAAACATTGTTGATGTGAAATGCTAAATTTGAACAACAAACTAAATCCTACTCCTTTCCTCCCTCTTTTTCCTATCTCATTCCTCCTATTTAACTCTCATCTATCTCTTCTCCTCCTCCCCTCTCCATCTCCAGGCCCACTGTCACTATGTGGTGGTGAAGCTGTTTGCAGCTAAGCTGGGGGAGATAGGAGACACGGGGGTGCACTCTGTCCTCAGCACCCTGGCCCTGCTCTACGCCCTCCAGGGCATCCAACAGCACAGCGGAGACTTCCTCCAGGTAACCACCACCATGGCAACTGTCAATCCCAGACTATCTCCCAGGGGGGAAAACGGGACTACATACATACTCTAGTACTATGTTAATATGTGAATTTCAATGCGACCATAAATGGGTCCCATATTAAGTCTATATTCATTTTTATAACGTCATGTATGATGTTTAAAGCAAGACATGGTTTTACACTCTCGTACTTGTATCACTTAGAGTAAGAAGATAATCTTCCTTTTATAACTTTCCATATTTGTTTGATTTGATCCTACATATAAAGGCTTTACCTCGTTTTGTCATTACATTTGAACCTATTATTGTCTATTGAGAACACATTCTCTTTAACAATAACGACCTGACAATAATTCCTTCCTTACTCCAGACTGGTCTCCTGAGTGGGCCCCAGCTCTCCCAGGTGTCCCAGCGTCTGAAGGAGCTTCTGGCCCAGCTGAGGCCCAATGCAGTGGCCCTGGTGGACGCCTTCGACTACCGCGACGAAATGCTCAACTCCGTCCTGGGACGCTACGACGGCAACGTCTATGAGCACATGTTCGAGTGGGCCCGCCGCTCGCCTCTCAACAAGACAGAGGTCAGAGGGCCTTAAAAAAAGAGAGACTGAGATTAAGAGAATTAATTTACAGTTAATTTTATGCTTTTTAATTTTTTTTATTAAGAACATGAATAGGCCATTTGTGAACCATTTTCAAGCATCTGTTTCAGATAATGAAACGCCAAATTGTCTCTGTGTTCATTGCGTAGTTTGCCTACATAAAGATGGCTATCTAATGAATGATTTGCTGTAGTAGTAAGTATTTTGCAGAGTAACCTTGTCCCCAGGCTAATTGCTACCGACAAAGAGAGAGGGAGCCGGTGGGTGGAAGAGACTACCTGCAGAGTATTCAAACTGACCCTCCTTCCCTCACCTCTCTCTCCTCTAGGTCCACGAATCCTACCACAAGTACCTGAAACCCCTGCAGGCCAAGCTGTGAGATGACCCCTGAGACTTCACCTTTGACCCCTGACTCTCACCTGACCCCTCCACTACAGGGGACAGGAAGCACACTAACAACACTAATCCAGCTGTGGGACCCCATCAAGGCCGCCCATCCACCAATCGGAAGGGCTCATTCCACCCGCCCCTTCTTTGTTTAATCAACCACAGGTGGTGAACATTTTTAAAGAGGAACCCATTGGAGAGCAGCCTCCTTACCCCACCTCTACTGATGTGCTGCTAATGAATCAATCATTCTACTGGACTTATTCAACTAGCTAACTAGACTCATAGGTATTTAATTTGAGTTTTATATACCCCATGCTAAGTTAATGGATTGAATCCAAGAATCGAAGGTCTGAGAAAACATAAGAAAGAGAGGTAAGAAGGAGAGGAAGCAAAACTGTAGTTAGCATGCGAGGTGGCCTAAAGATGAAGGGGTTTTGATGACTGATCCTTGTGATCTAATCAAGCTCTTTGGATCATGTACATTGCAAATCTCTCGATTTGTTGAGATATGTTAAATCCCATTTTAATCTGGATGATTTCTGATCATGCATGTCACAGTATTTGATGCTAATGTACTGTGGATGGGTGTCTGTAGTAGTGGGTGACGGGTCAGTTGTGGTTTGCAATGAACCAAGGTGTGCATGTCTGTCTGTCTAGGTGTGAGAGAGTTTGTGGTTGTGGGGTAGTGAATGTGATTAGTGAATAATGAGTTGATGAGTAAGCTATACCAGAGTGTGATTCTGATACTAGTGATTTGAGGAAAGGGGCCTTTCAATTCTTGCACTTAATACAAACCACTAGTATAAATGCATGAGGATCTTTTCTACCCATGTGGGGCTTAATTACCAAGAAATTACATGAAAATCAAACTAGCTTGATGAACAAGGTCATATTCATTAGGGCACACCGTGGTAAAACGTCTTGCAAAGGAAAGAAAACAAGCGGTTCTTATTGGACAAGTCCGGGTAGGTCCCCCTCTGTTTCAGACAGTTTTCTTCCGTTTGGTGCCTATTGACTATAACCCTGATGTGGCATTCGGAACAAGTACATTCTTCAACACAATGAAATAAGTATTTTTATACTCGATTACTAACTGTTGATTGTACTGCTGTTGGCTTTTACAGTATGTTGCAGATTGATACATGATTGATAGTTTCAAATGGAATGAAACAGTAATTACTGTTTGTGGGAGAATTATGTGCCTGCGGAATTTGTTTTACTTTAATGGAGCTAACATGTTAGTATTATCACACTTGGTTGATGCGTATATTTTTGATTGAAGAATATGCTTTATCAATTTGTTTTGTGGATTTTCGTAGCAATTTAAGGATGTATGATTATTATTTCAATGTACTTACCGAATTGTTGTTTAACTAATTTTTGTGATAGTATTAAAAATCCATTCAGACTGAATATGTTGTTTTTAAACATTTTGTTAATTGAATTTTAACTGAAAGTGAATCATTTGTCATGCTTAATGATTTTAGTAAAAAACTGGAAATATTAAAAACTATCAAGATGTTAATGGTTTCCTTCAACTATTCCATAGACTGCCAGAAGTAACCACTAGATGGTGTTATGAAATCAGATATACTTTTTTCATAAGTCAGAGCCATGTTTTTTTCATAACATTTTTACATTTTATTTCAGTGGCATATAGATTTAGGAGAACCAATTCTACAAATGGATGGAGGATAAATTATTGAGTGTAATCATTCATAAGATTATGAAGGGACGGATTATATTAGCACATTAGTTTATAACACTGCAATGAATCTGATTCAGAAAATATTACCTTTTAGAAAATTAATCTGTACTTTTACAATAAATCAATGCATTCTATTTAAAACCTTTGGACATTGTTTCTCTTGATGAGATTATTCATCTGGAATAGTGTTAACTCATGCATGGGTGGAAATGTCAAATGTGCTCTCACTTTTCCTTTCCATATATAACTATAGCAAGACAGGTTACTTTCATGTTAGTTTTCTTTAGCATTTTTGGGAGGGATTGTTTTTGCTTGGAAAGTATCATGTCTCCCTTATTGCGTCATTTAAGGGTGTCAAGCTTCGGGACTCAAAGAGCAAGATTATGAAGTTATATTTATGCCCTTTCACAAACAACAAGCATGCAAACATAACCAAAATATATAAAACTATTACAAGCCCATCAACGGCGGACATAACTGGACTATATTAATATTATTACTAAACCATTCTTGACTTTATGTGTGTCTGTCATTTATCAGATAGGTTAGGCCTGTCTAGTATTAACTCCGCCCACCTTCGCCGAAGAGCCACAATCAGGATATTTGGAGAGAGAAGGAAAGTAACACGTTGGTGCCACATTGTATGAATTTTAGGAACATAAATTGTATCTTGTTTTGAGTTACATTGATGAAAGTAACATATATTTTCCCTTAAAGGTGAGTAGCCTATTTTCTTTTCCAATATTTAATAGTTTTTTCAAAATTTGTTTATGATCGAGAGTGAGCACAATGTGTGGTTTTTACCAGTCCTCTTAAAGGAGTTTCAGACAGCGAAACAATAGGAAAAGTGTAGGCGTGAGGAAGTCACATTTAAAATGAATTATAAAGTCATTTAACTATTTCAACATTGGAATTGAAATCATCAAAGGACCGCAAACGATATCGTGGCTGTCGCGCAGTTAAAAGGTGAAAACATGCGTATTCATATTCCATTGTTGCGCTGCCCGGGAAAAATAATTCACTGAAGGAAAATGTGTCAATTCCATCTTCACACAACCTTCGTTCAACTTCCGTCAAACGCCCGCTAACTGGCCTCACGTTACAGCTCCCGCTGGTCTCCCACTTTTCCAGAAAATGTGGGAGGGTTTGGTTTGTTGACAGGACAGCATACAGTATCGGTTTTATTGAAATTCGGTAAGGAAACATTTTTTTTAAATAATTTTGTTGACCTGTTTAAAAAATGTTTTTATTATGGATACATGAAATGTCACTAAGTTTTAGTTCATGTACATGTAGCCTAGTAATGTAGGCTACTACTGGACTTGGCAACGAGTAACTAAGTAACGTTATGTAGTTCAACATTGTTAAATAGTTGCTACATATTTTACTTATCTTGTTGACAAAGTTATGATATTAGTTTATGGTGCAAGGAATTACATGCCTTTTGATAGATGTTTGCCACAGTCACTGACTGAACTGGAAGATTAATGTACATGAGTTAACATTTCTTATAGGGTTAAATAGTGAGAAAGCAATGTGTTTTGAATATTATATCTTTATGAAAATGCTCAAATATCGTTTTAATGCAGTCTATAAAATTATGCAACCATTGTTGCAGGGCTGAGAAACTGGTAGAAATCTGCAGATAAGTACTTCAAGATAGGCCTACAATATACAATCCATTCCTCAGTAGGGCAGGCTATCTTTGAAATGTCTGTATCATTAGCGCTCTTTTATTCATTCATGTTTTAAACAATGGAGTTTTACAGATCTCTTCCTTTGAACTATGCATACTGTAGTGCATTTCAGAGGGAACAAAGAATAGAATGTTGATAAGCAACCACTGACCCACAACACCTGCATCAGTAGTCTTTAACTGTAAGTTCTGTTACACCACAAATGCACCTGCTGTCAAGCTAACAAGGTGTAGTGGAGTGAAATGTAATCTATGCAAATGCTAGTAGGAAAACAGAAAAAGTCAAATGGTCATGGTTGACTGCACTGGGAATCAGAAACAAGGTTGGTTTTCCAGATTAGCAAACATTTAGAAAAGGAAAGGGGGATACTTAGTCAGTTGTACAACTGAATGCATTCAACTGAAATGTGTCTTACGCATTTAACCCAACCCCTCTGAATCAGAGTGGTGCAGGGGGCTGCCTTAATCGACATCCACGTCATCGGCCCCCGGGGAACAGTGGGTTAACTGCCTTGCTCAGGGGCAGAACCACAGATGTTTACCTTGTTAGCTCGGGGATTCGATCCAGCAAACTTTCGGTTATTGGCCCAATGGTCCCCCCAGCCAGTCTACCTGGCGCCGGTGTTGTGGAGCGACGCTCCTCATCCAACCTGACAGAGCTTGAGAGGATCTGCAGAGAAGAATGGGAGAAACTCCCCAAATACAGGTGTGCCAAGCTTGTAGCGTCATACACAACAAGACTCGAGGCTGTAATTGTTGCCAAAGGTACTTCAACAAAGTACTGAGTAAAGGGTCTGAATACTTATGTAAATGTGATATTTCAGTTAAAAAAAAAAAAATCCTGTTTCCATCTGCCCGGTCGTGACTTTTTTTTTCATGCATCAGGTAATTCATCTGCATTAAATGGTTGGATGGAAGCATGGAAAATGACCATTCAGGCCTAAAGTCGTTCATTCTGTCTTTCCTCCCCCTTGGATTCTATGGAGTCATGCTTGCAATCCCCCCCCGGCCCCTCCTAGGTTTCTGCTCCAGTTCTCAGCTGTTGTGCCACAACATGCCTGCCAGAAAGCAGAGCCTTGAGTCTCTCCTAGCGACATGCCTCATCCCAGTAGTATCTGTGGGCTCATTGGGATTTTTTCCTGCTACGTCATGGTCATGCCAATTCAACTTCCATACTGTCTGACGCATCAACCTTTGCTTCGACATGACACAGGAAAAGGGCCTAAACCTGAAGGGAAGCAAGGCTGCTGTGGTAGTTGGACTTTGACATATTAAATGTGATTCTCATAAACATCAGAGCATCGGAAGTTCAAAGCTTAATCCATTTTCTAATTCGTGCGCGCTGATCCAGGAAGGGATCTGACTGAAATGTCTGTGAATATTGGCGGAATGTGTGTCACAGACTCGTAGTATCCCGCTGTGTCTTCTTCAGATCGCTCTCATCCACTGAGAGTGAGCCAGTGACACATTCCACAGTCTGGAGGCTGGCTGTCTAACTGACTGGCTTCCTCCTTGTGCTGTACTGCGCTCTAATGCAGTTGCACCCACGACAAGCCAAAAAACATGACATGCTGTGCAACTG